GTTACTGTACATCCCCACTAAGTTTCTGTACATCCTCACTATGTTATTGTTCATCCTCACTATGACCGCCTCCGTGGTCTTGTGGTAGAGCGTCCGCCCGGAGAGCGGAAGGTCCAGGGTTCGATCCCGGGCCGCGTCATACAAAAAGACGTTAAAAGATTGTACTTGTTGTTACCCTGTCTGGCGCTCGGCATTAAGGGGCTAAAACAAGGACTGGTCGGCTCGGAGTCAGTATACTGTGTCTGAGTGGGGTATTCATGTTAAACTGCGGCATGGTATCTCAGTGAGCTAGCACTATAAATCGGCATCAGTCCGGACTAGTACAAGCAGCCACACACACACATACACGTGCATGCACGTCGCTATATAAGTGCAATAATCTTGGACGCGACGTTAAACCCGATTTCACCTCACCTCATCCTCACTATGTTACTGTACATCCTCACTATGTTACTGTACATCCTCACTAGTTTCTGTACATCCTCACTAAGTTACTGTACATCCTCACTAAGTTTCTGTACATCCTCACTAAGTTTCTGTACGTCCTCAATAAGTTTCTGTACATCCTCACTAATTTACTGTACATCCTCACTAAGTTACTGTACATCCTCACTATGTTACTGTACATCCTCACTAAGTTACTGTACATCCTCACTAAGTTACTGTACATCCTCACTAAGTTTCTGTACATCCTCACTAAGTTTCTGTACGTCCTCACTAAGTTTCTGTACATCCTCACTAATTTACTGTACATCCTCACTAATTTACTGTACATCCTCACTAAGTTACTGTACATCCTCACTATGTTACTGTACATCCTCACTAGTTTCTGTACATCCTCACTAAGTTACTGTACATCCTCACTAAGTTTCTGTACATCCTCACTAAGTTTCTGTACGTCCTCACTAAGTTTCTGTACATCCTCACTAATTTACTGTACATCCTCACTAATTTACTGTACATCCTCACTAAGTTACTGTACATCCTCACTATGTTACTGTACATCCTCACTAAGTTACTGTACATCCTCACTAAGTTTCTGTACATCCTCACTAAGTTTCTGTACGTCCTCACTAAGTTTCTGTACATCCTCACTAATTTACTGTACATCCTCACTAAGTTACTGTACATCCTCACTATGTTACTGTACATCCTCACTAAGTTACTGTACATCCTCACTAAGTTACTGTACATCCTCACTATGTTACTGTACATCCTCACTAAGTTACTGTACATCCTCACTAAGTTACTGTACATCCTCACTATGTTACTGTACATCCTCACTGAGTTACTGTACATCCTCACTAAGTTACTGTACATCCTCACTAAGTTTCTGTACATCCTCACTAAGTTACTGTACATCCTCACTATGTTACTGTACATCCTCACTATGTTACTGTACATCGTTACTGTAAATCCTCACTAAGTTACGGTATATCCTCACTATGTTACTGTACATCATCACTAGGTTACTGTACATCCTCAATATGTTACTATACATCCTCACTATGTTACTGTACATCCTCACTATGCTACTGTACATCCTCACTAAGTTATTGCACATCCTCACTAAGTAACTGTACGTCCTCACTATGTTACTGTACATCCTCACTAAGTTATTGTACGTCCTCACTAAGTTACTGTACATCCTCACTAAGAATCTTTACGTCCTCACTTAGTTACTGTACATCCTCACTAAGTTACTGTACATCCTCACTAAGTTACTGTACATCCTCACTAAGTTACTGTACATCCTCACTAAGTTGCTGTACATCCTCACTATGTTACTGTAATCCTCACTAAGTTACTGTATATCCTCACTATGTTACTGTACATCCTCACTATGTTACTGTACATCCTCACTATGTTACTATACATCCTCACTAAGTTACTGTACATCCTCACTATGCTACTGTACATCCTCACTAAGTTACTGTACATCCTCACTAAGTATCTTTACGTCCTCACTAAGTTACTGTTCGTTCTCACTAAGTATCTTAACGTCCTCACTAAGTTACTGTACATCCTCACTAAGTTTCTGTACCTCCTCACTAAGTTACTGTATGTTCTCACTAAGTTACTGTACGTACTAACTAAGTTACTGTACGTCCTCACTATGTTATTGTACGTCCTCACTATGTTACTGTACATCCTCACTAAGTTACTGTACATCCTCACTAAGTTACTGTACATCCTCACTAAGTTGCTGTACATCCTCACTATGCTACTGTACATCCTCACTAAGTTATTGTACATCCTCACTAAGTTACTGTACGTCCTCACTATGTTACTGTACATCCTCACTTTGTTACTGTACATCCTCACTAAGTTATTGTACGTCCTCACTAAGTTACTGTACATCCTCACTAAGTATCTTTACGTCCTCACTAAGTTACTGTACGTTCTCACAAGTTACTGTACGTCCTCACTAAGTTACTGTACGTCCTCACTATGTTACTGTACATCCTCACTATGTTACTGTACATCCTCACTAAGTTATTGTACGTCCTCACTAAGTTACTGTACATCCTCACTAAGTATCTTTACGTCCCCACTTAGTTAGTGTACATCCTCACTAAGTTACTGTACATTCTCATTAAGTTACTGTACATCCTCACTTTGTTACTGTTCATCCTCACTAAGTTACTGTACATCCTCACTAAGTTACTGTACGTTCTCACTAGGTTACTGTACGTCCTCACTAAGTTACTGTACGTCCTCACTATGTTACTGTACATCCTCACTAAGTTACTGTACATCCTCACTAAGTTACTGTACATCCTCACTAAGTTATTGTACGTCCTCACTAAGTTACTGTACATCCTCACTAAGTATCTTTACGTCCTCACTAAGTTACTGTACATCATCACTATGTTACTGTACATCCTCACTAAGTTACTGTACATCCTCACTATGTTACTGTAATCCTCACTAAGTTACTGTATATCCTCACTATGCTACTGTACATCCTCACTAAGTTATTGCACATTCTCACTAAGTTACTGTACGTCCTCACTAAGTTACTGTACATCCTCACTAAGTTATTGTACGTCCTCACTAAGTTACTGTACATCCTCACTAAGTATCTTTACGTCCTCACTAAGTTACTGTACATCCTCACTAAGTATCTTTATATCCTCACCAAGTTACTGTACGTCCTCACTAAGTTACTGTACATCCTCACTAAGTTACTGTACATCCTCACTAAGTTACTGTACATCCTCACTATGTTACTGTACGTCCTCACTAAGTTACTGTATATCCTCACTAAGTTACTGTACATTCTCTCTATGTTACTATACATCCTCACTAAGTTACTGTACATCCTCACTATGTGACTGTACATCCTCGCTGTTACTGTACATCCTCACTAAGTTACTGTACATCCTCACTAAGTTACTGTACATCCTCACTATGTTACTGTACATCCGCACTATGTTACTATACATCCTCACTAAGTTATTGTACATCCTCACTAAGTTACTGTACGTCCTCACTATGTTACTGTACATCCTCACTTTGTTACTGTACATCCTCACTAAGTTATTGTACGTCCTCACTAAGTTACTGTACATCCTCACTAAGTATCTTTGCGTCCTCATTAAGTTACTGTACGTCCTCACTATGTTACTGTACATCCTCACTTTGTTACTGTACATCCTCACTAAGTTATTGTACGTCCTCACTAAGTTACTGTACATCCTCACTAAGTATCTTTGCGTCCTCACTAAGTTACTGTACGTTCTCACTAAGTTACTGTACGTCCTCACTAAGTTACTGTACGTCCTCACTATGTGACTGTACATCCTCACTATGTTACTGTACATCCTCACTAAGTTTCTGTACATCCTCACTAAGTTATTGTACGTCCTCACTAAGTTACTGTTCATCCTCACTAAGTATCTTTACGTCCTCACTAAGTTACTGTACATCCTCACTAAGTATCTTTACATCCTCACTAAATTACTGTACGTCCTCACTAAGTTACTGTACGTCCTCACTAAGTTACTGTACATCCTCACTAAGTTACTGTACATCCTCACTATGTTACTGTAATGCTCACTAAGTTACTGTATTTCCTCACTATGTTACTGTACATCCTCACTATGTTACTGTACATCCTCACTAAGTTACTGTACATCCTCACTAAGTTACTGTACATCCTCACTATGTTACTGTACATCCTCTCTATGTTACTATACATCCTCACTAAGTTATTGTACATCCTCACTAAGTTACTGTACGTCCTCACTATGTTACTGTACATCCTCACTTTCTTACTGTACATCCTCACTAAGTTATTGTACGTCCTCACTAAGTTACTGTACATCCTCACTAAGTATCTTTGCGTCCTCACTAAGTTACTGTACGTCCTCACTATGTTACTGTACATCCTCACTTTGTTACTGTACATCCTCACTAAGTTATTGTACGTCCTCACTAAGTTACTGTACATCCTCACTAAGTATCTTTGCGTCCTCACTAAGTTACTGTACGTTCTCACTAAGTAACTGTACGTCTTCACTAAGTTACTGTACGTCCTCACTATGTTACTGTACATCCTCTTTATGTTACTGTACATCCTCACTAAGTTTCTGTACATCCTCACTAAGTTATTGTACGTCCTCACTAAGTTACTGTACATCCTCACTAAGTATCTTTACGTCGTCACTAAGTTACTGTACATCATCACTATGTTACTGTACATCCTCACTAAGTTACTGTACATCCTCACTAAGTATCTTTACGTTCTCACTATGTTACTGTACATCCTCACTAAGTTTCTGTACATCCTCACTAAGTCATTGTACATCCTCACTAAGTTACTGTACATCCTCACTAAGTATCTTTACGTCCTCACTAAGTTAGTGTACATCATCACTATGTTACTGTACATCCTCACTAAGTTACTGTACATCCTCACTAAGTATCTTTACGTCCTCACTAAGTTACTGTACATCCTCACTAAGTTACTGTACATGTGCTGCACATTCTTCCAGGCGCACCATGATACGACACCCCTCTGTTCGCCGTGGACGACCTTGGCAGTGATGGACGCCACCGTGCCGCCCTATTCCACTGTCCAGCACAGTCGACCCTCCTACCTCGACCCTCCACCGTCTTACGATGAAGCCGTGTACGGTTTCACGGCCACGCCAATCACCACGGCCCCCACAACTCCGTCAGCGATCTCACCGGCCAGGGAAGGCGTTCACAGGTCTACAGGAGATGCGAGGCGCATGCGCAATACGCCTTCTACTGCCATTGAAGACGCCGCTCGGGTTCCGATAATGTCGGAAGTGACGTCACAGCAGATTCGGAACTCAACTCATCTCAGCGATCACCCAGAAGGCGTGTTAATGATATACCCCGGTCACGTGGAACAAACTCGCGTGAGTAAAGGGGTCTGATTTGGGGCAATCTAGAGTTTGGTTGTTTTTTTGTCAGTTATGAAATGGAATGGGTACATGTGTTAAATTCAGACCTCAGTAGGCCCCTCCATAGTATTTAACAAATAAGTATAATTATCAAAATAAAAGAATTTAGGGAAATAAAAGATTGCTACGGGCACCTGTCGTGGTGTATTGAGATGCGGCGACGCCAATCTGTGATACATTTGTTTGATAAACAACATTGCTACGGGCACCTGTCGTGATGTATTGAGATGCGGCGACGCCAATCTGTGATACATTTGTTTGATAAATAACATTGCTACGGGCACCTGTCGTGATGTATTGAGATGCGGCGACGCCAATCTGTGATACATTTGTTTGATAAATAACATTGCTACGGGCACCTGTCGTGATGTATTTAGATGCGGCGACGCCAATCTGTGATACATTTGTTTGATAAATAACATTGCTACGGGCACCTGTCGTGATGTATTAAGATGCGGCGACGCCAATCTGTGATACATTTGTTTGATAAATAACATTGCTACGGGCACCTGTCGTGATGTATTGAGATGCGGCGACGCCAATCTGTGATACATTTGTTTGATAAATAACATTGCTACGGGCACCTGTCGTGATGTATTGAGATGCGGCGACGCCAATCTGTGATACATTTAGTTGATAAATAACATTGCTACGGGCACCTGTCGTAGCGCAATGAGATGAGGCGACGCCAATCTGTGATCCACTTAGATACATATAAGACTCGATGGACGTCTCCCAAATACCATAATTAAGTAACAATATCTGTAAAATGCATTCAAAACAAAGTTACAAAATGTCATTGTAAACACGCATTGCTCTCTCTCTCTCTCTCTCTCTCTCTCTCTCTCTCTCTCTCTCTCTCTCTCTCTCTCTCTCTTGCATGAACTTGCATGAACTCTCAAATGTTATTTTTGTTTTCTTATCATAGACTCAGTAGACATAAGTGTTCTGCTTACCTCTCCCGTCAGATATTATCCTATGTGTGTATACAACGTTTAATGGTGTCTTCTGCTTATGTCAACAGAATAACAACAGTCGCAGACATCGCTCCGGCCCTGGGCAACCCCCCTCCCGTGCCATGACGAGGCTGCTGATCGTGGGAGCAGTGCTGACAGTGTTGATGGTGTTGGCGGGGTTTGTGGTCGGCATCGTCACCAGGGACCCTATTCACGACAAATCGGATGATGATACCGAGTGGAGGTCAACAATACGACCTTGACCTCTGTAGTATACATAATGACCTTGACCTTACCTATGCTTCTCGTTCGGAAGTGGCTAGCCGGAGGAGACAAGAGACGTTAGTGCGTTGACCTTGATATTCAACCTTTACCTTGCACCAGAAACAACCTTACAGCTGCTGGTGAACGCGACCTCTCGTCTGGCATTGATGACCTCTCGTGCACATCAACAGACCGCCACATATCCGTCCACTTCTGCTTCTTCAGCTGGTTCACAGTTCGGACTGCGCATCGGCAACTTGTGATATGAAGAGACGGAGCCTAGCTTAATCTATTCTTCCGCGTGTTGTCTGGACATGACTGATCGCACAAGTCTTCCAACAACCGCAGCAATCGCGAGATGTCCATGCAGACCCCAGCATGATTCTGATATGTTCCTGGTTATCAATAGATGATCTTGGTGATCCACTGTTCTAAATGATGTTCTGGCGGAATCCGTTATGTCCGATCTTCCCGTGACAAGGGAGTTAAATGACAATAAAAGTCCAGATTCCACTTTTGCCGAACTAGGCTGGAATTTCGTTGCTCGATCGTAGCGTCACCAGTGGCTATTACGAGTTATTGACCAATCAGATTCCACCTCGCATATCACTTGCCTTTGCTTCAAACAAGATGGCGGCGCCCAGTAAAGACGATCTGACCAATAGTCAGGAACTCTTTTGTATTTGGAACATATCTGGCGACGCCCATTAACGGGACACACGCTTGGCAAATCTTGCAGTCGACGGAAATCTACACGTTGAAATTAGTGTTGTTTACGAACCGGGTGTCTAGTTTGTTACGCGATTTTAATTGAACTATGCATAGACTCGTTGGTCCAGCCAAAACTCCGAAATTCCAGCCTTGTTCATCAAGGGTGGATGGAAACTGGATTACTATAGTCAGTTAACTCCCTTGCATCCATTCGCCGGTGTTCCCCACATCCATTCATCGGTGTTCCCCCAAATCAGCTCCCCAGTGTTCCCCACATTCGTTCCTCAGTGTTTCCTACATCCGTTCCCTGGTGTTCCCCACGTCTGTTCCCTACAACCGTTCCGTACATCCGTTCCCTACTACCGTTCCCTACGTCTGTTCCCTACATCCATCCCCCACTGTTTCCTACATACGTTCCCCGGCGTTCCCAACATCCGTTCCTCACAGTTCCCAACATCCGTTCCCCACTGTTCCCCACATTCATTCACAGTTGTTCCCCCACATCCGTTTCCTGATGTTCCTCACATCTATTCCCCAGCGTTTCACACATCCGTTCCTCACAGTTCCCAACATCCATTCCACGCTGTTCCCCACATCCATTCCCCAGTGTTTCACACATTCATTCACCATTGTTCCCCCACATCCGTTCCACGCTGTTCCCCACATCCATTCTTCAATGTTCCCCACATCCATTCCCCAGTGTTTCACACATTCATTCACCATTGTTCCCCCACATCCGTTCCACGCTGTTCCCAACATACGTTCCCTACAAGTCTTCCACACATCCATTCCCCGGGGTTCCACACATCCGTTCGTCACAGTTCCCAACATCCATTCCCCACTGTTCCCACATTCATTCACAGTTGTTCCCCCACATCCGTTCCCTGATGTTCCCAAACATCTATTCCCCGGCGTTCCACACATCCGTTCCTCACAGTTCCCAACATCCGTTCCTCACAGTTCCCAACATCCGTTCCCCACTGTTCCCCACATTCATTCACAGTTGTTCCCCCACATCCGTTCCCTGACGTTCCCCACATCCATTCCCCGGCGTTCCACACATCCGTTCGTCACTGTCCCCAACATCCGTTCCTTACAAGTCTTCCCCACATCCATTCCCCGGCGTTCCACACATCCGTTCGTCACTGTTCCCAACATCCGTTCCTTACAAGTCTTCCCCACATCCATTCCCCGGCGTTCCACACATCCGTTCCTCACTGTTCCCAAAATCCGTTCCCCAGTGTTCCCCACATCCATTCCCCGGCGTTCCACACATCCGTTCCTCACTGTTCCCAACATCTGTTCCCCACTGTTCCCCACATCCATTCCCCAGTGTTCCCCACATTATGGTTAGATGTAAACATAGTTTGTCTTCTCATAATACTACAAGAACATTTAAAGTGAGAATTATTTATTTCAAATTTTGTTATTTTTTAGGATTCATATTTTGTATGTTTGAGTCGCATGTTAACTGTTTCGGCATCACTCGAGTGCAAAATTCGATCAAGCTTCTTTGCTTGAAATAATTAAAATGGGTGTATTGATTGATCAAAAAAGGCAAATCTTTCCGCGATCGTCAGAATTCGTCTGGGTCTGCCATACTTGTGACGTCATAAGCGTCGGCGATGATGTGTGTTGAGTCGGCGGAGATTAGCCAGGGCCTTTGCCACAGTGATGTCGGAGCACAGAAACATAGCAATTAAATGTCTTCCAGATAAAGGCCTTCTGCCTCCCCTCCAGATATATTGTCTCAGGATCGTAGACTCGAATTGAACCATGCGACTAGGAACAGGTAGTAACTGTTTGTGACCTGGCTGATTGTGCGACATCGTTCCCGACGGCGTGGATTGCAACAACCCTGATTTGTGTGGTTCTGCGGATGTCATACCCGTGTATAGAGTTGTCTGGACGCTGGAAGATGACAAGATGTGTCTCTCCCCCTACCACAGATGACCCCCGGACAAAGATAGCCTCCGGACCACACAAAAATAGTTGTTTCTTTCAATACTTTTTAAATCACTAGACAGTTTTACATCTTGTGTTTTTGCAAGTGGTATATAGTTTCAAAATTAATTGCAATATACATTTCATCTATAACATACTGTGCTGTTTTCCATGTCGATTGACGCGTGGTGAACTGATTGCTATACTGTGTGGTGTACTAAGTACCTTTGTGTCATGTGTACTGATGTGTATAAGGCCCCATGTGTTGTAATGCCATATTTACCACGACCAGGGAAGGCGTGTTTGGGCTAATGGCGATGTAATATTATCATGTAAAGGGACCATTTCTACAAACCATATATAATTTGCTCTGGAAAGACGTACTAGAGCTAACGGTGTTGTATGAATCATATATATCAAGACCAGAGAAGATATAGTAGGACTAACGGTGTTGTATAGATCATATATATCACGACCACAGAAGATATAGTAGGACTAACGGTGTTGTATAAATCATATATATCACGACCACAGAAGATATACTAGGGCTAACGGTGTTGTATGAATCAGATTTATCACGATCAGAGAAGATATACTAGGGCTAACGGTGTTGTATGAATCATATATATCACAACCAGATAAGATATAGTAGGGCTAACGGTGTTGTATGAATCAGATTTATCACGATCAGAGAAGATATAGTAGGGCTAACGGTGTTGTATGAATCATATATATTACGACCAGAGAAGATATAGTAGGGCTGACGTTGTTGTATAAATCATATATATCACGACCACAGAAGATATAGTAGGACTAACGGTGTTGTATAAATCATATATATCACGACCACAGAAGATATAGTAGGACTAACGGTGTTGTATGAATCATATATATCATGACCACAGAAGATATAGCAGGGCTAACGTTGTTGTATGAATCATATATATCACGACCACAGAAGATATAGTAGGGCTAACGGTGTTGTATGAATCATATATATCATGACCACAGAAGATATAATAGGGCTAACGGTGTTGTATGAATCATATATATCACGACCACAGAAGATAAAGTAGGGCTAACGTTGTTGTATGAATCATATATATCACAACCAGAGAAGATAATAGTAGGGCTTACGGCGTTATATACTAGTACATCTAGATATCTCGACCAGAGAAGATATAGTAGTGCTAACGGTGTTGTATGAATCATATATATCACGACCACAGAAGATATAGTAGGGCTAACGGTGTTGTATAAGTCATATATATCACGACCAGAGAAATATAGTAGGGCTAACGGTGTTGTATGAATCATATATATCACGACCACAGAAGATATAGTAGGGCTAACGGTGTTGTATAAGTCATATATATCACGACCACAGAAGATATAGTAGGGCTAACGGTGTTGTATAAGTCATATGTATCACGACCAGGTGGGTGTGCTTGGGCACATGTTGTATCAAATCATTTATTCCACAATCAGGGAGGTTTACATTATATATTCCACAATCAGGGAAGAGTGAGTCGACTAACTCCCAGCCATACTGCTGACCTACTGACTCATTTTCTGTGTGTTGTCTGTGCTGTAGCCTCCGACGACGTCTTTGTAGTTCACCGCAACGACTCCAACACCATTTAGGCGAATACTGAGACTTGTATATTACAGAGATGATAACTAGTGGAATAAACGTGCAGTCCCGTCATCTTGTTGTCAGTGTCGTTAAGAGCAGCATGTCGGGCTCGTCCGGGACATGATGGCGCGCGGGACATCTTCAGTGGTGGCTGGATGAGGTCGTGCTGTCAGATCGATGAAGCGGCGACTGACCAGAACTCGGTAAGAGCGACGGGCATCGCTCATCTCTCGTATCGATCTCTACCTTTCATCCCTCCAACAGACCTATCCCATTTGCTGTGGCAGGCTGAGTGCCATTGTCGTCGTGGTCTTGCTCTGAGGATGATGGCACGGTGTAGAGGACGTCACGGCGAGATGGAGACTTTACAGATGTAAAAATGGTGGATCGTCAAGAGGCAGGTCTTAGTACTACTGGCTGGGGTTGGTAGATGTTTTGTGTATTCCCAAATGTACCCGTGTTTATCACAGACGGACCGCCATTAACATCCTTCTAAGGACGAGGCCATTATGTATCAGGAGGGGTGTATTTGGTTGGAACGGGATATAGAGATAGACGATGACAGATGAATGGGGACTGGTGACAGGGGTAATATTGATATCCCCACCTTCCAACTGACCGCTGTTCTTCTTGGAGGCCTACCGTAGTCAGGATGAGGGCATCAGGGCGGGGTACCCTGACTCGCACAGTCATAAGCATTGTGTATATGTCTTTGTTTGCTATGGTAACGCGGCTTAAGGCTATCCTCGACTAGACATTGAACATGTCCGATCTTTAAGCAGAAGTTGTGCAGTTGAAGGTGACTAACACCCCACTGATATCGACCACTGTGTATCGACCTGCGTCTACAGGGGGATATTGTTTTAGTGTGTGTTGTGTTATTGTTTTATCACAATGTGTTACACTTGACAGTAAGGGGGGTGAGGTGCATGTGTTTTGGGGGGTGGGGGAAGGGCCGTATTGTGTGTTGTGTTAATGTTTTATCACAATGTGTTACACTTGACAGAAAGGGGGGTGAGGTGTATATGTTTTGGGGGGTGGGGGAAGGGCCGTATTGTGTGTTGTGTTAATGTTTGATCACAATGTGTTACACTTGACAGTAAGGGGGGTGAGGTGCATGTGTTTTAGGGGGTGGGGGAAGGGCCGTATTGTGTGTTGTGTTAATGTTTGATCACAATGTGTTACACTTGACAGTAAGGGGGGTGAGGTGCATGTGTTTTGGGGGAAGGGCCGTATTGTGTGTTGTGTTAATGTTTTATCACAATGTGTTACACTTGACAGTAAGGGGGGTGAGGTGCATGTGTTTTGGGGGGTGGGGGAAGGGCCGTATTGTGTGTTGTGTTAATGTTTGATCACAATGTGTTACACTTGACAGTAAGGGGGATGAGGTGTATATGTTTTGGGGGGTGGGGGAAGGGCCGTATTGTGTGTTGTGTTAATGTTTGATCACAATGTGTTACACTTGACAGTAAGGGGGGTGAGGTGCATGTGTTTTGGGGGGTGGGGGAAGGGCCGTATTGTGTGTTGTGTTAATGTTTGATCACAATGTGTTACACTTGACAGTAAGGGGGGTGAGGTGCATGTGTTTTGGGGGAAGGGCCGTATTGTGTGTTGTGTTAATGTTTTATCACAATGTGTTACACTTGACAGTAAGGGGGGTGAGGTGCATGTGTTTTGGGGGGTGGGGGAAGGGCCGTATTGTGTGTTGTGTTAATGTTTGATCACAATGTGTTACACTTGACAGTAAGGGGGATGAGGTGCATGTGTTTTGGGGGGTGGGGGAAGGGCCGTATTGTGTGTTGTGTTATTGTTTTATCACAATGTGTTACACTTGACAGTAAGGGGGATGAGGTGCATGTGTTTTGGGGGGTGGGGGAAGGGCCGTATTGTGTGTTGTGTTATTGTTTTATCACAATGTGTTACACTTGACAGTAAGGGGGATGAGATGCATGTGTTTTGGGGGGTGGGGGAAGGGCCGTATTGTGTGTTGTGTTATTGTTTTATCACAATGTGTTACACTTGACAGTAAGGGGGGTGAGGTGCATGTGTTTTGGGGTGGGGGAAGGGCCGTATTGTGTGTTGTGTTATTGTTTCATCACAATGTGTTACACTTGACAGAAAGGGGGAGGGGGGGAGGGGGGGGGGGGGGGTGAGGTGTATGTGTTTTGGGGGGTGGGGGAAGGGCCGTATTGTGTGTTGTGTTAATGTTTTATCACAATGTGTTACACTTGACAGTAAGGGGGGTGAGGTGCATGTGTTTTGGGGTGGGGGAAGGGCCGTATTGTGTGTTGTGTTAATGTTTGATCACAATGTGTTACACTTGACAGTAAGGGGGGTGAGGTGCAAGTGTTTTGGGGTGGGGGAAGGGCCGTATTGTGTGTTGTGTTAATGTTTTATCACAATGTGTTACACTTGACAGTAAAGGGGGTGAGGTTTCACGGGCTAGCAACGTTTGAAGGAGTCTCGTCATTATGATCACTGTCAGGTTTAGAATTGAGACTGTATAAGTAGTGTTAGCAGTGAGTGAGTGAGTTAGTTAGGTTTTACGCCGCCTTTTCGTGATGTTCCGGGGGGCACTAGACATGGGCGCCTTCCGCCTGACGAGCGACCACTTTAACCACAAGGCGGCCCGACCGCTCCTCTACACCCGAATAGTCTGGCGACCACTTAAACCACAAGGCGACCCGACCGCTCCACTAGTCCAGTATAGTCTGGCGACCCGACCGCTCCACTAGCCCCGTATAGTCTGGCGACCACTTTAACCACAAGGTGACCCGACCGCTCCACTACACCCGAATAGTCTGGCGACCACTTTAACCACAAGGCGACCCGACCGCTCCACTAGCCCTGTATAGTCTGGCGACCCGACCGCTCCACTACACCCATATAGTCTGGCGACCACTTTAACCACAAGGCGACCCGACCGCTCCACTAGCCCCGTATAGTCTGGCGACCACTTTAACCACAAGGCGACCCGAGCGCTTCATTACACCCGTATAATCTGGCGACCACTTTAACCACAAGGCGACCCGACCGCTCCAGTACACCCATATAGTCTGGCGACCACTTTAACCACAAGGCGACCCGACCACTCCAGTACCCGCGTATAGTCTGGCGAACACTTTAACCACAAGGCGACCCGACCACTCCACAACACCCGTATAGTCTGGCGACCACTTTAACCACAAGGCGACCCGACCGCTCCAGTACACCCATATAGTCTGGCGACAACTTTAACCACAAGGCGACCCGACCGCTCCATTACACCGGTATAGCCTGCCGACCACTTTAACCACAAGGCGACCCGACGGCTCCACTAGCCCCGTATAGTCTGACGACCACTTTAACCACAAGGCGACCCGACCGCTCCACTACACCCGAATAGTCTGGGGACCACTTTAACCACAAGGCGACCCGACCGCTCCACTAGCCCCGTATAGTCTGGCGACCACTTTAACCACAAGGCAACCCGACCGCTCCATTACACCCGTATAGTCTGGCGACCACTTTAACCACAAGGCAACCCGACCGCTCCATTACACCCGTATAGTCTGGCGACCACTTTAACCACAAGGCGACCCGACCGCTCCACTACACCCATATAGTCTGGCGACCACTTTAACCACAAGGCGACCCGACCGCTCCACAACACCAGTATAGTCTGGCGACCACTTTAACCACAACGCGACCCGACCGCTCCATTACACCCATATAGTCTGGCGACCACTTTAACCACAAGGCGACCCGACCTGCACTAGCCCCATATAGTCTGGCGACCACTTTAACCACAAGGCGACCCGACCGCTCCACTACACCCGTATAGTCTGGCGACCACTTTAACCACAAGGCGACCCGACCGCTCCATTACACCCATATAGTCTGACGACCACTTTAACCACAATGACCCGACCTGCACTAGCCCCATATAGTCTGGCGACCACTTTAACCACAAGGCGACCCGACCGCTCCACTACACCCGTATAGTCTGGTGACCACTTTAACCACAAGGCGACCCGACCGCTCCAGTACCCGCGTATAGTCTGGCGACCACTTTAACCACAAGGCGACCCGACCACTCCACAACACCAGTATAGTCTGGCGACCACTTTAACGACAAGGCGACCCGACCACTCCACTAGCCCCGTATAGTCTGACGACCACTTTAACCACAAGACGACCCGACCGCTCCACAACACCAGTATAGTCTGGCGACCACTTTAACCACAAGGCGACCCGACCGCTGCACTAGCCCCGTATAGTCTGGCGACCACTTTTACCACAAAGCGACCCGACCGCTCCACTACACCGGTATAGTCTGGCGACCACTTTTACCACAAGGCGACCCGACCGCTCCACTAGCCCCGTATAGTCTGACGACCACATTAACCACAAGGCGACCCGACCGCTCCACAACACCAGTATAGTCTGGCGACCACTTTAACCACAAGGCGACCCGACCGCTCCACTACACCCGTATAGTCTGGCGACCACTTTTACCACAAGGCAACCCGACCGCTCCAGTACCCGCGTATAGTCTGGCGACCACTTTAACCACAAGGCGAACCGACCGCTCCACTACACCCGTATAGTCTGGCGACCACTTTAACCACAAGGCGACCCGACCGCTCCACTAGCCCCGTATAGTCTGACGACCTCTTTAACCACAAGGCGACCCGACCGCTCCACTAGCCCCGTATAGTCTGGCGACCACTTTTACCACAAGGCGACCCGACCGCTCCACAACACCAGTATAGTCTGGCGACCACTTTAACCACAAGGCGACCTGACCGCTCCAGTACCCGCGTATAGTCTGGCGACCACTTTAACCACAAGGCGACCCGACCGCTCCACTAGCCCCGTATAGTCTGGCGACCCGACCGCTCCACTAGCCCCGTATAGTCTGACAACCACTTTAACCACAAGGCGACCCGACCGCTCCACAACACCTGGCGACCACTTTAACCACAAGCGACCAAAGCCGCTCCACTAGCCCCGTATAGTCTGACGACCACTTTAACCACAAGGCCACCCGACCGCTCCAGTACACCCGTATAGTCTGGCGACCACTTTAACCACAAGGCGACCCGACAGCTCCACAAAACCAGTATAGTCTGGCGACCACTTTAACCACAAGGCGACCCGACCGCTCCACAACACCAGTATAGTCTGGCGACCACTTTAACCACAAGGCCACCCGACCGCTCCAGTACACCCATATAGTCTGGCGACCACTTTAACCACAAGGCGACCCGACCACTCCACTACACCCGTATAGTCTGGCGACCACTTTAACCACAAGGCCACCCGACCGCTCCACTAGCCCCGTATAGTCTGACGACCACTTTAACCACAAGGCGACCCGACCGCTCCACAACACCAGTATAGTCTGGCGACCACTTTAACCACAAGGCGACCCGACCGCTCCACTACACCCGTATAGTCTGGCGACCACTTTAACCACAAGGCGACCCGACCGCTCCACTACACCGGTATAGTCTGGCGACCACTTTTACCACAAGGCGACCCGACCGCTCCACTAGCCCCGTATAGTCTGACGACCACATTAACCACAAGGCGACCCGACCGCTCCACAACACCAGTATAGTCTGGCGACCACTTTAACCACAAGGCGACCCGACCGCTCCAGTACCCGCGTATAGTCTGGCGACCACTTTAACCACAAGGCGAACCGACCGCTCCACTACACCCGTATAGTCTGGCGACCACTTTAACCACAAGGCGACCCGACCGCTCCACTAGCCCCGTATAGTCTGACGACCTCTTTAACCACAAGGCGACCCGACCGCTCCACTAGCCCCGTATAGTCTGGCGACCACTTTTACCACAAGGCGACCCGACCGCTCCACAACACCAGTTTAGTCTGGCGACCACTTTAACCACAAGGCGACCCGACCGCTCCAGTACCCGCGTATAGTCTTGAATCAATCTGGTGTTTTCATATCACTAAGGTTATTATAATACTCCGAATTAGGCGTGCATGTTCATATAAATATATGATTATTGTAAGGTTATGAAATAAAGGTGTTTATCCAATTGTTATTGTCGAGATCAGAACATTGCTGCACCAGACAGCATGCTGTTATTTCTATTTATGTCTTGCTGCAGATGAACTGAGAAATATGTGTCTTCCAAACCCCCCATACTGAAATGGAGTCGACTGAGGTGGACCCCGACATCAGAAATGACATCGTGCAGCCGCCATCTTATGCAGAAGCTATCCGAACTCCTGTCCCACTTCCGCTTCCGCCATACCGACCAGTAGAGTTGCGCAGTCGATCACCCCCACCACCATACTCAGAGGTGATTGGTCAGATAATTCATGAAAACAATAGCCCTATACCAGCTCAGCCAATCAGATGTGCCTATCAATCCCTCGTAGCCAATGAGAGTGGACGAAGAGCAAGACATTCCCGATATTCGTCAGGTCGTTCCCGGAATCGTCACCCACCGACCTGGAGGACGGTGGAGCTACAGATACCCAGGACGTCAACTGATGCGGCCGAGAACCTTCTTCAGGTTTGTTACATCAGGTGCTTTCTGGGTAGAATAGGTCTTCAGCAACCCATGATTGCCGTAAAAGATTAACTTCAAAACACGATTGCTTAAACGCCTCACTGTAGCTCTCTAGCAGCAGAGAGCTGTAGTTTTGCTTTTTTTGACTCGACCTCGACTATCCACTGCATTGTGTCAAGGTTCGCCACCAGAACTTCGAATGAAACGATGCTAATAATAGGCGTCCAATCAAACTACTCTGAATTGCGAGCGGAATTATGTGAGAGGTCATGGATATGGGGACGTCATTTCACAAACGAAGCTATGGTAGTGATTTGGTTGAGGGTATTTATCATAACAGAATAAATAAATACACTAAATAATCGGGAATGTAATTCAGTGAGTGAGTGAGTGAGTTTATGCACCCGAAGGCGATTAGTGTTCCGAGCGTCTAAGGCCCCAAAACTTGCTGTACACACTTCACACCTGCCAAAAATCTGCGAACGTAGGTTCGAATCCTCTGCTCCTGGGTTTCACCAAAGTAGACTTTCTACTGTCCTCCCACAACAAGCTGACACTCCGGGATTTAACTGAAATTATGTTTAGAGTGGCATTAAACTCACTCACACACTATGTTCAGTGAGCTCTTCACACGGAAGTTGTTAAGTTAGGAGTTTACACTGCGTCTCTCTGTGTTGTGCAGCAGGTGCGACGTCCCCCCGGCTCCCTCCCACAACTGCGACTGCTCCGACCCCCACTGCAGGACCCTCGCCCCCTCCGGAACGGCTTTCCCACGGTCAACAACAAAAAAGTCATACACATCCTGGCGGGGGGGCTAGGTTTGCTTATTCCTCTCGGTGTCATCATTGCCATGGCAACCAAAGAAACGCCCCCCGAGATTGAGACATCGACCCAGTTGTTGTCGACGCCGTCGATCTTCTACATGAAGGGCCCCGGTGTGAACGTGGACAGTGTGCACGGCGACAACTTCCCGCTGGACAGGGCAGACAATGTACGGTTTAAGCCATTCAGGAGAAAAAGACGGACAGTCTGATGCTGTGTAGCCCTCGTAGTGTAAATAGTGATGGATGCATAATAAATGTGTTTTTTTATTAATAAAAGATGATGTCAGCTGTATCCTCTGCAGGAATCTAATCCTGGATCCAGTGAGTGAGTGTTGTTTTACGCAATACTGTTTTCCAGGCGTATAGTACTGCGGTTTGGCGATCAGTGCTGCACGTGCATGTCACGGTGAGCTCTGACGTCACCGTCACACATGAATGAACACCAGTCTCGCCGTAATCATCAATGTCATTACATTTAAACTGAATGGAGACATACGAAGTGCGGCGGCCCCTTGTACGATGAACCAGTATCAGTTAGACCTTGCATCACTGAGACAGCATCAGTTAGATGTAATGTATCTGTCTTAGCTGTGCCGGAACCAAGTGGCACATGATCCTGTCCTGCATCACTTCGGGCTTCCTCCCACATCAAGCTGACACACCGTATTAATGTACCTGACATAGCGTTCACAGCGGCGTTAAATCCAACTCACTCACTCCGTGGAGGGATTTCCGATATGAGCTCATTTTCTCCTTTCCCTAACGAGCGATTACCGCTCTTCAGCATACGGGAGGATAACCTGGGTTTAACGCTCCTTTGAAAGTATTCCTGATGTAGGGCGTCTCAGCTCAATGTTGGAGGAAAGCCTGTTGAGGACGCGACATCAAAGGGAGGCAACCCTGCAAATCAGCGCGCCTCATATCGCTGGGCGACCATGCTAACTCTTCAACATACGAAAATACGGTGTACATCAACTATTAATGTCTCCGTCGTGTATTATTAACAGTCACGTTGGACATATTCCAGTACACTTAAAGGATCTACATGTCTGTTTCTGGCGAAATATCAAAAGCAGTTTGTCTAAATCTGTTCCTTAAAGGCTTACTCTTGTTACCAATATACCGTGGCCATAAATATACATGTACATAAACACATGTGAGATACACGTACATGAACAAACCAGGTGGTATTGTTAAACTGGATATTGTCGTGTTAATAGTGAGAAGGCTAACAAAGGATTGGTGGATGGTGTCCCTTGAGGTCGCGTGGCCTGCCACAAAGATGTGTAGTTGTCTCGACATCAGGCCTCTGCATGGACATCTGTTTGGCCTGTGTGGATGAGGTCGCGTGGCCTGCCACAAAGATGTGTAGTTGTCTCAACATCAGGCCTCTACATGGACATCTGTTTGGCCTGTGTGGATGAGGTCGCATGGCCTGCCACAAAGATGTGTAGTTGTCTCGACATCAGGCCTCTACATGGACATCTGTTTGGCCTGTGTGGATGAGGTCGCGTGGCCTGCCACAAAGATGTGTAGTTGTCTCGACATCAGGCCTCTACATGGACATCTGTTTGACCTGTGTGGATGAGGAAAGAAAGCATCCATTGTGGTGTCACAGTAGTCTGCTTTACTGCAGGATGCATGTAACTTGTGTTGGGTTCGATTCCCGGTTCGTTATGATTATGTCTCTGTTTGTTAGTGTGTTTGTTTGTTGTTTAACGCCGCACGCAGCAATATTCCAGTTATATGACGGCGTTTTGTTAAAAATCGAGTCTGGACCAGACACACCAATGATTGATAGCATGAGCAGCCCACGCAATTGGGATACCGTGACATGCATGAACCAAGTCAGCGAGTCTGACCACCCGATTCCGTTAGTCGCCTGTTACGACAAGCATGGGTTGTTGAAGACAAATTCTAACCCGTATCTTCATGGGTCGATTATGTTTCTGAGTTTATTAGCACCATACTTTTGCTCATGGGTTTCACGTCTGTGGTAAACGTCTGGACCTGCATCACATTAGACTTTACTCCCGCATCCCACATCTCAAACGTCTTTTAATCCAACTCGCTCATTCAATATCCAACCACCCACCCGCCCAACCACTTACTCACTCACTTCAATTTCAGACATAACAAAGCATAAATGTCTGTCACTTCTTTCGGATATTTCCTGATCAGTCAGTGTATCCATTCCCATAACGGATAAATTAAACAACACCACGGCACTGGAGCTCACCTGGATATGTTGGCAACAGTTCAAAATGTCAACAAAGATACCCACTTAACAAAAGTTACTGTCAACATTGATATTTAAATGTTTTCTGCATAAACACCGAGGACTAAAAACTAACTAAACTCTAATAATTTAACTAAATATGACGTCATCATACATCATACATTCCCAGGAAAGTTAAACTCCGTCAGCCTGTCAGGGCCAATATGCACTTTGAGGGAATACAATAGCATGGTCATAAAATAGTCAAAATATTGTGAAAAGCGGAACACACGTGTCCCACAATTAAACAAATACGACATTTCATTACATTTTGTATAAAAAGGGGCCGAGTAATGGCCATCAATACATTTATTCAAAATGGCTGCTGTGGTGGCCATATTGAATGTCGGATTCATATCTCTTAAACAAAGTCAGGTTACATCATTGATGGGAACAATCATGTTAAGCTTCACGGTGCCAGTATTTCTGAAGTGCGAGGAAATGGTCAAAGACCAAAGGTCAAATAAGTTGCAAACTTAAAATATCGCTTAAAACGAAACATACTAGGTTACACCCCACTACTAACTATACACATATACCAAACTTCATGACATTTTAACCAGAAATGGCTGAGAAATGGATCTAAGAAGTTTCAGCTTTCAGTTTGGGAGAAATACAAACGTCAAATCAAGACCAAAATGTACAACATTTGATCAAAAATAAAATTATAAAACATATATTGAGCTACAAACTACACAAGTACCAAATTTCATCACATTTTGAAACCCAAAGGAATTCCGGGTCAGAATAGAATGCTGGTCATAAGAGGCGGTCAACTGGCCAGGTGGGCGGACTCGATGGCATGCTTGATTCGTACGCCAATTCCACCGGTCACTGGATTGTTTGGTACGTCCGTAGTTACAGAACCCATAGGGCGTGCGTCCTTCGTCACTATTTTGGTATAGGATAATATACAATGTTATTTCAACACACACACACAAACACACCCCACCACCACCCCACACCCACACCAAACACCCACCCACCCCCACCCCCAACAAAATGCAAATATCATAATTACAACTACCAAAGTTATATGTATAATTTTAGGCAGCTACCTTGTTCGAGGAATGCACTAGTATCCGTGAGCATCCACGTAAAGGAACAATATCCCATACGTCTGCAGCTGCACAAATAAACTTATTCCATGTCACGTGTCTCTGTAACAATGAAATATTTAAAATAAATATATCGTTTCGGGATATTATAACCCATGTTCGATTCTCAACTGATCACCTAGTTTGTTTCAGGTGTTTCACATAGGTGTCAAATCTCAAAGGTCAGCTGAGAAAGCCCACGTGACAACGTAAACTTTATGATGATTTACGTTTTGATCTTTTACAAGAAGCTTTTGCTATTAATAGAGATTTTTTTAAATTTAGGCAGCTTAGATAAATGTTTATTATGCAAGAGGAATTACTGAAACACATTTTAACTAAATGTCTATATTATATGTTTAAAAAGAAGACAAAACTATAAAAGTTAATTATCAATATTATTACAATTTTTGTTATTTAAAAAAAAGTAAAACATCAATTTTATTTTTGTTAGTATTGTGTGTGTGTGTGTGTGTATATATATATATATATATATGACGTCATTGATGGGGACCTATGGACGTGCAATGTGTTACTGCACGTGCATCCAGTGCAGCTGTACACAGCATGTGCAACTCAAAATTCGCTGTCACTTTGGAAAGCATGATCTGTGGTCATTCAAAAATTCAAAACTTCTCAGGCGCAGACACAAGCATATCACAAGAAAATCATGCCAAGATTGACAGCTGCACAGCGGCATGAAGCCATTGGAATGATCCGAGCGGGAATGAGGCAACAACAGGTGGCAACACATTTCCAATGCCATCGTAACACGGTATCGGCATTGGTGAGGCGTTATAAGAACACAAATGACGTTGCCGACCACCCACGTTCAGGACGTCCCCGAGTAACGACGCCAAGACAGGACAGATGGATTCGAGTTACACATCTCCGACACAGGTTCCAAACGGCAGTAACGACGTCCCAGATAATTCCTGGACTGCGCCGTATCCATCCCAACACTGTCAGGAATTGTTTACGTCAGTACGGGATTCGACCACGACGCCCTGCCATACGTCCCATCCTGACACACCGTCATCGAGTCAACCGTCTAAGATGGTGTCGAAATCATGTTCGCCAACCTCGAATATGGTGGAGAAATGTTGTCTTTACAGATGAATCGAGGTTCAACATTTCCCACAGTGACGGGCGCCAACGTGTCTACCGGCGTTTGGGAGAACGTTATGCACGCAACTGTATTGTGGAGAGGAATCGTTTTGGAGGTGGCTCTGTGATGATTTGGGGTGGGATAACAGCACGGCACCGAACCCCTTTGGTGGTTGTTCAGGGCAATCTCACCGGTGTTGGCTACAGAGATCAGATTCTGAGGCCTGTGGTCATTCCTTTCCTGCAACGTCATGGCCCGGGATTGAATTACAACAGGACAACGCTCGTCTTCACACGGCTAGGGTCGCAATGGATTTCCTTCACCATAACAATGTCATGTTACTGCCATGGCCTGCAATTTCTCAAGATCTCTCCCCAATAGAGCATGTGTGGGATGAAATGGAGCGCCGTCTGCGTCGTCTTCCACATCCTCCAGATAACGTCCGTGACTTGGCACAGGATTTGAGGAGGATATGGCAGGCCATTCCCCAGGCCTTCCATGCCCATTTGGTGGACTCCATGCGTCGCCGATGCACTGCTGTGATTCACGCACAGGGTGGTCATACCCGTTATTGACTTTGTGACTTTGTCGTTTGACCCCCTACTCCATTTTGATCTTCTGACGTCATCGTAACAGATGTTGTTCAGGTCCCGTTGACATTTTCTTATGGTCCGATCATTCAGCTGCTACAGCGTCTGCATCATTTTGTTCTTGCTGTGTTGTATTTCAATCCAGAATATATTTTCTCCGTGCACAGTTTCTTTATGTGGCTAGTATATATATACAGATTTGGATACACTTTCCTTTTATCCAAATCTGTATTTATGCTCTACTTTGTATTGAGCACTCTCTTCTGCAATTGGATCATACTTGTGTGTATAAATATATATATATACAATTTTATTTTTTATCTATCTATCTGTCTATTTATCTATCTATCTATACTTTTTTTACTATTGAACTAAATTTATAACCATCATGGGTATTTCCAAACAACGACACCAGATAAGCTTCCATCGTTCTTTTTGTCTGTTTCTTTAGGCTGAAGTAATGAATTAACAAGCGCTCTTTGTTGAAATCTTAATAGATCATGGGTAACCACTCAGTGTTCAAAAATGCGTAACAGATATTGCCTCAAAGTTTATTTAGCTGTACTTACAGACGGTAGCCCAGTCTCTTTTTCACGCTCAGTTGCGTTAGCGAGAAAATCGAGTCACGGCAGCGAGTGAGCTCTAGAGGGAAGTGTCAGACAGCCGAGAAGAAGCCAGAGATTAGTGCCCCTTTAAAGAGACGCCGTGCTACCTTTATATGTCGCTCTTCTTCAACCCTCATTTTTGTGTCGAATAAAATTCAAACTGCACTACGCACACATATACACTCCTCAGTTTAGAATACTGTGGGAATTTCCCTGTTTTGTTTGGTCTTAACATCCATTGGCATTTTAGGCCAAGCCAAATTACTGAAAATGACCTTTGAAAATTGGGTACATTGTAAATGTCGCCATCTTTTTTTCACATTACAAAATCACAACTCACGGGGTTATTTACAGCATGTTTTGAAATATAAATTTCGGATATTTACTCGGAGAAAATGAAATGAATTTAAAAAATAGCATATTCGTGATAACGGGTATCTGTCTTTTATCAAATCCCCAATGGTGATTCAAAAACGTCACCGATAAGCCTAGAATCGTTTAGAATATTTTGGGAAATACGCAAACACGAACGCCCAAGCGAACTTTCCGCCATAGTTGTTAGTGTTAAAAAAATCACGTTTCACGTATACCCATTGGCTCACCGATTTCAGAATATGCGTGGGAAGAGAATCGTATGAAGAATTAGGGAACTAAAAATAGATACATTGCAATGGTTGATATTTTCAACAGAAATAGTCAAAGTTTCCGTCCTGTGTGACGCCATGACTGACGCAAAATCACACAAAACGACAACGGTATTTTTCGGAATTTCTGACTACTTGGTGTCAATGAAAAATATCACAACAAAATATGCAACCACATACGAGTCGCACAACACATTTCTATTTTGTCAGCAGTCACATCATATATTTTACGAGTAGTTCCTGGTTTTGTGCAATTGTTGGCACAACAACCAACTTTTAAACATAAACCTTTTTGACGTCATGGAATGGAAAGACAAAGTTAGGATTTTTTTCAATGCGACATTTATATTGTATGCGTGGCTCTACATATGTCGACATATATAAATTTCCAACATGCGTATCTCGTTCAAATACCTGAGAATATTTTATTCGCTCAAAGTTTTCTGACAAGTGTATAATAAATATTTTTCTCGCATAGCACTATTTGGGCGTGTATTCGAAAACCTGCGAAATGTTTATGCAAAGAATACGTACTATAGACTACGTTTACTATTATTTCTCTTACCTGTTGATATCATGTACGTAAAATGTATGAAGACAATAATTTCCTACAATTAAGTACAATTTAAAGTTTGAAGGTGGCGCATCTAACAAAATGACTTAAAGTAGTTTCTGAATCCAGATTTGAAGTTGGGTGAAATGTATGTTATGTAATATGCACGTGGCAGTCCAGCAAGATCAGTTGACTGATCACTCCGCCCGCCAGGCCAATTAGTGGTTTTACAGAGGAGGGTATGTCCGAAAAGGAAGGGCAACCTGGGGAACTTTAGGGTTGCTTATTTAATTGTCTGGGAAATTTGGAATTTGGAATACCGTGTTATAGGATGGGGAACAAAAGGAGTTTGTGTGGTTGTGTGTGTGTGTGTTTTCAAAAAAAATAAAAAATTATATATTACTTTTTGGGGGGTTTGGGTGTTTATTTTAGGGTTTTAGCATGGTATAGAACGATTTTGTAGTTTATTAGATGCGGCCTAGTAGACCTGTTTTAATTAGGAAAATGCATTGAAGTTTTGTAGGTCGTTTAGTGGGTTTAGAAGTGTTGCCAGAGACATTTGTTTGTTATAGTTTATTGTTTATTGAGGGTTGTTCTGTGTTGTTGGTGTGTGCAGTGTAATATTAATAGTGCGTGTTCAGGTGTTTCTATTTGGTTACAGTGAGGGCATTTACCTGTTTGGTGCTTTCTGATTCTGTGGAGGTGAGAGTTTAGTTTAGTGTGCCCTATCTGTAATTTGATTATTGCCCTGTCGATTTTTTATTTATTTATGAAGAACTTTTGATTTTTTGAGTGGCTTTTGGAGCACCTGTTTTAGTTTACAGTTTGATTTCTGATATTGGTTTTGCCACTTTTGGAGAATTTTACTCTTAGTGATACTTTAAATGTCGTTTTTAGATATTGGTAAATTGATGCTTATCTCTTCTAATTTTAGTGATGTTTTGGCTACTTTGTCGGTGTGTTCGTTACCAAACATCCATACGAATTCTATTTCTTTACCTAGGTTTCGGTGCTTGTTTGAGTTGTGTGACGTTTCTTAGTGGAAGCTTTTTGAGAAGGGTAGCATGCGCCCGAAAATAGCGACCAATGAAAAATTACATAACTTAGTGTCTGTGTAATGTTTTGAAGGCGTTCACACCCACCGTCTGATTGGCCTGTACCGGCTCCTATATTGTGATATTAGAGACGGGGCCCAGCTTAAGGATGGTACCGACAGGTGCGCAGCCGCATGTTTTCCCCGGACCGTCTATATACACGATATCGTGCAAATAGTGGACCAATGCCGTGCAATATACACGACTGGAAAACTCCCTTCTCCGCCTTGAGACGCGAACGCTGATTGGTCTATCAATTTCCTACACAACAAACCTGGTTCCCGGACTCAATTGCGCTACGCTACATTGTATATTACTCCCCCCAAAATGTCTACACCATGGTGCGGGTATCATTTCTAAAAAGATATATCAAAGATAATAAAAATTCTTTACTTGTTGATAAAATTGTAATTTCTTCTCTAAACATCTGTGAAGATATAAAGGTTTGCTACGGTAGATAAACCGGGTGTCACAGTTAGTTAAAAGTTTTGCAGTCGTACAGACATGTTGTGAACATAGAGATCATAAATATTTTGAGTAAACATACTTTACCTAATGAGATACTAGTTTTACGAACCAGAAATTTATAGTTTAGTTTTGTTGAACCAATTAAAATCATAAAATAGAATATCTCGCTGGCATTTAAGTTCATATTGAAGGATATTTGTCTTTTCTCAACGAATACCTTGTTTATCTCATGTAGTCAAGCAGCTAAGTTTATAGATATTTACCCAGTAGATCGAGTACTGGTATATTGCAGACTGAATTATAATAATGGTGTAATGCCATCACGGAGAAACATTACACTATCAATATGTAATCTGATACTCGCGTAACATTACTGCAAACAGCAATGCTTACTTTAACTAACCTGATTTTCAACTACAACTAAGTTTGAGAAAACAGGGGATATTTTTCCTTTTCTTTTCAAACCTGGGCTATTGTCTTTAAACAGCCGTGTTTCCCCGCAAACTATAACAGCTAAGTAGAATCCTTTCCCATTGGACCGAAACATAATCGTTAGCCAATAACAAAGTCGCTTCTATAAGGCTGTGGCGATATCAACATGGCAGCCTACATATAGCATGTGAAGGTCAAACGGCTGTTGGTTAAACAAGTCATATTTGACATGTTATCTTACTAATCGGATACAAAACAACAGATTTTGGAAGTGGTTTTCTCAGAAATAAAGCTGATACACTCGGGATGATTTGAGAGCATTCGTTACACCATTTTCAGGTTTGCACTCTCTAGTGTTCCGTTTTCGATCAACATCAACTCTGCCATGAATGAAAGTATCTCCCGCCCCTTTAAATCAGGCAAGGGAGTTGTATTGCTTATATTGTTCTAACTTGACCTGAACACGTCACAATATGGCGCCGTTACATACATTTTAGTGCAAATGTCACGCGACATGGCACTAAACTGAGTGCATGGAAAAGAAAATGGGCTTCCACAACAGTGAAGTCGAGACAGTAGACTAGCCCCAGCATCCACAACATACATGCATGCACATCACTGTAAGTGCAATAATCTTCACCCCATTTCATCCCAACTCACGAAGACAAGGATACAAATCTCTCATGTGAATGTTTTACTCCATTTAAACAGAAGAGGCAGCCACATTGAGGTTGTTTACTGCTGGTGTCATCATGGTTGGCCGGGAGATCAAGAGGTCACAGTATCTGAGGGGGACACAGGCATTCAAGGCTCGGAACTGGTTCATCTTCACAGCGATGACATCCTCCATCCTCTCTGGAATTGCCATGATGTAACTGTCTCTGTTTGCATCTCTACTGTAACAGTGCTAAGTTGTATTTTTGTTACAATGGCAACAATAAATGACTTTCCTTCAACTGGGGAGAGGATACCTGCACTGCACATGCTTATTTGATGTGTGGCAGTTAGATACATATTGTGAAACTTTGTTACTATAGCTAGTCTTTTGAAAGTCATAAGTCTTAATGTTGGTGCAAAAAATGAAATCAAATGCTGATGTTTTTGACATACTTCTCTTTTGGTCCCCCCCCCCCCCCCCCACACACACACACACACACTAACACACATACGGATCGTATGTATGAAGACAGTTTCAAGTGTCCCCGATTACTATTTACAGGTACTACTTCAATGATGACATGACTCGGCTTTATAACAAACTGGAGAAGAACAGGGAATGGAAACAGCAGCGTCAGGATCGACTCAAAGAAATCTACCAGCGCCGAGCTTGCGAGAAGAAGGAGTAGATCTGTTTCTACGTGCAATGAATTTGTAATGCTATAAGTTGACCAGATTGTATGACCATTAATCGTGTATTGTGGATTGACATTGTAAAGTGGAGCTGACTTTGTATAGTGGAGATCATTGCAAGTGATCGGGCGTTGTTGGATCAAGTCATAACCTGGGAACGATTCAGCTGGTAAAAGCAAGTTGACCACTGAAGGTGAATGGAAAAGAATTGTAGCCTTAGATGTTTTTCGTCACCTAGCAACAGCACAGGATTGAGGAGTTCTGGCGAACTGAAGGTGAGGCAATGTAAACAATGAAATATTTCATAATGTCAAAAAAGAGTGATAGGGTTGAAACACTACAGCAGGATTCTGATATGATACATATCACGATACATAGGTCACAATATGATACATATTGCGATACACATATTCACATCAACTCGCGTGAAAACAATTTGACTGTGAATATTTCAGAGCACGATCCAAAGGAAACTCAGGTTGTAGACACATGTTCCTAGTGGCAAGTTTTAGCAGGAAACTCAGGTTGTAGACACATGTTCCTAGTGGCAAGTTTTAGCAGGAAACTCAGGTTGTAGACACATGTTCCTAGTGGCAAGTTTTAGCAGGAAACTCAGGTTGTAGACACATGTTCCTAGTGGCAAGTTTTAGCAGGAAACTCAGGTTGTAGACACATGTTCCTAGTGGCAAGTTTTAGCAGGAAACTCAGGTTGTAGACACATGTTCCTAGTGGCAAGTTTTAGCAGGAAACTCAGGTTGTAGACACATGTTCCTAGTGGCAAGTTTTAGCAGGAAACTCAGGTTGTAGACACATGTTCCTAGTGGCAAGTTTTAGCAGGAAACTCAGGTTGTAGACACATGTTCCTAGTGGCAAGTTTTAGCAGGAAACTCAGGTTGTAGACACATGTTCCTAGTGGCAAGTTTTAGCAGGAAACTCAGGTTGTAGACACATGTTCCTAGTGGCAAGTTTTAGCAGGAAACTCAGGTTGTAGACACATGTTCCTAGTGGCAAGTTTTAGCAGGAAACTCAGGTTGTAGACACATGTTCCTAGTGGCAAGTTTTAGCAGGAAACTCAGGTTGTAGACACATGTTCCTAGTGGCAAGTTTTAGCAGGAAACTCAGGTTGTAGACACATGTTCCTAGTGGCAAGTTTTAGCAGGAAACTCAGGTTGTAGACACATGTTCCTAGCGGCAAGTTTTAGCAGGAAACTCAGGTTGTAGACACATGTTCCTAGCGGCAAGTTTTAGCAGGAAACTCAGGTTGTAGACACATGTTCCTAGCGGCAAGTTTTAGCAGGAAACTCAGGTTGTAGACACATGTTCCTAGCGGCAAGTTTTAGCAGGAAACTCAGGTTGTAGACACATGTTCCTAGCGGCAAGTTTTAGCAGGAAACTCAGGTTGTAGACACATGTTCCTAGCGGCAAGTTTTAGCAGGAAACTCAGGTTGTAGACACATGTTCCTAGTGGCAAGTTTTAGCAGGAAACTCAGGTTGTAGACACATGTTCCTAGTGGCAAGTTTTAGCAGGAAACTCAGGTTGTAGACACATGTTCCTAGTGGCAAGTTTTAGCAGGAAACTCAGGTTGTAGACACATGTTCCTAGTGGCAAGTTTTAGCAGGAAACTCGAAATGCTCATTACGATACATTTTGTGATATTTGACTGACAAAAGTGTGAGGAGGGGTAGTAGTAAGTAATTTATTTTTGCAAGTGTATCGTCTTGTGATACACAAGAATATGTGTCTTGAATCATATCATCGCATGAAAACTCACGATGAACCTGTACACTGATGAATGCATTCTGTGCATGACAAGGAACAGTAGATGTTAAATAACATCCAAATACATTGGTTTGGTTTCTACATGTTCTAATCAGCCTGATAAAAAGATAATGACCTTTTCTGAATCCCCTGAATGCCAAATGTATATTATGGTTAGTGAGAAGTCCAGACTTCTCCTGTGAGGTAGATAACATACAAATACTTGGACTTGTTGCCATGTTTGCAGAGTCAGAGCCGTTTTAAAATGAGCCAGTGACTGATGACAGAGATGCTTTTCTAGTTCATCTAGTTCATGTTCAGATTTGATCATGCTGAGTGGACCCTTGCTTCTCACAGAAATACTTGACGAGATGGAGAAGACGAAGGAAGGAAGACAGTCGGGAAGTTCCGTGGAGGAAGATGGAGGCAGCACTGACTCCGCAGCCGCTGCAGCGAGATCACTTGGCATGAAGGCAGCAAAGAAGGGCAAGTTGTCCCTCCAGAGGCCAAACGCCGCAGACGGCAAACTGAGGATGCCCGCTACCTCTGGAGCTGATCTGGATGAAACTGGAGACTTCAAGGACGGACACATGTTCTGTATGACCAGTGTCCTCCGGAAACACAGCAGGGCAACGTCAAGTAGCAAACACGGGGATGGAGCAGCGCTTAGTAGACAGAGGCATGGAGCCTCAAGCAGTAAACACACTGATGGAGCCTCACGAAGTAAACACACTGATGGAGCCGGAAGCAGTAAACACACTGATGGAGCCGGAAGCAGTAAACACACTGATGGAGCCGGAAGCAGTAAACACAGCGATGGAGCCGGAAGCAGTAAACACAGCGATGGAGCCGGAAGCAGTAAACACAGCGATGGAGCCGGAAGCAGTAAACACAGCGATGGAGCCGGAAGCAGTAAACACAGTGATGGAGCCGGAAGCAGTAAACACAGCGATGGAGCCGGAAGCAGTAAACACAGCGATGGAGCCGGAAGCAGTAAACACAGCGATGGAGCTGTGAGTAACAAGAACAGTGGGAGTGACTTGTTAGTTGTTGCCAGGAAAAAAAAGACAGTTGAATCAAGAAGAGAAAAAATGAGTGAGATGAACAGAGCTGAAGAGGATGAAGGTAGAAACAGGACTGTGAAGACAGTCGGGGACATTGATGGGAAACAGCAGCCAGCAAAGTCTGGCAAAGCTGGTGATGCTGACGGGACAGTTGAGGAGGTGGGCGCAGGAGTGGTCAGTGCGGGGTCAGGAGGAGTGGTCAGTGCAGGGGCAGGAGGAGTGGTCAGTGCGGGGGCAGCAGGGCCAAACGTGCGGAGTTGTCCCACATGTAAACACCTGATGGCTGACAGGGTTTTCAAAGACCACATCAAGGAGTGTCTGCAGCAGTTCCACATCCGCACCAAGGACAGGAGACGGAGAGGTAACCATAGTAACACCATAGAGGAGTGTAAATATTGGGGGTAGGATATTATTAGTCAGTAGTTCTGCTCTCTGATTGGTCAATCTCACCTTGAGGCATGATAACATATACCATTACAGATGCGCCGAGGCATGTGAGTGAGTGAGTGAGTGAGTTTAACTTTAAACATCATCTTGTTCATGTCATGGTCGAGTTGATGTGTCAGTTTGTTCAGGGAAGAACCCAAAATTTAGACATGTACGACTGTTGTAAAATCTTGGCCATACAAATCAGTGGTTGATAGCATGAAACAATGTTGGCGTCAAGCTGATTTCCATGTTACCATGGTTACTAGGGTGTTACGCCCAGCATGGGGAGCTGGGGACCTGTTCTGCCTGGAACAGCCAGAGGTCAAAGAGCCAACGTAGAGATTCAATGCCATGACTGATGATGAGTGGGTCGTCTTGTATAAATCAGGCCCCGATTTCTCGAAAAAAACTTAAGTTAAAAAACTGACTTTTGAGTTTTTACTCAAATTTGAGAAAACTCAGCAAAATGCATTTCTCAAACAAAACTGAGTTTTGGAAACGGAAGTCAAATTGTGCGTCAAGGCCGCTTACATTGCGGAAAAAAAACTGAGCTCGATCTCAGATGCTGAGTTAAAAATTCAGTTTGATTCGAGAAACGTTGTTGAGTTAAAAACTCAGCTGAATTATTTTTGCAAACTCAGTTTGAAATTTGAATAAAAACTTATATTTTTTAACTTATCCTGCATTACTCCGTATTGCATTTACTGCTGCCTTTTGACAGAGAGACGAACTGTAAAATTGCGAGATCCAGCTGCTGAAGAACGTTGTTCATTGCAAAGAATCAACTCCCAGGACAGGGGATCATTCATTATCCCCTACCCCCTCGTCCATTGTGGGTGCCGAGGATGAGGAGGAGGGTCAATTATACCCAGTTCATAAAGCTGCCGGATTGGACCCTCGCCCAAGGCTATCAACATCGATCAGGGCGATCGCGTTTACCTTGGGTCTTCACAGTATAACTGTTCCATCCAGCCGCTTATGGAAGGTTGTTCTTGGCGATCTGACACCGTCTTCGCCAGCCACTACCTCCCTGATGTAGCCTTGGAAGAGGTTGCCGGTGTTCACAGTTTTGGTCCCTAGTTGTAGCCGTACAAGTCACCAATCACCAACGCCACTGATTCTCTGATACCCTGGGCGGGGCCCGTCTACCTCTCTGGTGTTTATCACCCCAGACAAGTGGGCTCTACTGTGTTTATTATGGATCACTGATATTATCTGATGATATGCCCACCGGCCCCGCCGTCTGATAAAGATGCAATACAGAGTAATGCAGGATAGTTGAAAGATTTAGTAAAATCTAAATATTTTTTTGCATTTGTATACTTATCCTGCATTACGAAGTCTAAGTGCACTCCCTTCACTACGCTGCCTCCCCACAAAGTTTCAGATGTTATGTTTAATGCAGTTATGTGTTTTGATGTGACATCATGACTTCCGGGTCACGTGCCGACTGTGAGAGGGCACTGCTTCCTGTACTGGTTGGAACATCTTTCTTCAGCAGCTGGATCTCACACAGTTCGTCTGTCTGTCAACAGACAGCAGTAAATGCAATACGGAGTAATGCAGGATAAGTATACAAATGTAAAAAATATTTAGATTTAACTAAGTTTGTGTTGAGAAATCAGGGCGGGTCGTCTTGTAAAGATCAGCTTATGGTTCATGGTTTTGTTCAAGTTGAAGTCATGTTTGCTCTGGAGGATGAGAAGATCAAGCGACGGCGCAACCGGTTTTTGGTGAAGGAAAATGGCGGCGATGTGGTGACAGATGATGACTATTTCCTATGTCAGATCTGTCAGAAGGATCTGTCACACATGAACTCCCAGCGACGGACACAGCACATGAACCGTTGTATCGATGAGGTGAGTTAACATCACACCGCACATGAACCGTTGTATTGACGAAGTGAGTTGACGTCACACCGCACATGAACCGTTGTATCGATGAGGTGAGTTGACGGCACACGGCACATGAACCATTGTATCCACGATGTGAGTTGACGTCACACAGCACATGAACCGTTGTTTCCACGAGGGTAGTTGACGTCACACAGCACATGAACCGTTGTTTCCACCAGGTGAGTTGACGTCACACAGCATATGAACTGTTGTTTCCACCAGGTGAGTTGACGTCACACAGCACATGAACCATTGTATCGATGAGGTGAGTTGACGTTACACAGCACATGAACTGTTGTTTCCACCAGGTGAGTTAACATCATACCGCACTTGAACCGTTGTATCGATGAGGTGAGTTGATGTCACAGCGCACATGAACCGTTGTATCGATGAGGTGAGTTAACGTCACACTGCACATGAACCATTGTATGGATGAGGTGAGTTAACGTCACACTGCACATGAACCGTTGTATTGATGAGGTGAGTTAACGTCACACTGCACATGAACCGTTGTATTGACGAAGTGAGTTGACGTCACACCGCACATGAAACATTGTATCCACGAGGTGAGTTGATGTCACACAGCACATGAACAGTTGTATCGACGAGGTGAGTTAACGTCACACCGCACATGAAACGTATCGACGAGGTGAGTTGACGTCACACCACTCATGAACCGTTGTATCGATGAAGTGAGTTGATGTCACACCTTACATGAACCGTTGTATCCACGAGGTGAGTTGACGTAACAGTACATGAACTGTTGTATCGACGAGGTGAGTTAACGTCACACCGCACATGAACCGTTGTATCGATGAGGTGAGTTGATGTCCCACCACACATGAACCGTTGTATTTAAGAGGTGAGTTAACATCACACCACACATGAACCGTTGTATCGATGAGGTGAGTTGACGGCACACGGCACATGAACCATTGTATCCACGATGTGAGTTGACGTCACACAGCACATGAACCGTTGTTTCCACGAGGGTAGTTGACGTCACACAGCACATGAACCGTTGTTTCCACCAGGTGAGTTGACGTCACACAGCATATGAACTGTTGTTTCCACCAGGTGAGTTAACATCATACCGCACATGAACCGTTGTATCGATGAGGTGAGTTGATGTCACAGCGCACATGAACCGTTGTATCGATGAGGTGAGTTAACGTCACACTGCACATGAACCGTTGTATCGATGAGGTGAGTTAACGTCACACTGCACATGAACCGTTGTATTGATGAGGTGAGTTAACGGCACACGGCACATGAACCATTGTATCCACGATGTGAGTTGACGTCACACAGCACATGAACCGTTGTTTCCACGAGGGTAGTTGACGTCACACAGCACATGAACCGTTGTATTGATGAGGTGAGTTAACGTCACACTGCACATGAACCGTTGTATCCAAGAGGTGAGTTGACATCACACAGCACATGAACCGTTGTATCCACGAGGTGAGTTGACGTCACACAGCACATGAACCGTTGTATCGACGAAGTGAGTTGACGTCACACAGCACATGAAACGTTGTATCGATGAGGTGAGTTGACGTCACACCGCACATGAACCGTTGTATGGATGAGGTGAGTTGATGTCACACAGCACATGAATCGCTGTATCCACGAGTTGGTAGATTTTTGTTAGTGATTCTGTCATCAGACTCCTCATTGTAACCATTGAATGGAACTCCCTTCTATATGAGCAGGTATAGCCTTATATTCAGCTGTATATTTATAGGTACGGGGTCAGTTGTGTAATCCTGTGTGTGTCTAGGTACCATTTCAGTGTCTGTGTGTATTTGTAGGTACAGGGTCAGTTGTGTACTCCTGTGTCTGTCAAGGTACTCATTTCAGTGTCTGTGTGTATTTGTATGTAAAGGGTCAGTAGTGTAATCCTGTGTGTGTCTAGGTAACCGTTTCAGTGTCTGTGTGTATTTGTAGGTACAGGGTCAGTAGTGTACTCCTGTGTGTGTCTAGGTAACCGTTTCAGTGTCTGTGTGTATTTGTAGGTACAGGGTCAGTTGTGTAATCCTGTGTGTGTCTAGGTACCCATTTCAGTGTCTGTGTGTATTTGTAGGTACAGGGTCAGTTGTGTAATCCTGTGTGTGTCTAGGTAACCGTTTCAGTGTCTGTGTGTATTTGTAGGTACAGGGTCAGTTGTGTAATCCTGTGTGTGTCTAGGTACCCGTTTCAGTGTCGATGTGTATTTGAAGGTACACTGTCAGTTGTGTAATCCTGTGCGTGTCTAGGTACCATTTCAGTGTCTGTGTGTATTTGTAGGTACAGGGTCAGTAGTGTACTCCTGTGTGTGTCTAGGTACCCGTTTCAGTGTCGATGTGTATTTGAAGGTACACTGTCAGTAGTGTAATCCTGTGTGTGTCTAGGTAACATTTCAGTGTCTGTGTGTATTTGTAGGTACAGGGTCAGTAGTGTACTCCTGTGTGTGTCTAGGTACCCGTTTCAGTGTCTGTGTGTATTTGTAGGTACAGGGTCAGTTGTGTAATCCTGTGTGTGTCTAGGTACCCGTTTCAGTGTCGATGTGTATTTGAAGGTACACTGTCAGTAGTGTAATCCTGTGTGTGTCCAGGTACCATTTCAGTGTCTGTGTGTATTTGTAGGTACAGGGTCAGTTGTGTAATCCTGTGTGTGTCTAGGTAACCGTTTAAGTGTCTGTGTGTATTTGTAGGTACAGGGTCAGTTGTGTAATCCTGTGTGTGTCTAGGTACCCGTTTCAGTGTCGATGTGTATATGTAGGTACAGGGTCAGTAGTGTACTCCTGTGTGTGTCTAGGTACCCGTTTCAGTGTCTGTGTGTATTTGTAGGTACAGGGTCAGTAGTGTAATCCTGTGTGTGTCTAGGTACCCGTTTCAGTGTCTGTGTGTATTTGTAGGTACACTGTCAGTTGTGTAATCCTGTGTGTGTCTAGGTACCCGTTTCAGTGTCTGTGTGTATTTGTAGGTACAGGGTCAGTAGTGTACTCCTGTGTGTGTCTAGGTACCCGTTTCAGTGTCTGTGTGTATTTGTAGGTACAGGGTCAGTTGTGTAATCCTGTGTGTGTCTAGGTACCCGTTTCAGTGGCTGTGTGTATTTGTAGGTACAGGGTCAGTTGTGTAATCCTGTGTGTGTCTACGTACCCATTTCAGTGTCTGTGTGTATTTGTAGGTACACTGTCAGTTGTGTAATCCTGTGTGTGTCTAGGTACCCGTTTCAGTGTCTGTGTGTATTTGTAGGTACAGGGTCAGTAGTGTACTCCTGTGTGTGTCTAGGTACCCATTTCAGTGTCTGTGTGTATTTGTAGGTACAGGGTCAGTTGTGTAATCCTGTGTGTGTCTAGGTACCCATTTCAGTGTCTGTGTGTATTTGTAGGTACAGGGTCAGTAGTGTAATCCTGTGTGTGTCAAGGTACCCATTTCAGTGTCTGTGTGTATTTGTAGGTACAGGGTCAGTAGTGTAATCCTGTGTGTGTCAAGGTACCCGTTTCAGTGTCTGTGTGTATTTGTAGGTACACTGTCAGTTGTGTACTCCTGTGTGTGTCTAGGTACCCGTTTCAGTGTCTGTGTGTATTTGTAGGTACAGGGTCAGTAGTGTACTCCTGTGTGTGTCTAGGTACCTGTTTCAGTGTCTGTGTGTATTTGTAGGTACACTGTCAGTTGTGTACTCCTGTGTGTGTCTAGGTACCCATTTCAGTGTCTGTGTGTATTTGTAGGTACAGGGTCAGTAGTGTACTCCTGTGTGTGTCCAGGTACCATTTCAGTGTCTGTGTGTATTTGTAGGTACAGGGTCAGTAGTGTAATCCTGTGTGTATCTAGGTACCCATTTCAGTGTCTGTGTGTATTTGTAGGTACAGGGTCAGTAGTGTACTCCTGTGTGTGTCTAGGTACCTGTTTCAGTGTCTGTGTGTATTTGTAGGTACACTGTCAGTTGTGTACTCCTGTGTGTGTCTAGGTACCAATTTCAGTGTCTGTGTGTATTTGTAGGTACAGGGTCAGTAGTGTACTCCTGTGTGTGTCCAGGTACCATTTCAGTGTCTGTGTGTATTTGTAGGTACAGGGTCAGTAGTGTAATCCTGTGTGTATCTAGGTACCCATTTCAGTGTCTGTGTGTATTTGTAGGTACAGGGTCAGTAGTGTACTCCTGTGTGTGTCCAGGTACCATTTCAGTGTCTGTGTGTATTTGTAGGTACAGGGTCAGTAGTGTAATCCTGTGTGTATCTAGGTACCCATTTCAGTGTCTGTGTGTATTTGTAGGTACAGGGTCAGTAGTGTAATCCTGTGTGTGTCTAGGTACCCATTTCATTGTCTGTGTGTATTTGTAGGTACAGGGTCAGTTGTGTAATCCTGTGTGTATCTAGGTACCCATTTCAGTGTCTGTGTGTATTTGTAGGTACAGGGTCAGTTGTGTAATCCTGTGTGTGTCCAGGTACCATTTCAGTGTCTGTGTGTATTTGTAGGTACAGGGTCAGTAGTGTAATCCTGTGTGTATCTAGGTACCCATTTCAGTGTCTGTGTGTATTTGTAGGTACAGGGTCAGTTGTGTAATCCTGTGTGTGTCTAGGTACCCATTTCAGTGTCTGTGTGTATTTGTAGGTACAGGGTCAGTAGTGTAATCCTGTGTGTGTCTAGGTACCCATTTCAGTGTCTGTGTGTATTTGTAGGTACAGGGTCAGTAGTGTTCTCCTGTGTGTGTCTAGGTACCCATTTCAGTGTCTGTGTGTATTTGTAGGTACAGGGTCAGTAGTGTAATCCTGTGTGTGTCTAGGTACCCATTTCAGTGTCTGTGTGTATTTGTAGGTACAGGGTCAGTTGTGTACTCCTGTGTGTGTCTAGGTACCCGTTTCAGTGTCTGTGTGTATTTGTAGGTACAGGGTCAGTAGTGTACTCCTGTGTGTGTCTAGGTACCCGTTTCAGTGTCTGTGTGTATTTGTAGGTACACTGTCAGTTGTGTACTCCTGTGTGTGTCTAGGTACCCGTTTCAGTGTCTGTGTGTATTTGTAGGTACAGGGTCAGTAGTGTACTCCTGTGTGTGTGTCTAGGTACCCATTTCAGTGTCTGTGTGTATTTGTAGGTACAGGGTCAGTTGTGTAATCCTGTGTGTGTCTAGGTACCCATTTCAGTGTCTGTGTGTATTTGTAGGTACAGGGTCAGTAGTGTAATCCTGTGTGTGTCTAGGTACCCATTTCAGTGTCTGTGTGTATTTGTAGGTACAGGGTCAGTTGTGTACTCCTGTGTGTGTCTAGGTAACCGTTTCAGTGTCTGTGTGTATTTGTAGGTACACTGTCAATTGTGTACTCCTGTGTGTGTCTAGGTACCCATTTCAGTGTCTGTGTGTATTTGTAGGTACACTGTCAGTTGTGTACTCCTGTGTGTGTCTAGGTACCCATTTCAGTGTCTGTGTGTATTTGTAGGTACAGGGTCAGTAGTGTAATCCTGTGTGTGTCTAGGTACCATTTCAGTGTCTGTGTGTATTTGTAGGTACAGGGTCAGTTGTGTACTCCTGTGTGTGTCTAGGTAACATTTCAGTGTCGATGTGTATTTGTAGGTACAGGGTCAGTAGTGTAATCCTGTGTGTGTCTAGGTACCCATTTCAGTGTCTGTGTGTATTTGTAGGTACAGGGTCAGTTGTGTAATCCTGTGTGTGTCTAGGTACCCATTTCAGTGTCTGTGTGTATTTGTAGGTACAGGGTCAGTTGTGTACTCCTGTGTGTGTCTAGGTACCCGTTTCAGTGTCTGTGTGTATTTGTAGGTACAGGGTCAGTTGTGTAATCCTGTGTGTGTCTAGGTACCCATTTCAGTGTCTGTGTGTATTTGTAGGTACAGGGTCAGTTGTGAACTCCTGTGTGTGTCTAGGTACCCATTTCAGTGTCTGTGTGTATTTGTAGGTACAGGGTCAGTAGTGTAATCCTGTGTGTGTCTAGGTACCCGTTTCAGTGTCTGTGTGTATTTGTAGGTACAGGGTCAGTAGTGTAATCCTGTGTGTGTCTAGGTACCCATTTCAGTGTCTGTGTGTATTTGTAGGTACAGGGTCAGTTGTGTAATCCTGTGCGTGTCTAGGTACCATTTCAGTGTCTGTGTGTATTTGTAGGTACAGGGTCAGTAGTGTACTCCTGTGTGTGTCTAGGTACCCGTTTCAGTGTCGATGTGTATTTGTAGGTACAGGGTCAGTAGTGTACTCCTGTGTGTGTCTAGGTAACCGTTTCAGTGTCTGTGTGTATTTGTAGGTACAGGGTCAGTTGTGTAATCCTGTGTGTGTCTAGGTAACCGTTTCAGTGTCTGTGTGTATTTGAAGGTACACTGTCAGTTGTGTAATCCTGTGTGTGTCTAGGTAACATTTCAGTGTCTGTGTGTATTTGTAGGTACAGGGTCAGTAGTGTACACCTGTGTGTGTCTAGGTACCCGTTTCAGTGTCTGTGTGTATTTGTAGGTACAGGGTCAGTTGTGTAATCCTGTGTGTGTCTAGGTACCCGTTTCAGTGTCGATGTGTATTTGAAGGTACACTGTCAGTAGTGTAATCCTGTGTGTGTCCAGGTACCATTTCAGTGTCTGTGTGTATTTGTAGGTACACTGTCAGTAGTGTAATCCTGTGTGTGTCTAGGTACCATTTCAGTGTCTGTGTGTATTTGTAGGTACAGGGTCAGTTGTGTAATCCTGTGTGTGTCTAGGTACCCATTTCAGTGTCTGTGTGTATTTGTAGGTACAGGGTCAGTAGTGTAATCCTGTGTGTGTCAAGGTACCCATTTCAGTGTCTGTGTGTATTTGTAGGTACAGGGTCAGTAGTGTAATCCTGTGTGTGTCTAGGTACCCGTTTCAGTGTCTGTGTGTATTTGTAGGTACAGGGTCAGTAGTGTAATCCTGTGTGTGTCTAGGTAACCGTTTCAGTGTCTGTGTGTATTTGTAGGTACAGGGTCAGTAGTGTAATCCTGTGTGTGTCTAGGTACCCGTTTCAGTGTCTGTGTGTATTTGTAGGTACAGGGTCAGTAGTGTACTCCTGTGTGTATCTAGGTACCCGTTTCAGTGTCGATGTGTATTTGTAGGTACAGGGTCAGTAGTGTAATCCTGTGTGTGTCTAGGTACCTGTTTCAGTGTCTGTGTGTATTTTTAGGCTGAGATGAAAGAAGACAAACTCGAAGTGGAGCAACAATCGGGGAAGAGTGCTCAGTCGATTGTTTTGGACTGCCCTATGTGTGGTAAACCACTGAAAACAGAATCTGTGAGTATAATAGCGATGCTTGAACATTAATTACAGCTTGCACTATCTGTGTCCTGGCAACTTGATGGCCTGAATTTCACTACACATTACCTGGTGAACCTTGGGACTTAGAAGGTGTTTTTGAGGGGTTATTGACAGGAAGTAATGTTGTGTTTATGAAGATTACTATTGGTGGATTGACGATCCTTTCATTTTTCTTGTGAATGTTGGTCATCGTGTGTTTGTGACACGGATTCAGAGTCGGAAGGTGCACCTGAAGCAGTGTGCACGGATGTTGAACGTGAAGACAGGAATGATGCTGCAGGCCGTGAAGGCCCAGGAGGATGAGCACCAGGTGAAGATGGCCGCCGGGATCACCCAGCAGGCCAGCAGGTGAATATACATTCATGGCCGCCGGAATCGCAACACATTAACGTGGCCACCGGAATCACAACACACAAACATGGCTGTACAGATGTCACTGCATAGCAACAGACAATCATTGCTGTAGAGACGTAACTACATAGCAACAGACGTCACTGCATGGCGACACACAAACATGGCTGTACAGACGTCACTGCATAGCAACAGAGAAGCATGGCTATACAGACGTCACTGCATAGCAACAGACACTCATGGCTGTACAGACGTCATTGCATAGCAACATCCAAACATGGCTGTACAGACGTCACTGCATAGCAACAGACAGCTGTATAGACGTCACTGCATAGCAACAGACAGCTGTACAGACGTCACTGCATAGCAACACACAAACATGGCTGTACAGATGTCACTGCATAACAACAGACAGCTGTACAGACGTCACTGCATAGCAACAGACAGCTGTACAGACGTCACTGCATAGCAACAGACAGCTGTACAGACGTCACTGCATAACAACAGACAGCTGTACAGATGTCACTGCATAACAACATACAGCTGTACAGATGTCACTGCATAGCAACAGACAGCTGTACAGACGTCACTGCATAGCAACACACAAACATGGCTGCACAGATGTCACTGCATAGCAACAGACAGCTGTACAGATGTCACCGCATAGCAACAGACAGCTGTACAGATGTCACTGCATAACAACAGACAGCTGTACAGATGTCACTGCATAACAACAGACAGCTGTACAGACGTCACTGCATAGCAACACACAAACATGGCTGTACAGATGTCACTGCATAGCAACAGACAGCTGTACAGATGTCACTGCATAGCAACAGACAGCTGTACAGATGTCACTGCATAGCAACACACAAACATGGCTGTACAGATGTCACTGCATAGCAACAGACAGCTGTACAGATGTCACTGAATAACAACAGACAGCTGTACAGATGTCACTGCATAACAACAGACAGCTGTACAGACGTCACTGCATAGGAACACACAAACATGGCTGTACAGATGTCACTGTATAGCAACAGACAGCTGTACAGATGTCACTGCATAACAACAGACAGCTGTACAGATGTCACTGCATAACAACAGACAGCTGTACAGACGTCACTGCATAACAACAGACAGCTGTACAGACGTCACTGCATAGCAACACACAAACATGGCTGTACAGATGTCACTGCATAGCAACAGACAGCTGTACAGATGTCACTGCGTAACAACAGACAGCTGTATAGACGTCACTGCATAGCAACAGACAGCTGTACAGACGTCACTGCATAGCAACAGACAGCTGTACAGACGTCACTGCATAGCAACAGACAAACACAGCTGTACAGACGGAAACCTCCAGTATCAGAAGGGAGACAGCCCTCATACTTGACATTCCCTATTATTGTTCTGTTTTTGTCCAGGGAAGTTCCAAGGAAGAAGACAGCCGCTGGAGCCCCAGGGAAAAAACTAACAAAGAAGAAAGCTAAGGGGTAGGTAACCATAGCAGCTGCACAGTACCATAGCAGCTGCATGGGAGTAGAGCACACTGTCACAGGAAGCACTGAACCCTCGAGGGATTCCAAGTAGGAATGGATCCCTATCACACCAATACCCAGCACACCAATACCCCAGCACACCTACATGCCAGCACACCAATACCCCAGCACACCAATACCCCAGCACACCAATACCCCAGCACATCAATACCCCAGCACACATACACCCAGGGTTTACCTTGGCTGAGAGACCAGGGACCCCGATGGTTAATATCAAGGCTCCTTGCAGGCAATATGAGGGTCCTGTAAAGTAATATAATGGTGTAGTGTACTGTACATTTTGATAACTTCATCAGATCCTGGAATGAATCAAAGATCATGTGGACAGTGGCCATGATTGATGGATGAAATGACAGACACCCATAACTCTTTTTTATGCACTGTAGGTACAATGAATATTATTGTGCGTCTCTAGAGATGCTGTGTATTCTTTTTCTGCATCCATTCTCTACATTTGTGCGTTGCGTAAAACCCTGCATACAACCTAGTACATCAACACCCACGCGCACCAACACCCCATCCAACAACCACCATCATCTCTGCACAACCCATCACCAAACCACACCCCAGAAGCACAAGAAATCACAACCCAGAACCTCTAGCAACCAAGCAAAACCCAAGAAATAGAACCCCAGCACATCACGACCCCAAACCCTCAGTACACCCCAGAATCGACTCCCATCCCAGCACACCCACACCCTCAGAACACCACAACCCCCTTCCCATCCCAGCACACCTTGACCCTGAGAACCCAACAATCACCTCCCATGCCAGCACACCTCACAACCCCCTCCCATCCAAGCACACCTAGACCCAGAAAACCCCACAACCCCCTTCCCATCCCATCCCAGTACACCCCAGAATTCCCTCCCATCCCAGCACACCAAGACCCAGAGAACCCCACAACCCCCTTCCTATCCCAGCACACCCAGACCCTGAGAACCCCACAACCCCCTTCCTATTCCAGCACACCCATACCCTGAGAACCCCACAATCCCTTCCCATCCAAGCACACCCCAGAATTCCCTCCACTCCCAGAACACCCGGACCCAGAGAACCCCACAGCCCCCTTCCTACCCCAGCACACCCAGACCCAGAGAACCCCACAACCCCCTTCCTATCCCAGCACACCCAGACCCTGAGAACCCCACAATCCCCTCCCATCCCAGCACACCCCAGAATTCCCTCCCATCCCAGCACACCCAGACCCTGAGAACCCCACAACCCCTTCTTGTCCCAGCAAACCCAGACCCTGAGAGCCCCACAACCACCTTCCCAACCAAGCACACCCCAGAATTTCCTCCTATCCCAGCACACCCAGACCCAGAGAACCCCAAAATCCCCTTCCCATCCCAGCACACCCAGACCCAGAGAACCCCAAAATCCCCTTCCCATCCCAGCACACCCAGACCCTGAGAGCCCCACAACCCCCTCCAATCCCAGCACACCCAGACCCTCAGAACCCCACAACCCCCTCCCATCCCAGCACCCCCTAGAATCCCCTCCTATCCCAGCACACCAAGACCCAGAGAGCCCCACAACCCCCTTCTTATTATCCCAGCACACCCAGACCCAGAGAACCCCACAACCCCCTTCCCATCCCAGCACACCCCAGAATTCCCTCCCATCCCAGCACACCAAGACCCAGAGAGCCCCACAACCCCCTCAAATCCCAGCACACCCAGACCCTCAGAACCCCACAACCCCCTCCCATCCCAGCACACCCTAGAATCCCCTCCCATCCCAGCACACCCAGACCCAGAGAGCCCCACAACCCCCTTCTTATCCCAGCACAACCAGACCCAGAGAACCCCACAACCCACTTTCCCATCCCAGCACACCCCAGAATTCCCTCCCATACCAGCACACCAAGACCCAGAGAACCCCACAACCCCAACTCGTCCCAGCACACCCAGATCCAGAGAAACCCATAACCCCCTTCCCATCCCAGCACACCCCAGAATTCCCTCCCATCCCAGCATACCCAGACCCAGAGAACCCCACAGTCCCCTTCCTATCCCAGCACACCAAGACCCTAAGAACCCCACAACCACCTTCCCATCCCAGCAAACTCCAGAATTTCCTCCCGTCCCAGCACACCCAGACCCAGAGAACCCCACAACCACCTTCCCATCCCAACACCCCCCCAGAATTCCCTCCCGTCCCAGAACACCTAGACCAAGAGAACCCCACAACCCCCTTCCCATCCCAGCACACCCAGACCCTGAGAAACCCACAACCCCCTTCCAATCCCAGCACACCCAGACCCTCTGAACCCCACAACCCCCTCCCGTCCCAGCACACCCAGACCCAGAGAACCCCACAACCCCCTTCCTATCCCAGCACACCCAGACCCAGAGAACCCCACAACCCCCTTTCCCATCCCAGCACACCCCAGAATTCCCTCCCATCCCAGCACACCAAGACCCAGAGAACCCCACAACCCCCTCTCGTCCCAGCACACCCAGATCCAGAGAAACCCATAACCCCCTTCCCATCCCAGCACACCCAAGAATTCCCTCCCATCCCAGCATACCCAGACCCAGAGAACCCCACAATCCCCTTCCTATCCCAGCACACCAAGACCCTAAGAACCCCAAAACCACCTTCCCATCCCAGCACACCCCAGAATTCCCTCCCGTCCCAGCACACCCAGACCCAGAGAACCCCACAACCACCTTCCCATCCCATCACACCCCATAATTCCCTCCCGTCCCAGAACACCCAGACCAAGAGAACCCCACAACCCCCTTCCCATCCCAGCACACCCAGACCGTGAGAAACCCACAACCCCCTTCCCATCCCAGCACACCCAGACCCTCAGAACCCCACAACCCCCTTCCTATCCCAGCACACCCAGACCCTGAGAACCCCACAACCCCCTTCCCAACCAAGCACACCCCAGAATTCCCTCCTATCCCAGCACACCCAGACCCAGAGAACCCCACAACCCCCTCCTATCCCAGCACACCCAGAGCCTGAGAACCCCACAACCCCCTCCCGTCCCAGCACACCCACACCCTGAGAACCCCACAACCCCCTCCCATCCCAGCACACCCAGACCCTGAGAACCCCACAACCCCCTCCCATCCCAGCTCACCCCAGAATTCCCTCCAGTCCCAGCACACCCAGACCCTGAGAACCCCACAACCACCTTCCCATCCCAGCACACCCAGACCCTGAGAGCCCCACAACCCCCTCCAATCCCAGCACACCCAGACCCTCAGAACCCCACAACCCCCTCCCATCCCAGCACCCCCTAGAATCCCCTCCTATCCCAGCACACCCAGACCCAGAGAGCCCCACAACCCCCTTCTTATTATCCCAGCACACCCAGACCCAGAGAACCCCACAACCCCCTTCCCATCCCAGCACACCCCAGAATTCCCTCCCATCCCAGCACACCAAGACCCAGAGAGCCCCACAACCCCCTCCAATCCCGGCACACCCAGACCCTGAGAACTCCACAACCCCCTCCCATCCCAGCACACCCTAGAATCCCCTCCCATCCCAGCACACCCAGACCCAGAGAGCCCCACAACCCCCTTCTTATCCCAGCACACCCAGACCCAGAGAACCCCACAACCCCCTTTCCCATCCCAGCACACCCCAGAATTCCCTCCCATCCCAGCACACCAAGACCCAGAGAACCCCACAACCCCCTTCCTATCCCAGCACACCCCAGAATTCCCTCCTATCCCAGCACACCCAGACCCTCAGAACCCCACAACCCCCTCCCATCCCAGCACACCAAGAACCTGAGAACCCCATAACCCCCTCCCATCCCAGCACACCCACACCCTGAGAACCCCACAATCCCCTCCCATCCCAGCACACCCAGACCCTGAGAACCCCACAACCCCCTCCCATCCCAGCCAACCCCAGAATTCCCTCCAGTCCCAGCACACCCAGACCCAGAGAACCCCACAACCACCTTCCAATCCCAGCACACCCAGACCCTCAGAACCCCACAACCCCCTCCAATCCCAGCACACCCAGACCCTCAGAACCCCACAACCCTCTCCCGTCCCAGCACACCCACACCCTGAGAACCCCACAACCCCCTCTCATCCCAGCACACCCAAAAATTTCCCTCCCATCCCAGCATAACCAGACCCAGAGAACCCCACACCCCAGAATTCCCTTCTATCCCAGCACACCCAGACCCTCAGAACCCCTTAACCCCCCCAAATCCCAGCACACCCAGACCCTCAGAACCCCACAACCCCCTCCCGTCCCGGCACACCCACACCCTGAGAACCCCACAACCCCCTCCCATCCCAGCACACCAAGAACCTGAGAACCCCATAACCCCCTCCCATCCCAGCACATCCCAGAATTCCCTCCTATCCCAGCATACCCAGACCAAGAGAACCCCACAATCCCCTTCCTATCCCAGCACACCAAGACCCTAAGAACCCCACAACCACCTTCCCATCCCAACACACCCCATAATTCCCTCCCGTCCCAGAACACCCAGACCAAGAGAACCCCACAACCCCCTTCCCATCCCAGCACACCCAGACCGTGAGAAACCCACAACCCCCTTCCAATCCCAGCACACCCAGACCCTCAGAACCCCATAAACCCCCTTCCTATCCCAGCACACCCAGACCCTGAGAACCCCACAACCCCCTTCCCAACCAAGCACACCCCAGAATTCCGTCCTATCCCAGCACACCCAGACCCTCAGAACCCCACAACCCCCTCCTATCCCAGCACACCCAGACCCTCAGAACCCCACAACCCCCTCCCGTCCCGGCACACCCACACCCTGAGAACCCCACAACCCCCTCCCATCCCAGCACACCAAGAACCTGAGAACCCCACAACCCCCTCCCATCCCAGGACACCCACACCCTGAGAACCCCACAACCCCCTCCCATCCCAGCACACCCAGACCCTGAGAACCACACAACCCCCTCCCATCCCAGCACACCCCAGAATTCCCTCCCGTCCCAGAACACCCAGGCCCAGAGAACCCCACAACCCCACAACCCCCTTCCCATCCCAGCACACCGAGACCCTCAGAACCCCTTAACCCCCCCAAATCCCAGCACACCCAGACCCTCAGAACCCCACAATCCCCTCCCGTCCCGGCACACCCACACCCTGAGAACCCCACAACCCCCTCCCATCCCAGCACACCAAGAACCTGAGAACCCCACAACCCCCTCCCATCCCAGCACATCCCAGAATTCCCTCCCGTCCCAGCACACCCAGACCCAGAGAACCCCACAAACCCCTTCCTATCCCAGCACACCCAGACCCTGAGAAACCCACAACCCCCCCAAATCCCAGCACACCCAGACCCTCAGAACCCCACAACCCCCTCCCGTCCCAGCATACCCACACCCTGAGAACCCCACAACCCCCTCCCATCCCAGCACACCAAGAACCTGAGAACCCCACAACCCCCTTCCCAACAAGCACACCCCAGAATTCCCTCCCATCCCAGCACACCCAGACGCAGAGAACCCCACAACCCCCTCTGGTCCCAGCACACCCAGACCCTGAGAGCCCCACAACCCCCTTCCCAACCAAGCACACCCCAGAATTCCCTCCTATCTCAGCACACCCAGACCCAGAGAACCCGAAAAAAACCCTTCCCATCCCAGCACACCCAGACCCTGAGAGCCCCACAACCCCCTCAAATCCCAGCACACCCAGACCCTCAGAACCCCACAACCCCCTCCCATCCCAGCACACCCTAGAATCCCCTCCCATCCCAGCACACCCAGACCCAGAGAGCCCCACAACCCCCTCAAATCCCAGCACACCCAGACCCAGAGAACCCCACAACCCCCTTCCCATCCCAGCACACCCTAGAATCCCCTCCCATCCCAGCACACCAAGACCCAGAGAGCCCCACAACCCCCTTCTTATCCCAGCTCACCCAGACCCAGAGAACCCCACAACCCCCTTCCCATCCCAGCACACCCTAGAATCCCCTCCCATCCCAGCACACCCAGACCCAGAGAGCCCCTTAACCCCCTTCTTATCCCAGCACACCAAGACCCAGAGAACCCCACAACCCCCTCTCGTCCCAGCACACACAGATCCAGAGAAACCCATAACCCCCTTCCCATCCCAGCACACCCAAGAATTCCCTCCCATCCCAGCATACCCAGACCCAGAGAACCCCACAATCCCCTTCCTATCCCAGCACACCAAGACCCTAAGAACCCCAAAACCACCTTCCCATCCCAGCACACCCCAGAATTCCCTCCCGTCCCAGCACACCCAGACCCAGAGAACCCCACAACCACCTTCCCATCCCATCACACCCCATAATTCCCTCCCGTCCCAGAACACCCAGACCAAGAGAACCCCACAACCCCCTTCCCATCCCAGCACACCCAGACCCTGAGAAACCCACAACCCCCTTCCCATCCCAGCACACCCAGACCCTCAGAACCCCACAACCCCCTTCCTATCCCAGCACACCCAGACCCTGAGAACCCCACAACCCCCTTCCCAACCAAGCACACCCCAGAATTCCCTCCTATCCCAGCACACCCAGACCCAGAGAACCCCACAACCCCCTCCTATCCCAGCACACCCAGAGCCTGAGAACCCCACAACCCCCTCCCGTCCCAGCACACCCACACCCTGAGAACCCCACAACCCCCTCCCATCCCAGCACACCCAGACCCTGAGAACCCCACAACCCCCTCCCATCCCAGCTCACCCCAGAATTCCCTCCAGTCCCAGCACACCCAGACCCTGAGAACCCCACAACCACCTTCCCATCCCAACACACCCAGACCCTGAGAGCCCCACAACCCCCTCCAATCCCAGCACACCCAGACCCTCAGAACCCCACAACCCCCTCCCATCCCAGCACCCCCTAGAATCCCCTCCTATCCCAGCACACCCAGACCCAGAGAGCCCCACAACCCCCTTCTTATTATCCCAGCACACCCAGACCCAGAGAACCCCACAACCCCCTTCCCATCCCAGCACACCCCAGAATTCCCTCCCATCCCAGCACACCAAGACCCAGAGAGCCCCACAACCCCCTCCAATCCCGGCACACCCAGACCCTGAGAACTCCACAACCCCCTCCCATCCCAGCACACCCTAGAATCCCCTCCCATCCCAGCACACCCAGACCCAGAGAGCCCCACAACCCCCTTCTTATCCCAGCACACCCAGACCAAGAGAACCCCACAACCCCCTTTCCCATCCCAGCACACCCCAGAATTCCCTCCCATCCCAGCACACCAAGACCCAGAGAACCCCACAACCCCCTTCCTATCCCAGCACACCCCAGAATTCCCTCCTATCCCAGCACACCCAGACCCTCAGAACCCCACAACCCCCTCCCATCCCAGCACACCAAGAACCAGAGAACCCCACAAACCCCTTCCTATCCCAGCACACCCAGACCCTGAGAAACCCACAACCCCCCCAAATCCCAGCACACCCAGACCCTCAGAACCCCACAACCCCCTCCCGTCCCAGCATACCCACACCCTGAGAACCCCACAACCCCCTCCCATCCCAGCACACCAAGAACCTGAGAACCCCACAACCCCCTTCCCAACAAGCACACCCCAGAATTCCCTCCCATCCCAGCACACCCAGACGCAGAGAACCCCACAACCCCCTCTGGTCCCAGCACACCCAGACCCTGAGAGCCCCACAACCCCCTTCCCAACCAAGCACACCCCAGAATTCCCTCCTATCTCAGCACACCCAGACCCAGAGAACCCGAAAAAAAACCCTTCCCATCCCAGCACACCCAGACCCTGAGAGCCCCACAACCCCCTCAAATCCCAGCACACCCAGACCCTCAGAACCCCACAACCCCCTCCCATCCCAGCACACCCTAGAATCCCCTCCCATCCCAGCACACCCAGACCCAGAGAGCCCCACAACCCCCTCAAATCCCAGCACACCCAGACCCAGAGAACCCCACAACCCCCTTCCCATCCCAGCACACCCTAGAATCCCCTCCCATCCCAGCACACCAAGACCCAGAGAGCCCCACAACCCCCTTCTTATCCCAGCTCACCCAGACCCAGAGAACCCCACAACCCCCTTCCCATCCCAGCACACCCTAGAATCCCCTCCCATCCCAGCACACCCAGACCCAGAGAGCCCCTTAACCCCCTTCTTATCCCAGCACACCCAGACCCAGAGAACCCCACAACCCCCTTCCCATCCCAGCACACCCCAGAATTCCCTCCCATCGCAGCACACCCAGACCCAGAGAGCCCCACAACCCCCTTCTTATCCCAGCACACCCAGACCCAGAGAACCCCACAACCCCCTTCCCATTCCCAGCACACCCCAGACCCTCAGAACCCCACAACCCCCTCCCATCGCCGCACACCCCAGAATCCCCTCCCATCCCAGCACACCCAGACCCAGAGAGCCCCACAACCCCCTTCCTATTATCCCAGCACACCCCAGAATTCCCTCCCATCCCAGCACAATCAGACCCAGAGAACCCCACAACCCCCTCTCGTCCCAGCATACCCAGATCCTGAGAAACCCATAACCCCCTTCCCATCCCAGCACACCTAAAAATTTCCCTCCCATCCCAGCATACCCAGACCCAGAGAACCCCACAACCCCCTTCCCATCCCAGCACCCCCCAGAATTCCCTCCCATCCTAGCACACCCAGACCCAGAGAACCCCACAACCCCCTTCCCATCCCAGCACACCCCAGAATTCCCTCCCATCCTAGCACACCCAGACCCAGAGAACCCCACAACCCCCTTCCCATCCCAGCACACCCTAGAATCCCCTCCCATCCCAGCACACCCAGACCCTGAGAACCCCACAACCCCCTTCCCATCCCAGCACACCCCAGAATTCCCTCCCATCCTAGCACACCCAGACCCAGAGAACCCCACAACCACCTTCCCATCCCAGCACACCCCAGAATTCCCTCCCGTCCCAGCACACCCAGACCCAGAGAACCCCACAACCCCCTTCCCATCCCAGCACACCCAGACCCAGAGAACCCCACAACCCCCTCCCGTCCCAGCACACCCCAGAATTCCTTCCCATCCCAGCACACCAAGACCCTGAGAACCCCACAACCCCCTCCCATCCCAGCACACCCCAGAATTCCCTCCCATCCCAGCACACCCAGACCCAGAGAACCCCACAACCCCCTTCCCATCCCAGCAATCAATGCTGAAGCACTGTATATTAGAATTAACATTCTTTCTGTAACATGTCATTGTCAATGAAGCCAGTTGAGCACAACTCCTTGTTTGTCAGGCCGATGGATGAGGACACACAGCTGGCCATGGCGCTGTCCTCCTCGCTCGCCGAAGAGGAGACAAAGAAGGAACAGGCTCTGATTGGTCAGTTGAATCTACGAGGAATTGCCAACATCGCCCAGAAAGACAGGAAGGAGGCCAAGAAGACCAGAAAAAAGAAAGAGTAAGACCAAAGAAATTGCACTAATAAATAGCACTAAGGGATCACTACATGAGTTTGCCTCGGTGTGTTCGGGCAGTCCTGTTTTTCCCGGACTAGTGCAGTGACAAGCATCTATATACAAGGGTTAGGGTTAGGGTTAGGGATCACTACATGAGTTTGCCTCGGTGTGTTCGGGCAGTCCTGTTTGTCCCGGACTAGTGCAGTGACAAGCGTCTATATACAAGGGTTAGGGTTAGGGATCACTACATGAGTTTGCCTCGGTGTGTTCGGCCAGTCCTGTTTGTCCCGGACTAGTGCAGTGACAAGCGTCTATATACAAGGGTTAGGGTTAGGGTTAGGGATCACTACATGAGTTAGCCTCGGTGTGTTCGCCCAGTCCTGTTTGTCCCCGACTAGTGCAGTGACAAGCGTCTATATACAAGGGGACATGATCACAACCTGGTCTTAATTTAATACAGAAGTTAATTATCCCCCTGCCCAATTTAGTTGGCCGAGGATATATACTACTCAAAAGAAGTTAAGGATCACCTGATTCTTTCATATTACTATAGTTAATCTATCATGTCATGACAGATTAACTTTACCATTATGAAAAAAATTGGGTTATCCTTAACTTCTTTTGAGTAGTATAGAAACGGGCTCCGTCTGTCCGTCACATTTCTTTTGCCACAAGAGATAACTTTGCTAAACTTGGTACAAGTATTCACAATATAGTGTAGATGTGCCTTTTGCTATTTATGAGTCCCTGAACTTTTCTTTTCTTTTGTATGTAATTTACAGGTACTCACCCAATATCACGCAGACTTGCTGACGTCAGTTACTGTCCCATAACCAATGACTGAGAGTCTATGTTCCCCCTGTTTTACTACGTGATTCAGACTGTGAAGTTTACGACCTTCTCTGAACACTAAAATTGTTTAAAGTAAGCAGGAAAAATCATTTTCCTTTACCAACTTTACTACATCCACTAAATCTCTAGATATCTACCTCTCTTTCACAAGAAGGAGGTGGTGCCCTACACGGGTGTAAAGAAGATTATCTCATTCCCAAGTGGTGAATGGAACAGATCTCATTCTGAACCACCCACACAGGTGGAACCCACCACCCTTCCGTGGGATTAAAGCAATTAGTTTGAGTCATGATCAGGTGAAATATGTGTTTTGTTAGAGTACAAATATGTAGATTTATCCTGACTCCTATGCTAAAGCCCGAACCCAGCCATCCCCTCTTCCCCTGTGTTTCGGATGTTAGGCAAGGGAACTGAGAGAGTGACGAGTACCGGGCCTGGTCGTGTGTATCTGGTGCACAAGGGAAATGAGAGAGTGACGAGTACCGGGCCTGGTCGTGTGTATCCGGTGCACACGGGAAATGAGAGAGTGACGAGTACCGGGCCTGGTCGTGTGAATCTGGTGCACAAGGGAACTGAGAGAGTGACGAGTACCGGGCCTGGTCGTGTGTATCCGGTGCACAAGGGAAATGAGAGAGTGACGAGTACCGGGCCTGGTCGTGTGTATCTGGTGCACAAGGGAACTGAGAGAGTGACGAGTACCGGGCCTGGTCGTGTGTATCCGGTGCACAAGGGAACTGAGAGAGTGACGAGTACCGGGCCTGGTCGTGTGTATCTGATGCATAAGGGAACTGAGAGAGTGACGAGTACCGGGCCTGGTCGTGTGTTTCCGGTGCACAAGGAAATGAGAGAGTGACGAGTACCGGGCCTGGTCGTGTGTATCCGGTGCACAAGGGAAATGAGGGAGTGACGAGTACCGGGCCTGGTCATGTGTATCCGGTGCACAAGGGAACTGAGAGAGTGACGAGTACCGAGCCTGGTCGTGTGTATTTGGTGCACAAAGGAAATGAGAGAGTGACGAGTACCGGGCCTGGTCTTGTGTATCCGGTGCACAAGGGAAATGAGAGAGTGACGAGTACCGAGCCAGGTCGTGTGTATTTGGTGCATAAGGGAACTGAGAGAGTGACGAGTACTGGGCCTGGTCGTGTGTATTTGGTGCACAAGGGAACTGAGAGAGTGACGAGTACCGGGCCTGGTCGTGTGTATTTGGTGCACAAGGGAAATGAGAGAGTGACGAGTACCGGGCCTGGTCGTGTGTATTTGGTGCACAAGGGAAATGAGAGAGTGACGAGTACCGAGCCAGGTCGTGTGTATTTGGTGCACAAGGGAACTGAGAGAGTGACGAGTACCGGGCCTGGTCGTGTGTATTTGGTGCACAAGGGAACTGAGAGAGTGACGAGTACCGGGCCTGGTCGTGTGTATTTGGTGCACAAGGGAAATGAGAGAGTGACGAGTACCGGGCCTGGTCGTGTGTATTTGGTGCACAAGGGAAATGAGAGAGTGACGAGTACCGGGCCTGGTCGTGTGTATTTGGTGCACAAGGGAAATGAGAGAGTGACGAGTACCGGGGCCTGGTCGTGTGTATCCGGTGCACAAGGGAAATGAGAGAGTGACGAGTACCGGGCCTGGTCTTGTGTATCCGGTGCACAAGGGAAATGAGAGAGTGACGAGTACCGGGCCTGGTCATGTGTATCTGGTGCACATGCGCAGGCAAGGGGTGTGTTTGGGTGGGATGGTTTTTCGTTCTCTGAAAACACAGTTTAGGAAGTTTCCACTACCTTTAGGAAATAGAGAGAGATAATCAAGTAGTAGTCAGGATAAGTATAAATGATATTTTACTCTAAAAATACACTTGTGTATTTCTGGAATGCCTATTGTGTCATTAGATATTGTGCAACACATTTCCTTTGACCCTGATGAGGCCAGGATTGAGGCATGGTTCAGTGTTTACAACATTGCCCAGAGTTGTTCTGTCAATCCTACACGTAATGCATAACACTGAGTATAATGTGTCAATCATTATTTATCATCGCCTGCGAAATACATTTCAGTTTGTCATTGTTTACACAATTTGTGTTCTTAAGGTCCTGTGTATCCAATCGTTTTGTTACAACACGGTCCAATAATGTTTGAGATACCGGGGTCCAACTGTATGTTATCACTGTTATCTGTATGTTGTCACTGTTATCTGTATGTTATCACTGTGTTATCACTGTATGTTATCACTGTGTTATCACTATTTTATCACTGTATGTTATCACTGTTATCACTGTATGTTATCACTGTTATCACTGTATGTTATCACTGTTATCACTGTATGTTATCACTGTGTTATCACTATTTTATCACTGTATGTTATCACTGTGTTATCACTATTTTATCACTGTGTTATCACTATTTTATCACTGTATGTTATCAATGTTATCACTGTATGTTATCACTGTGTTATCACTATTTTATCACTGTATGTTATCACTATGTTATCACTGTATCTTATCACTGCATGTTATCACTGTTATCACTGTATGTTATCACTGTGTTATCACTGTATGTTAACACTGTATCTTGTCACTGCATCTTATCGCTGTATGTTATCACTGTGTTATCACTATGTTATCACTGTATGTTATCACTGTGTTATCACTATGTTATCACTGTATCTTATCACTGCATGTTATCACTGTATGTTATCACTGTATGTTATCACTGTGTTATCACTATGTTATCACTGTGTTATCACTATGTTATCACTGTATCTTATCACTTTATGTTATCACTATGTTATCACTGTATGTTATCACTGTATCTTGTCACTGCATCTTATCACTGTGTTATCACTATGTTATCACTGTATGTTATCACTATGTTATCACTGTATGTTATCACTGTATCTTGTCACTGCATCTTATCACTGTATGTTATCACTGCATGTTTTCACTGTTATCACTATGTTATCACTGTGTCATCACTATGTTATCACTGTGTTATCACTGTATGTTATCACTGCATCTTATCACTGTGTTATCACTGTATGTTATCACTGTATGTTATCACTGTTATCACTGTATGTTATCACTGTATCTTGTCACTGCATCTTATCACTGTATGTTATCACTGCATGTTTTCACTGTTATCACTATGTTATCACTGTGTCATCACTATGTTATCACTGTGTTATCACTGTATGTTATCACTGCATGTTATCACTGCATGTTATCACTGCATGTTATCACTGTATGTTATAACTGTTATAACTGTGTTAGGGGCGGTCAGGTAGCCTAGTGGTTAAAGCGATCGCTCGTCACGGCGAAGACCCGGGTTCGAATCCCGACATGGGTACAATGTGTGAAGCCCATTTCCGGTGTCCCCCGCCGTGATATTGCTGGAATATTGCTAAAGGCGGCGTAAAACCAAACTCACTCACTCACTATAACTGTGTTATCACTGTTATCACTGTGTGTTATCACTATGTTCTAACTGTGTTATCACTGTATCTTATCACTGTGTCATCACTATGTTATCACTGTATCTTATCACTGCATGTTATCACTGTTATAACTGTGTTATCACTGTATGTTATCACTATGTTATCACTATCTTATCACTGTATCTTGTCACTGCATGTTATGACTGTATGTTATCACTGTTATAACTGTTTTATCACTGTTATCACTGTATTTTATCACTATGTTATCACTGTGTTATCACTGTATCTTATCACTGTGTCATCACTATGTTATCACTGTATCTTGTCACTGTATCTTATCACTGTATGTCATCACTATGTTATCACTATCTTATCACTGTATCTTGTCACTGCATGTTATGACTGTATGTTATCACTGTTATAACTGTTTTATCACTGTTATCACTGTATTTTATCCCTATGTTATCACTGTGTTATCACTGTATCTTATCACTATGTTATCACTATGTTATCACTGTATGTTATCACTGCATGTTATTACTGCATGTTATTACTGTATGTTATCACTGTATGTTTTCACTGTGTGTTATCGCTAGGTTATCACTTTATGTTATCACTAGGTTATCACTTTATGTTATCACTAGGTTATCACTGTATGTTATCACACTGTTATCACTATGTTATCTCTGTATGTTATCAGTGTATGTTATCACTAGGTTATCACTGTATGTTATAACTAGGTTATCACTGTATGTTATTACTGTTTTCACTGTGTGCTATCACTGTTTTCACTATGTTATCAGTATACGTTATCACTATGTTATCACTGCATGTTATCACTGCATGTTATCACGCTGTTATTACTATGTTATTACTGTATGTTATCACACTGTTATCACTATGTTATCGCTGCATGTTATCACTGCATGTTATCACGCTGTTATTACTATGTTATTACTGTATGTTATCACACTGTTATCACTATGTTATCACTGCATGTTATCACGCTGTAATTACTATGTTATTACTGTATGTTATCACACTGTTATTACTATGTTATCACTGCATGTTATCACGCTGTTATTACTATGTTATTACTGTATGTTATTACTATGTTATTACTGTATGTTATCACTATGTTTTCACTGTTTTCAGTATGTTTTCACAATGTTTTCACTGTATGTTATCATTGTGTGACTGCCTCCATGGTCTAGTGGTAGAGCGTCCGCCTGGAGAGTGGAAGGTCAGGGGTTCGATCCCCGGCCGCGTCATACCAAAAGACATTAAAAGATGGTACTTGTTGTTACCCTGTCTGGTGCTCAGTTTAAAGGGCTAAAACAAGGACTAGTCGGTTCGGAGCCAGTTTTCTGTGTCTGAGTCGGGTATTCATGTTAAACTGCGGCATGATATCTCAGTGTGCTAGCACTATAAATCTGCACCAGTCCGGATGAGTACAAGCAGCCACACACACACGTACATGCATGTCGCTATATAAGTGCAATAATCTTGGACGCGACGTTAAAGCCAATTTCACCTCACCTATCACTGTGTGTTTGTTGCAGCCAACAGGGGCTGCCACCACCACTGTTACTTCAGTTGTCCAAGACAGAGGCACAGCAGAGAATAGCAGACAAAGTCACCCAGCTGATTGTGCCCCAGGTAACATAATGACCCAGCTGATTGTACCCCAGGTAACATTATGACCCAGCTGATTGTGCCCCAGGTGACATAATGACACAGCTGATGCAGCTGTCTTTATGCAGCTTGTTTGAGATTGCCTGTAGGAGATTGCCTGTAGGAGATTGCCTGTAGGAGATTGCCTGTAGGAGATTGCCTGTAGGAGATTGCCTGTAGGAGATGGTCTGTAGGAGATTGTCTGTAGGAGATTGCCTGTAGGAGATTGCCTGTAGGAGATTGCCTGTAGGAGATTGCCTGTAGGAGATTGTCTGTAGGAGATTGCCTGTAGGAGATGGTCTGTAGGAGATTGTCTGTAGGAGATTGCCTGTAGGAGATTGCCTGTAGAAGATTGCCTGTAGGAGATTGCCTGTAGGAGATGGTCTGTAGGAGATGGCCTGTAGGAGATGGCCTGTAGAAGATTGCCTGTAGGAGATGGCCTGTAGGAGATGGTCTGTAGGAGATGGTCTGTAGGAGATTGCCTGTAGGAGATTGCCTGTAGGAGATGGTCTGTAGGAGATTGCCTGTAGGAGATTGCCTGTAGGAGATTGCCTGTAGGAGATGGTCTGTAGGAGATGGTCTGTAGGAGATGGCCTGTAGGAGATGGCCTGTAGGAGATGGTCTGTAGGAGATTGTCTGTAGGAGATTGCCTGTAGGAGATGGTCTGTAGGAGATTGTCTGTAGGAGATTGCCTGTAGGAGATTGCCTGTAGGAGATTGCCTGTAGGAGATTGTCTGTAGGAGATTGCCTGTAGGAGATTGTCTGTAGGAGATTGCCTGTAGGAGATTGCCTGTAGGAGATTGCCTGTAGGAGATGGTCTGTAGAAGATTGCCTGTAGGAGATGGTCTGTAGGAGATGGCCTGTAGGAGATGGCCTGTAGAAGATTGCCTGTAGGAGATGGCCTGTAGGAGATGGTCTGTAGGAGATTGCCTGTAGGAGATTGCCTGTAGGAGGTGGCCTGTAGGAGATTGCCTGTAGGAGATGGTCTGTAGGAGATTGCCTGTAGGAGATTGCCTGTAGGAGATTGCCTGTAGGAGATGGTCTGTAGGAGATGGTCTGTAGGAGATGGCCTGTAGGAGATGGCCTGTAGGAGATGGTCTGTAGAAGATTGCCTGTAGGAGATGGCCTGTAGGAGATGGTCTGTAGGAGATTGCCTGTAGGAGATTGCCTGTAGGAGATTGCCTGTAGGAGATGGTCTGTAGGAGATGGTCTGTAGGAGATGGCCTGTAGGAGATGGCCTGTAGGAGATGGTCTGTAGAAGATTGCCTGTAGGAGATGGCCTGTAGGAGATGGTCTGTAGGAGATTGCCTGTAGGAGATTGCCTGTAGGAGATTGCCTGTAGGAGATGGTCTGTAGGAGATGGTCTGTAGGAGATGGCCTGTAGGAGATGGCCTGTAGGAGATGGTCTGTAGAAGATTGCCTGTAGGAGATGGCCTGTAGGAGATGGTCTGTAGGAGATGGTCTGTAGGAGATTGCCTGTAGGAGATTGCCTGTAGGAGATGGTCTGTAGGAGATTGTCTGTAGGAGATGGTCTGTAGGAGATGGTCTGTAGGAGATTGGCTGTAGGAGATTGTCTGTAGGAGATTGGCTGTAGGAGATTGCCTGTAGGAGATTGCCTGTAGAAGATTGCCTGTAGGAGATGGTCTGTAGGAGATGGTCTGTAGGAGATGGCCTGTAGGAGATTGGCTGTAGGAGATGGTCTGTAGGAGATTGGCTGTAGGAGATGGTCTGTAGGAGATGGCCTGTAGAAGATTGCCTGTAGGAGATTGCCTGTAGGAGATGGTCTGTAGGAGATTGCCCGTAGGAGATGGCCTGTAGGAGATTGTCTGTAGGAGATGGTCTGTAGGAGATTGTCTGTAGGAGATTGCCTGTAGGAGATGGTCTGTAGGAGATTGTCTGTAGGAGATTGCCTGTAGGAGATTGCCTGTAGAAGATTGCCTGTAGGAGATTGCCTGTAGAAGATTGCCTGTAGGAGATTGTCTGTAGGAGATTGCCTGTAGGAGATTGTCTGTAGGAGATTGCCCGTAGGAGATGGTCTGTAGGAGATTGTCTGTAGGAGATTGCCTGTAGGAGATTGCCTGTAGAAGATTGCCTGTAGGAGATGGCCTGTAGGAGATTGCCTGTAGGAGATGGTCTGTAGGAGATGGTCTGTAGGAGATTGCCTGTAGGAGATTGGCTGTAGGAGATGGTCTGTAGGAGATTGGCTGTAGGAGATGGTCTGTAGGAGATGGCCTGTAGGAGATGGTCTGTGGGAGATGGCCTGTAGGAGATGGCCCGTAGGAGATGGTCTGTAGGAGATGGCCTGTAGGACATTGCCTGTAGGAGATGGCCTGTAGGAGATGGTCTGTAGGAGATTGCCTGTAGGAGATTGCCTGTAGGAGATTGCCTGTAGGAGGTGGCCTGTAGGAGATGGTCTGTAGGAGATGGCCTGTAGGAGATGGTCTGTAGGAGATTGCCTGTAGGAGATGGCCTGTAGGAGATGGCCTGTAGGAGATTGCCTGTAGGAGATTGCCTGTAGGAGATGGCCTGTAGGAGATTGCCTGTAGGAGATGGCCTGTAGGAGATTGCCTGTAGGAGATTGCCTGTAGGAGATGGTCTGTAGGAGATTGCCTGTAGAAGATTGCCTGTAGGAGATGGTCTGTAGGAGATGGCCTGTAGGAGATTGCCTGTAGGAGATTGCCTGTAGGAGATGGCCTGTAGGAGATTGCCTGTAGGAGATGGCCTGTAGGAGATGGCCTGTAGGAGATGGCCTGTAGGAGATTGCCTGTAGAAGATTGCCTGTAGTAGATGGTCTGTAGGAGATGGCCTGTAGGAGATGGTCTGTAGGAGATTGCCCTTAGGAGATTGCCTGTAGGAGATGGCCTGTAGGAGATGGTCTGTAGGAGATGGCCTGTAGGAGATGGCCTGTAGAAGATTGCCTGTAGGAGATGGCCTGTAGGAGATTGCCTGTAGGAGATGGCCTGTATGAGATGGTCTGTAGGAGATGGCCTGTATGAGATGGTCTGTAGGAGATTGCCTGTAGGAGATGGCCTGTAGGAGATGGCCTGTAGGAGATGGTCTGTAGGAGATGGCCTGTAGGAGATGGTCTGTAGGAGATGGCCCGTAGGAGATTGCCTGTAGGAAATTGCCTGTAGGAGATGGTCTGTAGGAGATTGCCTGTAGGAGATGGTCTGTAGGAGATGGCCTGTAGGAGATTGCCTGTAGGAGATGGCCTGTAGGAGATTGCCTATGGTGTGTGATTGTGCAATTTGTGTGATCCACAACTCGCAGTGATTTATATGGGAACTGCCTTGGCAGTCAAATTGGGAAAAGACATGATATTGTTGAATATTTGATTATTTTTTTTTATATTCTTTTTTCACAAATTCTGAGAATTGTTTTCATTCAATTTTTGCTCTCAGTTTCTGTAGCATTGGGGGAGACTGTCACCTCTGAGCAGGGCTGGATAAATCCCTGACTCATTAGTGTTACTCATGACCCTCACCCAGGATCCCATGTAACCCTCACCCAGTATCCCATGTAACCCTCACCCAGTATCCCATGTAACCCTAACCCAGTATCCCATGTAACCCTAACCCAGTATCCCATGTAACCCTAACCCAGTATCCCATGTAACCCTAACCCAGTATCCCATGTAACCCTAACCCAGTATCCCATGTAACCCTAACCCAGTATCCCATGTAACCCTCACCCAGGATCCCATGTAACCCTCATCCAGTATCCCATGTAATCCTAACCCAATATCCCATGTAACCCTAACCCAATATCCCATGTAACCCTCACCAAGGATCCCATGTAACCCTCACCCAGTATCCCATGTAACCCTCACCGGTTATCCCATGTAACCCTCACCCAGGATCCCATGTAACCCTAACCCAGTATCCCATGTAACCCTCACCCAGTATCCCATGTAACCCTAACCCAATATCTCATGAAACCCTAACCCAGTATCCCATGTAACCCTCACCCAGGATCCCATGTAACCCTCACCCAGTATCCCATGTAACCCTCACCCAGGATCCCATGTAACCCTCACCCAGGATCCCATGTAACCCTCACCCAATATCCCATGTAACCCTCACCCAGTATCCCATGTAACCCTAACCCAGTATCCCATGTAACCCTAACCCAGTATCCCATGTAACCCTAACCCAGTATCCCATGTAACCCTAACCCAGTATCCCATGTAACCCTCACCCAGGATCCCATGTAACCCTCACCCAGGATCCCATGTAACCCTCACCCAATATCCCATGAAACCCTAACCCAGTATCCCATGTAACCCTCACCCAGGATCCCATGTAACCCTCACCCAATATCCCATGAAACCCTAACCCAGTATCCCATGTAACCCTCACCCAGGATCCCATGTAACCCTCACCCAGGATCCCATGTAACCCTCACCCAGGATCCCATGTAACCCTCACCCAATATCCCATGTAACCCTCACCCAGTATCCCATGTAACCCTCACCCAGGATCCCATGTAACCCTCACCCAATATCCCATGTAACCCTCACCCAGGATCCCATGTAACCCTCACCCAGGATCCCATGTAACCCTCACCCAGTATCCCATGTAACCCTAACCCAGTATCCCATGTAACCCTCACCCAATATCCCATGTAACCCTCACCCAATATCCTATGTAACCCTTGTCCTGTATCCCATGTAACCCTCACCCAATATCCCATGTAACCCTCACCCAATATCCCATGTAACCCTCACCCAATATCCCATGTAACCCTCACCCAATATCCCATGTAACCCTCGTCCTGTATCCCATGTAACCCTAACCCAATATCCCATGTAACCCTCGTCCTTTATCCCATGTAACCCTAACCCAATATCCCATGTAACCCTAACCCAATATCCCATGTAACCCTCACCCAATATCCCATGTAACCCTAACCCAGTATCCCATGTAACCCTAACCCAGTATCCCATGTAACCCTTGTCCTTAACCCCATGTAACCCTCACCCAATATCCCATGTAACCCTCACCCAATATCCCATGTAACCCTCACCCAGTATCCCATGTAACCCTCACCCAATATCCCATGTAACCCTCGTCCTGTATCCCATGTAACCCTAACCCAATATCCCATGTAACCCTAACCCAGTATCCCATGTAACCCTCACCGGTTATCCCATGTAACCCTAACCCAGTATCCCATGTAACCCTCACCCAATATCCCATGTAACCCTCACCCAATATCCCATGTAACCCTCACCCAATATCCCATGTAACCCTCGTCCTGTATCCCATGTAACCCTCACCCAATATCCCATGTAACCCTCGTCCTGTATCCCATGTAACCCTAACCCAATATCCCATGTAACCCTAACCCAGTATCCCATGTAACCCTCACCAAATATCCCATGTAACCCTAACCCAGTATCCCATGTAACCCTAACCCAGTATCCCATGTAACCCTTGTCCTGTACCCCATGTAACCCTCACCCAATATCCCATGTAACCCTCACCCAATATCCCATGTAACCCTCACCCAGTATCCCATGTAACCCTAACCCAATATCCCATGTAACCCTCGTCCTGTATCCCATGTAACCCTAACCCAATATCCCATGTAACCCTAACCCAGTATCCCATGTAACCCTCACCCGATATCCCATGTAACCCTAACCCAGTATCCCATGTAACCCTCACCCAATATCCCATGTAACCCTCACCTAATATCCCATGTAACCCTTGTCCTGTATCCCATGTAACCCTCACCCAATATCCCATGTCATCCTCACCCAATATCCCATGTAACCCTCACCCAATATCCCATGTCACCCTCGTCCTGTATCCCATGTAACCCTCACCCAATATCCCATGTAACCCTAACCCAGTATCCCATGTAACCCTCGTCCTGTATCCCATGTAACCCTCACCCAATATCTCATGTAACCCTCACCCGATATCCCATGTCACCCTCACCCAATATCCCATGTTACCCTCGTCCAATATCCCATGTAACCCTCACCCAGGATCCCATGTAACCCTAACCCAGTATCCCATGTAACCCTCACCAAATATCCTATGTATTCCTCGTCCAATATCCCATGTAACCCTAACCCAGTATCCCATGTAACCCTCGTCCAGGATCCCATGTAACCCTCACCCAATATCCCATGTAACCCTCATCCAGTATATCATGTAACCCTCGTCCAATATCCCATGTAACCCTCACCCAATATCCCATGTAACGCTCACCCAGTATCCAATGAAACCCTCACCCAGTATCCTATGTAACCCTCACCCAGTATCCCATGTAACCCTAACCCAATATCCCATGAAACCCTAACCCAATATCCCATGTAACCCTCGTCCAGTATCCCATGTAACCCTCGTCCAGTATCCCATGTAACCCTAACCCAGGATCCCATGTAACCCTCGTCCAGTATCCCATGTAACCCTCGTCCAGTATCCCATGTAACCCTAACCCAATAAACCATGTAACCCTCGTCCATTATCCCATGTAACCCTCACCCAATATCCCATGTAACCCTAACCCAGTATCCCATGTAACCCTAACCCAGTATCCCATGTAACCCTTGTCCTGTACCGCATGTAACCCTCACCCAATATCTCATGTAACCCTCACCCAATATCCCATGTAACCCTCACCCAGTATCCCATGTAACCCTCACCCAATATCCCATGTAACCCTCGTCCTGTATCCCATGTAACCCTAACCCAATATCCCATGTAACCCTAACCCAGTATCCCATGTAACCCTCACCCGATATCCCATGTAACCCTAACCCAGTATCCCATGTAACCCTCACCCAATATCCCATGTAACCCTCACCCAATATCCCATGTAACCCTTGTCCTGTATCCCATGTAACCCTCACCCAATATCCCATGTCACCCTCACCCAATATCCCATGTAACCCTAACCCAATAAACCATGTAACCCTCGTCCATTATCCCATGTAACCCTCACCCAATATCCCATGTAACCCTAACCCAGTATCCCATGTAACCCTCACCCAATATCCCATGTAACCCTCGTCCTTTATCCCATGTAACCCTCACCCAATATCCCATGTAACCCTCACCCAATATCCCATGTAACCCTCACCCAATATCCCATGTAACCCTCGTCCTGTATCCCATGTAACCCTCACCCAATATCCCATGTAACCCTCGTCCTTTATCCCATGTAACTCTAACCCAATATCCCATGTAACCCTAACCCAGTATCCCATGTAACCCTCACCCAATATCCCATGTAACCCTAACCCAGTATCCCATGTAACCCTAACCCAGTATCCCATGTAACCCTTGTCCTTAACCCCATGTAACCCTCACCCAATATCCCATGTAACCCTCACCCAATATCCCATGTAACCCTCACCCAATATCCCATGTAACCCTCACCCAATATCCCATGTAACCCTCGTCCTGTATCCCATGTAACCCTAACCCAATATCCCATGTAACCCTAACCCAGTATCCCATGTAACCCTCACCAAATATCCCATGTAACCCTAACCCAGTATCCCATGTAACCCTCACCCAATATCCCATGTAACCCTCACCCAATATCCCATGTAACCCTCACCCAATATCCCATGTAACCCTCACCCAATATCCCATGTAACCTTCACCCAATATCCCATGTAACCCTCGTCCTGTATCCCACGTAACCCTCACCCAATATCCCATGTAACCCTAACCCAATATCCCATGTAACCCTCACCCAATATCCCATGTAACCCTCACCCAATATCCCATGTAACCCTCGTCCTGTATCCCATGTAACCCTCACCCAATATCCCATGTAACCCTCGTCCTGTATCCCATGTAACCCTAACCCTAACCCTAACCCTAACCCAGTATCCCATGTAACCCTCACCCAATATCCCATGTAACCCTAACCCAGTATCCCATGTAACCCTCACCCAATATCCCATGTAACCCTCGCCCAATATCCCATGTAACCCTCGCCCAATATCCCATGTAACCCTCGTCCTGTATCCCATGTAACCCTAACCCTAACCCTAACCCTAACCCTAACCCAGTATCCCATGTAACCCTCACCCAATATCCCATGTAACCCTCACCCAGTATCCCATGTAACCCTCACCCAATATCCCATGTAACCCTCACCCAATATCCCATGTAACCCTCGCCCAATATCCCATGTAACCCTAACCCAATATCCCATGTAACCCTAACCCAGTATCCCATGTAACCCTCACCCAATATCCCATGTAACCTTAACCCAGTATCCCATGTAACCCTCACCCAATATCCCATGTAACCCTCGTCCAATATCCCATGTAACCCTCACCCAATATCCCATGTAACCCTCGTCCAATATCCCATGTAACCCTAACCCAGTATCCCATGTAACCCTCACCCAATATCCCATGTAACCCTCGTCCTGTATCCCATGTAACCCTCACCCAATATCCCATGTAACCCTCGTCCTGTATCCCATGTAACCCTAACCCTAATCCTAACCCTAACCCAGTATCCCATGTAACCCTCACCCAATATCCCATGTAACCCTAACCCAGTATCCCATGTAACCCTCACCCAATATCCCATGTAACCCTCGCCCAATATCCCATGTAACCCTCGCCCAATATCCCATGTAACCCTCGTCCTGTATCCCATGTAACCCCTAACCCTAACCCTAACCCTAACCCTAACCCAGTATCCCATGTAACCCTCACCCAATATCCCATGTAACCCTAACCCAGTATCCCATGTAACCCTCACCCAATATCCCATGTAACCCTCACCCAATATCCCATGTAACCCTCGCCCAATATCCCATGTAACCCTAACCCAATATCCCATGTAACCCTAACCCAGTATCCCATGTAACCCTCACCCAATATCCCATGTAACCCTAACCCAGTATCCCATGTAACCCTCACCCAATATCCCATGTAACCCTCGTCCAATATCCCATGTAACCCTCACCCATGAGAAAGTGTTGGCTGTACTTTGTACACTGACAGTACCCATCTACCAACACTGGCTTGACTCCCACAGTATGGCCGGTACAGCGTAACACTCTCCAATTCATTCCTCCTCCTTCACGTCAGGTTTCTTTGGATGAGCCGCACTCAACCCCTCCAACAGTGAACTCAAGATTGCCGGACTTGCCGGGGACAAAGGTGTTTGTGATGAGAGAAGAAAACAGTCAGGTGAGATGTTTTTTATAGTGAGGAAGGTGAGATGGGCTTTATATTAAGGAGGGTGAGGTGAGCTTTATAGTGAGGAAGGTAAGATGGGCTTTATAGTGAGGATAATCAGATGGGCTTTATAGTGAGGATAATCAGATGGGCTTTAAAGTGAGGAGGGTGAGTTGGGCTTTATAGTGAGGAAGGTGAGATGGGCTTTATAGTGAGGATAATCAGATGGGCTTTAAAGTGGGGAGGGTGAGTTGGGCTTTATAGTGAGGAAGGTGAGATGGGCTTTAAAGGGGGGATAATCAGATGGGCTTTAAAGTGAGGAGGGTGAGATGGGCTTTATAGTGAGGATAATCAGATGGGCTTTAAAGTGAGGATAATCAGATGGGCTTTAAAGTGAGGAGGGTGAGATGGGCTTTATAGTGAGGATAATCAGATGGGCTTTAAAGTGAGGATAATCAGATGGGCTTTAAAGTGAGGAAGGTGAGATGGACTTTATAGTGAGGAGGGTGAGATGGGCTTTATAGTGAGGAAGGTGAGATGGGCTTTATAGTGGGGATTATCAGATGGGCTATAAAGTGAGGAGGGTGAGATAGGCTTTGAAGAGAGGAAGGTAACATGGGTTTTATAGTGAGGAGGGTGAGATGAGCTTTATAGTGAGGATCATCAGATGGGCTTTAAAGTGAAGAGTGTGAGATTGGCTTTATAGTGAGGATCATCAGATGAGCTTTAAAGTGAGGAGGGTGAGATGGGCTTTTTAGTGAGGAAGGTAAGATGGGCTTTATGAAGTGGGCTTGACAGTTAGGAGGGTGAAGTGGGTTTTATTGAGAGGAGGGTGAGATGGGCTTTATAGTGAGGAAGGTGAGATGGGCTTTGTAGTGAGGAAGGTGAGATGGGCTTTAAAGAGAGGAAGGTGAGATGGGCTTTATAGTGAGGAAGGTGAGATGGGCTTTAAAGTGAGGAAGGTGAGATGGGCTTTAAAGTGAGGAAGGTGAGATGGGCTTTATAGAGAGGAAGGTGAGATGGGCTTTATAGTGAGTTAGGTGCACCAGGGTACCTGGTGTGTCATGGTAACTGGTGCACCATGGTACCTGGTGTGTCATGGTAACTGGTGCGTCATGGTACCTGGTGTGTCATGGTACCTGGTGTGTCATGGTACCTGGTGTGACATGGCACCTGGTGTGTCATGGTACATGATGTGTCATGGAAACTGGTGTGTCATGGTACCTGGTGCACCATGGTGCCTGGTGTGTCATGGTAACTGGTGTGTCATGGTAACTGATGCACCATGGAAACTGGTGCGTCATGGTACTTGGTGCTTCATGGTACCTGGTGTGTCATGGGAACTGGTGCACCACGGTACCTGGTGTGTCATGGCATCTGGTGTGTCATGGTACCTGGTGTGTCATGGTAACTGGTGCACCATGGTACCTGGTGTGTCATGGTAACTGGTGTGTCATGGCACCTGGTGTGCCATGGTACCTGGTGTGCCATGAGGCCTTGTGTGTCATGGTACCTGGTGTTTCATGGTACATGGTGTGTCATGGTACCTGGTGTGCAATGGTACCTGGTGTGCCATGGTGCCTGGTTTGTCATGGTGCCTGGTTTGTCATGGTGCCTGGTGCGTCATGGTGCCTGTTGGGTCATGGTGCCTGTTGGGTCATGGTGCCTGGTCTGTCATGGTACCTGGTGTGTCATGGTACCTGGTGCGTCATGGTCCATGGTGCGTCATGGTACCTGGTGTGTCATGGTAACTGGTGTGTCATCGTACCTGGTGTCTCATGGTGCCTGGTGCGTCATGGTGCCTGTTGGGTCATGGTGCCTGTTGGGTCATGGTGCCTGGTCTGTCATGGTACCTGGTGTGTCATGGTACCTGGTGCGTCATGGTCCATGGTGCGTCATGGTACCTGGTGTGTCATGGTAACTGGTGTGTCATGGTACCTGGTGTGTCATGGTACCTGGTGTGTCATGGTACCTGGTGCGTCATGGAAACTGGTGTGTTATGGAAACTGGTGTGTCATGGTACCTGGTGCGTCATGGTACCTGGTGCGTCATGGTACCTGGTGTGTCATGGCACCTGGTGCACCATGATCATTGCTTGTGCAGTCACTGGCTTGTCTGGTTCTGTCATGTTCATGGTATAACAGAAATATTATGTTAAAAAACAATTTTTAACTAAGAATCGTACTTCTCTTTTCAGTCCATCAGTATGCTGTGGCGGAGGACAGCCCTGCAGGTGGACAACACTGACGGTCAAGACGCCCGCTCCCTGTACTACACTGAGGCCCTGATGCCACCAGTCTGTGTGTCCGACATTGTGGCCGGCAGCAAGCTGAAGCACGTGTCCCAGATCCCAGGGCGGAGGAGGTCAGAGGAGCTGGAACAGAGCTGTCAGGTATGTGGAAAATAGCCATTGTAGCTGTCTCCCTCAACAGACTGTCAGGTATGTGGAAAATAGCCATTGTAGCTGTCTCCCTCAACAGAGCTGTCAGGTATGCGGAAAATAGCCATTGTAGCTGTCACCCTCAACAGAGCTGTCAGGTATGTGGAAAATAGCCATTGTAGCTGTCTCCCTCAACAGAGCTGTCAGGTATGTGGAAAATAGCCATTGTAGCTGTCTCCCTCAACAGAGCTGTCAGGTATGTGGAAAATACCCATTGTAGCTGTCACCTTCAACAGAGCTGTCAGGTACGTGGAAAATAGCCATTGTAACTGTCTCCCTCAACAGAGCTGTCAGGTATGTGGAAAATACCCATTGTAGCTGTCACCCTCAGCAGAGCTGCCAGGTATGTGGAAAATAGCCATTGTAGCTGTCACCCTCAGCAGAGCTGTCAGGTATGTGGAAAATAGCCATTGTAGCTGTCACCCTCAGCAGAGCTGTCAGGTATGTGGAAAATAGCCATTGTAGCTGTCTCCCTCAACAGAGCTGTCAGGTATGTGGGAAATAGCCATTGTAACTGTCACCCTCAGCAGAGCTGTCAGGTATGTGGAAAATAGCCATTGTAGCTGTCACCCTCAGCAGAGCTGTCAGGTATGTGGAAAATAGCCATTGTAGCTGTCACCCTCAGCAGAGCTGTCAGGTATGTGGAAAATAGCCATTGTAGCTGTCACCCTCAGCAGAGCTGTCAGGTATGTGGAAAATACCCATTGTAACTGTCTCCCTCAGCAGAGCTGTCAGGTATGTGGAAAATAGCCATTGTAACTGTCACCCTCAACAGAGCTGTCAGGTATGTGGAAAATAGCCATTGTAGCTGTCACCCTCAGCAGAGCTGTCAGGTATGTGGAAAATAGCCATTGTAGCTGTCACCCTCAGCAGAGCTGTCAGGTATGTGGAAAATAGCCATTGTAGCTGTCACCCTCAGCAGAGCTGTCAGGTATGTGGAAAATACCCATTGTAACTGTCTCCCTCAGCAGAGCTGTCAGGTATGTGGAAAATAGCCATTGTAACTGTCACCCTCAACAGAGCTGTCAGGTATGTGGAAAAAAGCCATTGTAACTGTCTCCCTCAACAGAGCTGTCAGGTATGTGGAAAATACCCATTGTAACTGTCACCCTCAGCAGAGCTGTCAGGTATGTGGAAAATAGCCATTGTAGCTGTCACCCTCAGCAGAGCTGTCAGGTATGTGGAAAATAGCCATTGTAGCTGTCTCCCTCAACAGAGCTGTCAGGTATGTGGAAAATACCCATTGTAACTGTCACCCTCAGCAGAGCTGTCAGGTATGTGGAAAATAGCCATTGTAGCTGTCTCCCTCAGCAGAGCTGTCAGGTATGTGGAAAATAGCCATTGTAGCTGTCTCCCTCAACAGAGCTGTCAGGTATGTGGAAAATACCCATTGTAACTGTCACCCTCAGCAGAGCTGTCAGGTACGTGGAAAATACCCATTGTAACTGTCACCCTCAGCAGAGCTGTCAGGTACGTGGAAAATACCCATTGTAACTGTCTCCCTCAACAGAGCTGTCAGGTACGTGGAAAATACCCATTGTAGCTGTCACCCTCAGCAGAGCTGTCAGGTACGTGGAAAATAGCCATTGTAACTGTCACCCTCAACAGAGCTGTCAGGTATGTGGAAAATAGCCATTGTAACTGTCACCCTCAACAGAGCTGTCAGGTATGTGGAAAATAGCCATTGTAGCTGTCACCCTCAGCAGAGCTGTCAGGTATGTGGAAAATACCCATTTTAGCTGTCACCCTCAACAGAGCTGTCAGGTATGTGGAAAATAGCCATTGTAGCTGTCACCCTCAACAGAGCTGTCAGGTACGAGGAAAAAAGCCATTGTAACTGTCACCCTCAACAGAGCTGTTAGGTATGTGGAAAATAGCCATTGTAGCTGTCACCCTCAGCAGAGCTGTCAGGTATGTGGAAAATACCCATTGTAACTGTCACCCTCAACAGAGCTGTCAGGTATGTGGAAAATACCCATTGTAACTGTCACCCTCAACAGAGCTGTCAGGTATGTGGAAAATAGCCATTGTAACTGTCACCCTCAACAGAGCTGTCAGGTATGTGGAAAATAGCCATTGTAGCTGTCACCCTCAACAGAGCTGTCAGGTATGTGGAAAATAGCCATTGTAGCTGTCACCCTCAACAGAGCTGTCAGGTACGAGGAAAAAAGCCATTGTAACTGTCACCCTCAACAGAGCTGTCAGGTATGTGGAAAATAGCCATTGTAACTGTCACCCTCAACAGAGCTGTCAGGTACGTGGATAATATCCATTGTAACTGTCACCCTCAACAGAGCTGTCAGGTATGTGGAAAATAGCCATTGTAACTGTCACCCTAAACAGAGCTGTCAGGTATGTGGAAAATAGCCATTGTAACTGTCTCCCTCAACAGAGCTGTCAGGTATGTGGAGGTAGGGAGTTATGACTTCCGCCATGGACTAAAACCGTTAGGTACACAGAAGATATCTATTATGACTGTAACACTGGCACATTGTTAATTTATTATCCCCCGCCACGAAGTTGAAGGTGGATATAGGAATGGGTGCCGTCCGTCCGTCTTTCCGTCCTTCCACCCTTCCGTCCGTCCGTCCATCCGTCCGTCACATTTCGTTTCTGGAGCAGATCTTGAAAACCGTACCATATTTCTTCACCAAACATGGCACATAGATAGGTCTAGTGGTGAACTGGTGCCTTTTGATAGTTTGGGATTTTTAGAAAAATTATTTTTTGAGTTTCCATGGCAACGACTTTGATTTAAACTGAAAATTGCCGTAGTCCTCGTTTCTGGAGCAGATCTTGAAAACCTTACTATATTTCTTTATCAAACTTCGCACATAGATAGGTCTAGTGGTGAACCGGTGCCTTTTGATAGTTTGGGATTTTTCAAAAAATTCTATCATAAACTGCAGATGGAAAAACAACACCAGTAATAACTTTTTTTAGTGCTGCAATTAGGCCATTTACATTGCACACAACCCGACATGTCATATTGGCGGGGGATGTGAGTATTTTATGCTTGTTATATTCGATATGCAGTCAAACACCGTTGTGTCGAAGTTGCAGGAACCTACATAAATACTTCAAGTTATCCGATGTATTCTACCAATTGACATGAAAAATGAATTAATCAAAACACATTTGACAAACAATGAGAAAATGAAATAAATGACCAACACTACTTTTATTATTAATTATTATTGGCAATAATTGGCGTAGAAATTTAATCAATTCACATATTAAATATGTCTACATTTATATATAATTATAAGTAGGAAATACATGCATGTTCAAAACATGACAGCTGACATATTCAACTTCCGCATCACGAGCTTGTATCAGCGTTAACACAATATTAACAAGATAGGAATCATATCTGAGTAAACTTAGTCAATAATGTTTGATGAATATTAGTCTTGATCAATTTAGTCTTGATCAAGTTCGACACATCTAAGTTTGACACAACAGTGTTTGACTGTAACTTGCACTTGAATATTATTCAAATTCCTGATAACCTAGATGATGCAGATTGTCAGTAGTCGGTTGTTCCAGACAACTGAGTGATATGTTGCTATGGTGATTATAGGAAGGCCATACAAGCCAGGTAGCAGAGAACATAACATGTACGCCAACCGCGATGTTGCTAGCAGAACTGGCCGCCGAGGCAGGGGACAGCAGTTGTGATGTCAAGAGCGATGCTGATGGGGGCGAGGACGACAAGGTTGCTGATGGGGATGAGGATAAAGCTGCTAAGGATGCTGTTACCCCTGACGCCAGTGGATTCTGTCCCGAGGAGCTGGTTCACATAAACGTTAGTCACTTCCCTGTTCTAATGTTGTGCTCATTGCTGACACTGAAGTGGAAGACACCTGCACCACCTCGGCTTTAAGCTAACATGACATGCTTATTTTTAAGCCAGCGCTAAACCCAACTCAATCACTCTTTTTTCTCATTTAAATGTCTATAAGGAAATATGTGTTTTATATTAAATGCAACATGTTTTTTGTCTGTTTTCAGAATTGTTTAAATATTAGTTTGGCAACTTCAATGACAGGGTGGTTTTGTTGATGACTACAGAGAATTGTTTACCTATTTACACAGGATGTAGCGAACTGTTTCTGTTGTAGAAGGAGGCGTGTGATGAGGCCATGTCGGCCCTACAGCGCCACTACCTCAACCTGGTGGATCAGGAACAGTCCTCGGATGTTGCCATAGAAACCAGAGACCACAGTGTTGTCCACGCCCATCGGCTCATTCTGTCAGTCAGGTGTCCTCAGCTGTTGAAGGTGGGTCAGGTCAAGGTGGTGCTGGGTCAGGGCATGTTGAAGCTGTATCTGTGAGTCAGGTCATGTTGAAGCTGTATCTGTGAGTCAGGTCATGTTGAAGCTGTATCTGTGAGTCAGGTCATGTTGAAGCTGTATCTGTGGGTCAGGTCATGTTAAAGGTATATCTGTGAGTCAGGTCATGTTGAAGCTGTATCTGTGAGTCAGGTCATGTTGAAGCTGTATCTGTGAGTCAGGTCATGTTGAAGCTGTATCTGTGGGTCAGGTCATGTTAAAGGTGTATCTGGGAGTCAGGTCATGTTGAAGCTGTATCTGTGAGTCAGGTCAGGTTGAAGGTGTATCTGTGGGTCAGGTCATGTTGAAGCTGTATCTGTGAGTCAGGTCATGTTGAAGTTGTATCTGTGGGTCAGGTCATGTTGAAGGTGTATCTGTGAGTCAGGTCATGTTCAAGGTGTATCTGTGGGTCAGGTCATGTTCAAGGTGTATCTGTGAGTCAGGTCATATTGAAGCTGTATCTGTGGGTCAGGTCATGTTCAAGGTGTATCTGTGAGTCAGGCCATGTTGACGATGTATCTGTGGGTCAGGTCATGTTCAAGGTGTTTCTGTGGGTCAGGTCATGTTCAAGGTGTATCTGTGAGTCAGGTCATATTGAAGCTGTATCTGTGGGTCAGGTCATGTTGACGATGTATCTGTGGGTCAGGTCATGTTCAAGGTGTATCTGTGAGTCAGGTCATATTGAAGCTGTATCTGTGGGTCAGGTCATGCTCAAGGTGTATCTGTGGGTCAGGCCATGTTGACGATGTATCTGTGGGTCAGGTCATGTTGAAGGTGTATCTGTGAGTCAGGTCATATTGAAGCTGTATCTGTGGGTCAGGTCATGTTCCAGAAGTTTCTGTGAGTCAGGTCAATGTGAAGGTGTATCTGTGGGTCAGGTCATGTTGAAGCTGTATCTGTGGGTCAGGTCATGTTGAGAGTGTATCTGTGGGTCAGGTCATGTTGAGAGTGTATCTGTGGGTCAGGTCAATGTGAAGGTGTATCTGTGGGTCAGGTCATGTTGAGAGTGTATCTGTGGGTCAGGTCATGTTGAGAGTGTATCTGTGGGTCAGGTCATGTTGAGAGTGTATCTGTGGGTCAGGTCAATGTGAAGGTGTATCTGTGGGTCAGGTCATGTTGACGGTGTTTCTGTGGGTCAGGTCAATGTGAAGGTGTATTTGTGGGTCAGGTCATGTTGACGGTGTTTCTGTGGGTCAGGTCAATGTGAAGGTGTATTTGTGGGTCAGGTCATGTTGAAGGTGTATCTGTGAGTCAGGTCATGTTGAAGGTGTATCTGTGGGTCAGGTCAATGTGAAGGTGTGTCTGTGGGTCAGGTCATGTTGACGGTGTTTCTGTGGGTCAGGTCAATGTGAAGGTGTATTTGTGGGTCAGGTCATGTTGAAGGTGTATCTGTGAGTCAGGTCATGTTGAAGGTGTATCTGTGGGTCAGGTCATGTTGAAGGTGTATCTGTGAGTCAGGTCATATTGAAGCTGTATCTGTGGGTCAGGTCATGTTGACGGTGTATCTGTGGGTCAGGTCATGTTGAAGGTATATTTGTGGGTCAGGTCATGTTAAAGGTGTATCTGTGAGTCAGGTCAACCTGACGGTGTATCTGTGGCTCAGGTCATGTTCAAGGTGTCTGTTGGTCAGGTCGAGGTGCCTAGTGTCTCTGTGAGTCATTTCATGCTCAAGGTGTATTTGTGGGTCAGGTCATGTTGAAGGTGTCTGTGGGTCAGGTAAATGTGAAGGTGTATCTGTGGGTCAGGTCATGTTGAAGGTGTATCTGTGGGTCAGGTCATGTTGAAGGTGTATGTGTGAGTCAGGTCATGTTCAAGGTGTATTTGGGGGTCAGGTCATGTTGAAGGTGTATGTGTGAGTCAGGTCAATGTGAAGGTGTATCTGTGGGTCAGGTCATATTGAAGGTGTATCTGTGAGTCAGGTCATGTTGAAGGTGTATCTGTGAGTCAGGTCATGTTGAAGGTGTATTTGTGGGTCAGGTCATGTTGAAGGTGTATTTGTGGGTCAGGTCAATGTGTGGAACAGGTGAAGGTGTATCTGTTGGTCAGGTCATGTTGAAGGTGTATCTGTGGATCAGGTCAATGTATGGGTCAGGTCATGTTCAAGGTGTATCTGTGGGTCAGGTCATGTTCAAGGTGTCTGTGGGTCAGGTCATGTTCAAGGTGTATTTGTGGGTCAGGTCATGTTGAAGGTGTATCTGTGGGTCAGGTCATGTTCAAGGTGTCTGTGAGGCAGGTCATGTTCAAGGTGTCTGTGAGGCAGGTCATGTTCAAGGTGTATTTGTGGGTCAGGTCATGTTCAAGGTGTCTGTGGGTCAGGTCATGTTGAAGGTGTATTTGTGGGTCAGGTCATGTTGAAGGTGTATCTGTGGGTCAGGTCAATGTGAAGGTGTGTATGTGGGTAAGGTCAATGTGAAGGTGTAATTGTGGGTCAGGTCATGTTGAAGGTGTATCTGTGGGTCAGGTCAAGGTGAAGGTGTGTTTGTGGGTGAGGGCATGTAAAAGGTGTGTCTGTGGGGCCACATCTCTGTATTACACTCAACCCTGTTTCAGCTGACCAGGCGCGGTGACATTGTCCACCTCTTGAACTCCTCCTGAGATGCGGTGCTCGCAGTGATGAAGTTGGGGGTCAGGTCATGTTGAAGGTGTATGTGTGAGTCAGGTCAATGTGAAGGTGTATGTGTGGGTCAGGTCATGTTGAAGGTGTATTTGTGGGTCAGGTCATGTTGAAGGTGTATTTGTGGGTCAGGTCAATGTGTGGGTCAGGTGAAGGTGTATCTGTTGGTCAGGTCATGTTGAAGGTGTATCTGTGGGTCAGGTCAATGTATGGGTCAGGTCATGTTCAAGGTGTATCTGTGGGTCAGGTCAAGGTGCTAAGTGTGTCTGTGGGTCAGGTCATGTTCAAGGTGTATTTGTGAGTCAGGTCATGTTGAAGGTGTATCTGTGGGTCAGGTCATGTTCAAGGTGTCTGTGAGGCAGGTCATGTTCAAGGTGTGTCTGTTGGTCAGGTCAAGGTGAAGGTGTAATTGTGGGTCAGGTCATGTTGAAGGTGTATCTGTGGGTCAGGTCAAGGTGAAGGTGTGTTTGTGGGTGAGGGCATGTAAAAGGTGTGTCTGTGGGGCCACATCTCTGTATTACACTCAACCCTGTTTCAGCTGACCAGGCGCGGTGACATTGTCCACCTCTTGAACTCCTCCCGAGATGCGGTGCTCGCAGTGATGAAGTTTGTGTATGGTGGCGCCATCTGTCTGCAGCCCAGTCTCATCTCGGAGGTCAAAGCCCTGGCCCAACAGTGAGGAGATCTTTGTTATCAGATTGCTGTTATTTATTTTAGCGTCAGATACAAAGATAAAGTAAGCTGTAATAGTCAACCAGTGTAAAAATATATTCAGGCAGCTTGGCAAAGGAGTGGAAAACAGTTTAGTTAATCTACAAAAGTGAGCTTTGTGTGAGCTTTGTCATGTATGTACCCTATCATGTATGTACCATGTAATGTATGTACCATGTAATGTATGTACCTTGTCATGTATGTACCATATCATGTATGTACCATATCATGTATGTACCTTGTCATGTATGTACCATGTCATGTATGTACCATTTCATGTATGTACCTTGTCATGTATGTACCCTATCATGTATGTACCTTGTCATGTATGTACCCTATCATGTATGTACCATGTCATGTATGTACCATGTCATGTATGTACCATGTCATGTATGTACCTAGTCATGTATGTACCATGTCATGTATGTACCTGGTCATGTATGTACATTGTCATGTATGTACCTAGTCATGTATGTACATTGTCATGTATGTACCATATCATGTATGTACCATGTCATGTATGTACCTTGTCATGTATGTACCATGTCATGTATGTACCATTTCATGTATGTACCTTGTCATGTATGTACCATATCATGTATGTACCTTGTCATGTATGTACCATGTCATGTATGTACCATTTCATGTATGTACATTGTCATGTATGTACCATATCATGTATGTACCATGTCATGTATGTACCTTGTCATGTATGTACCATGTCATGTATGTACCATTTCATGTATGTACCTTGTCATGTATGTACCATATCATGTATGTACCTAGTCATGTATGTACCTTGTCATGTATGTACCCTATCATGTATGTACCATGTCATGTATGTACCATGTCATGTATGTACCTAGTCATGTATGTACCATGTCATTTATGTACCATGTCATGTATGGACCCAGGTCATGTATGTACCATATCATGTATGTACCTTGTCATGTATGTACCATATCATGTATGTACCATGTCATGTATGTACCTTGTCATGTATGTACCCTATCATGTATGTACCATGTCATGTATGTACCATGTCATGTATGTACCATGTCATGTTTGTCCTTGTCATGTATGTCCCTTGTCATGTATGTACCATGTCATGTATGTACCATGTCATGTATGTACCATGTCATGTATGTCCCTTGTCGTGTATGTACCATCGTATGTAGGTACCTTGTCATGTATGTACCATGTCATGTATGTACCTTGTCATGTATGTCCCATGTCATGTATGTACCATGTCATGTATGTACCATGTCATGTAGGTACCATGTCATGTATGTACCATGACATGTAGGTACCTTGTCATGTATGTACCATGACATGTAGGTACCTTGTCATGTATGTACCATGTCATGCATGTCCCTTGTCATGTATGTACCATGTCATGTATGTACCACATCATGTATGTACCATGTCATGTATGTACCAAATCATGTATGTACCATGTCATGTATGTACCTTGTCATGTATGTACCATGTCATGTGTGTACCTTGTCATGTATGTACCATGTTATGTGTGTACCTTGTCATGTATGTACCATGTCATGTATGTACTTTGTCCTTGCAGGCTCTGTGTCACAGATCTCACTGCCTTTTGTGATGCAAGTCAGGTGCTTCAGCAAACAGACATGCAGACAGTCACACAGACAGACATGAAGACAAATCAGGCCGAGAGCAGGGCACACAGACTTACCAGCATCGATGATATCTGTCATGACATGTTCAGTGACTCTGACTTTGACCTTGACCCTCAAGGTGAGAAGGGTGCTTGTAAGGAGGGAGGAGGAAGTAAGAGCGACGAGGATGAGTGGAGGGAGGTGTACTGTTCCCAGCGGCAGCAACTGCATCGCAGGCTGAGTTTGGGAGATGTTGTTGTCAAGGATGATATCGAGGAAGTAGGGGACTTTGGTCGACACAGAGGAGAATTGGACACAGTGGAATATGTGGAAGAGGAGGTTGGAGATGGACCTGCGCTGACAGGACACAGCTCTGCAGGTCCCATGCATGGAGCAGATCCAGGGGACAGACCTGCTCATAACTCCATTGATAGAAAATCGACAAGAAAGCCCTCCAAGACAGATCCACACAGTGGTGAAGAGGAGCTGTTCAGTGATGATGAAGAAGTTGAGATGGATTTATTGTTAGACACATCTGTCTCGGATAATGATGTCCCAGATATAGATGTCCCAACCATGAGACATAACAGGACATGTGACCGAAGAAGCAAACACCCAGGTCCTGGTTCAGCAACAGACCCTGGGTTTGAGTCTCATGAAGCTGATGAGAAACACTCCCATGGATCTGATGACTTTGAAATAATCCAAAGTGGGTCCAGTTCCTCAGAGGAGGGCAACAGTGATGGAAGTCAAGGTCAACAAGGAACAAGGGAAGAAACAGTCTCCAGGATATCCCAGTATGTAGCTATGTCGCCTTTCAGGTCTCCAGACAAGACAGAACCCAGTCGGTGCCGGTATGTAGCTATGTCGCCTGTCAGGTCTCCAGACAAGATAGAACCCAGTCGGTGCCGGTATGTAGCTATGTCGCCTGTCAGGTCTCCAGACAAGACAGAACCCAGTCGGAAGGCAGGATCAGCGAAGAGGAAGCGAGCACCATCCGACCAGGAACTGGTGGCATCTCCAATACTGAGCAAGAAAACTCATCCACACAGCGTGACACCACAGACCAAGCAGTCCCCCAAGAGGCTGAAGATGTTGACGCCCGACAGAGTGGTATCAAATCCAGGTAAAGGTCAAGGCCATTCTGACAAAAAGATAAAAATGTCCACAACCAATCCAGGTGTCACTAAAGTTAAGTCAGATGAACACATGAAGATGTCTACCCCTCTGGACCGATCAGGTCAAGGTCACTCTGTGGTGGAGCAGGACTCTCTGTACATCACCCCAATCCCCAATCAGCGACAGCGGTCGACCTTCATGTTGGAGACCCCTGCACTGACCAATCTGAGCCAAGGTCTTTCCATGGATGGGGACTTTGTGGCGACACCTGTAGGCAGGATAGTTCATAGCCATTCAGGGCAGGAAATTCTGGTTCATCTTAATGGGTCTTACTTGGCAGAGAACCAGACAGATGCTGACAAAAATGAATCAGGGATGCAAAACGACGATTGTTCCAGGGTAGCATGCCCTGTTGTTGAGAAGGAGAACACAAGGTCAGTAGATGCAGAAACAACAGCAGCCTCCGGAACTGATGTGGAATCAGGACGGAGTCGAAATAATAATTATTCAGGCCAGAATCCACACACAAAGTCATCAAATGGGAATCAAAGTTCCAAGTCCTCAGGAGTGAATCACAAGACCCTATCACCTGGCAAGAAGTCTGTGGATTCCTCTGATTCTGACCTTGAGATAGTTGGAGACAACTTCCAGTTGCTCTCACAGTCTTCCTTCTCTCCCAAGTTTCCCGGCAAGTTCAGCTTTAAGAAGATTTCCTCCCAGACCAGAAAGTTGAGTAGAAAGAGAAGGCCAAGTCTATATCCTCATTGCCATGGAGACAATGAGGAGGGGAGGAAGCTGGAGGCTGATGGTCGGAACAGTCAGGAGGAAGAAGACAAGAATGTCCTTATGTCTGCTGTTGGCATGGTGACAGATTGTGGTGATGCTGCAGAGGAGTCAGCACGGATGCACCGGTCTCCTAACACAGGTAGGTTGTCAAGATGCACCAGCACAGATGTGTTCACAGATAAAACTCCTAACGTCCCTTAGCCTCCACTCCCGTCTCCGCTCCACCACATCCCTACCTATCACTAACACCTACCTTTATCCCACCTGTATCCCACCTGTATCCCACCTGTATCCCTGTGGCAACACTCCACATTGTCCCCTGCATGTTACCCGACATGTATCCCTGTGGCAACACTCCATATTGTCCTACTGCATGTTACCCGACATGTATCCCTGCGGTAACACTCCACATTGTCCTACTGCATGTTACCCGACATGTATCCCTGTGGCCACACTCCACATTGTCCTACTGCATGTTACCCGACATGTATCCCTGTGGCAACACTCCACATTGTCCCCTGCATGTTACCCGACATGTATCCCTGTGGCAACACTCCATATTGTCCTACTGCATGTTACCCGACATGTATCCCTGCGGTAACACTCCACATTGTCCTACTGCATGTTACCCGACATGTATCCCTGTGGCCACACTCCACATTGTCCTACTGCATGTTACCCGACATGTATCCCTGTGGTAACACTCCACATTGTCCCCTGCATGTTACCCGACATGTATCCCTGTGGCAACACTCCATATTGTCCTACTGCATGTTACCCGACATGTATCCCTGTGGTAACACTCCACATTGTCCTACTGCATGTTACCCGACATGTATCCCTGTGGTAACACTCCACATTGTCCTACTGCATGTTGCCCGACATGTATCCCTGTGGTAACACTCCACATTGTCCTACTGCATGTTACCCGCCATGTACCCCTGTGGTAACACTCCCTATTGTCCTACTGCATGTTACCCGCAATGTATCCCTGTGGTAACACTCCACATTGTCCTACTGCATGTTACCCGACATGTATCCCTGTGGTAACACTCCACATTGTCCTACTGCATGTTACCCGACATGTATCCCTGTGGTAACACTCCCTATTGTCCAACTGCATGTTACCCGACATGTATCCCTGTGGTAACACTCCACATTGTCCTACTGCATGTTACCCGACATGTATCCCTGTGGTAACACTCCACATTGTCCTACTGCATGTTACCAGACATGTATCCCTGTGGTAACACTCCACATTGTCCTACTGCATGTTACCCAACATGTATCCCTGTGGTAACACTCCACATTGTCCTACTGCATGTTACCCGACATGTATCCCTGTGGCAACACTCCACATTGTCCTACTGCATGTTACCCGCAATGTATCCCTGTGGTAACACTCCACATTGTCCTACTGCATGTTACCCGACATGTATCCCTGTGGTAACACTCCACATTGTCCTACTGCATGTTACCCGACATGTATCCCTGTGGTAACACTCCCTATTATCCTACTGCATGTTACCCGACATGTATCCCTGTGGTAACACTCCACATTGTCCTACTGCATGTTACCCGACATGTATCCCTGTGGTAACACTCCCTATTGTCCTACTGCATGTTACCCGACATGTATCCATGTGGCAACACTCCACATTGTCCTACTGCATGTTACCCGACATGTATCAGTGTGGTAACACTCCCTATTGTCCTACTGCATGTTGCCCGACATGTATCCCTGTGGTAACACTCCACATTGTCCTACTGCATGTTACCCGACATGTATCCCTGTGGTAACACTCCACATTGTCCTACTGCATGTTACCCGACATGTATCCCTGTGGTAACACTCCACATTGTCCTACTGCATGTTACCCGACATGTATCCCTGTGGTAACACTCCACATTGTCCTACTGCATGTTACCTGACATGTATCCCTGTGGTAACACTCCACATTGTCCTACTGCATGTTACCCGACATGTATCCCTGTGGTAACACTCCACATTGTCCCACTGCATGTTACCCGACATGTATCCATGTGGTAACACTCCACATTGTCCTACCGCATGTTACCCGACATGTATCCATGTGGTAACACTCCACATTGTCCTACTGCATGTTACCCGACATGTATCCATGTGGTAACACTCCACATTGTCCTACTGCATGTTACCCGACATGTATCCCTGTGGCCACACTCCACATTGTCCTACTGCATGTTACCCGACATGTATCCCTGTGGTAACACTCCACATTGTCCTACTGCATGTTACCCGACATGTATCCCTGTGGTAACACTCCACATTGTCCTACTGCATGTTACCCGCAATGTATCCCTGTGGTAACACTCCACATTGTCCTACTGCATGTTACCCGACATGTATCCCTGTGGTAACACTCCCTATTGTCCTACTGCATGTTACCCAACATGTATCCCTGTGGTAACACTCCACATTGTCCTACTGCATGTTACCCAACATGTATCCCTGTGGTAACACTCCACATTGTCCTACTGCATGTTACCCGACATGTATCCCTGTGGTAACACTCCACATTGTCCTACTGCATGTTACCCGACATGTATCCCTGTGGTAACACTCCACATTGTCCTACTGCATGTTACCTGACATGTATCCCTGTGGCTTCACTCCACATTGTCCTACTGCATGTTACCCGACATGTATCCCTGTGGTAACACTCCACATTGTCCTACTGCATGTTACCCGACATGTATCCATGTGGTAACACTCCACATTGTCCTACTGCATGTTACCTGACATGTATCCCTGTGGCCACACTCCACATTGTCCTACTGCATGTTACCCGACATGTATCCCTGTGGTAACACTCCACATTGTCCTACTGCATGTTACCCGACATGTATCCCTGTGGTAACACTCCACATTGTCCTACTGCATGTTACCTGACATGTATCCCTGTGGCCACACTCCACATTGTCCTACTGCATGTTACCCGACATGTATCCCTGTGGTAATACTCCACATTGTCCTACTGCATGTTACCCGACATGTATCCCTGTGGCAACACTCCATATTGTCCTACTGCATGTTACCCGACATGTATCCCTGCGGTAACACTCCACATTGTCCTACTGCATGTTACCCGACATGTATCCCTGTGGCCACACTCCACATTGTCCTACTGCATGTTACCCGACATGTATCCCTGTGGCAACACTCCACATTGTCCCCTGCATGTTACCCGACATGTATCCCTGTGGCAACACTCCATATTGTCCTACTGCATGTTACCCGACATGTATCCCTGCGGTAACACTCCACATTGTCCTACTGCATGTTACCCGACATGTATCCCTGTGGCCACACTCCACATTGTCCTACTGCATGTTACCCGACATGTATCCCTGTGGTAACACTCCACATTGTCCCCTGCATGTTACCCGACATGTATCCCTGTGGCAACACTCCCTATTGTCCTACTGCATGTTACCCGACATGTATCCCTGTGGTAACACTCCACATTGTCCTACTGCATGTTACCCGACATGTATCCCTGTGGTAACACTCCACATTGTCCTACTGCATGTTGCCCGACATGTATCCCTGTGGTAACACTCCACATTGTCCTACTGCATGTTACCCGCCATGTACCCCTGTGGTAACACTCCCTATTGTCCTACTGCATGTTACCCGCAATGTATCCCTGTGGTAACACTCCACATTGTCCTACTGCATGTTACCCGACATGTATCCCTGTGGTAACACTCCACATTGTCCTACTGCATGTTACCCGACATGTATCCCTGTGGTAACACTCCCTATTGTCCAACTGCATGTTACCCGACATGTATCCCTGTGGTAACACTCCACATTGTCCTACTGCATGTTACCCGACATGTATCCCTGTGGTAACACTCCACATTGTCCTACTGCATGTTACCAGACATGTATCCCTGTGGTAACACTCCACATTGTCCTACTGCATGTTACCTGACATGTATCCCTGTGGTAACACTCCACATTGTCCTACTGCATGTTACCCGACATGTATCCCTGTGGCAACACTCCACATTGTCCTACTGCATGTTACCCGACATGTTTCCATGTGGTAACACTCCACATTGTCCTACTGCATGTTACCCGACATGTATCCCTGTGGCCACACTCCACATTGTCCTACTGCATGTTACCCGACATGTATCCCTGTGGTAACACTCCACATTGTCCTACTGCATGTTACCCGACATGTATCCCTGTGGTAACACTCCACATTGTCCTACTGCATGTTACCCGCAATGTATCCCTGTGGTAACACTCCACATTGTCCTACTGCATGTTACCCGACATGTATCCCTGTGGTAACACTCCCTATTGTCCTACTGCATGTTACCCAACATGTATCCCTGTGGTAACACTCCACATTGTCCTACTGCATGTTACCCGACATGTATCCCTGTGGTAACACTCCACATTGTCCTACTGCATGTTACCCGACATGTATCCCTGTGGTAACACTCCACATTGTCCTACTGCATGTTACCCGACATGTATCCCTGTGGTAACACTCCACATTGTCCTACTGCATGTTACCTGACATGTATCCCTGTGGCCACACTCCACATTGTCCTACTGCATGTTACCCGACATGTATCCCTGTGGTAACACTCCACATTGTCCTACTGCATGTTACCCGACATGTATCCATGTGGTAACACTCCACATTGTCCTACTGCATGTTACCTGACATGTATCCCTGTGGCCACACTCCACATTGTCCTACTGCATGTTACCCGACATGTATCCCTGTGGTAACACTCCACATTGTCCTACTGCATGTTACCCGACATGTATCCCTGTGGCCACACTCCACATTGTCCTACTGCATGTTACCCGACATGTATCCCTGTGGTAACACTCCACATTGTCCTACTGCATGTTACCCGCCATGTACCCCTGTGGTAACACTCCCTATTGTCCTACTGCATGTTACCCGCAATGTATCCCTGTGGTAACACTCCACATTGTCCTACTGCATGTTACCCGACATGTATCCCTGTGGTAACACTCCACATTGTCCTACTGCATGTTACCCGACATGTATCCCTGTGGTAACACTCCCTATTGTCCAACTGCATGTTACCCGACATGTATCCCTGTGGTAACACTCCACATTGTCCTACTGCATGTTACCCGACATGTATCCCTGTGGTAACACTCCACATTGTCCTACTGCATGTTACCAGACATGTATCCCTGTGGTAACACTCCACATTGTCCTACTGCATGTTACCTGACATGTATCCCTGTGGTAACACTCCACATTGTCCTACTGCATGTTACCCGACATGTATCCCTGTGGCAACACTCCACATTGTCCTACTGCATGTTACCCGACATGTTTCCATGTGGTAACACTCCACATTGTCCTACTGCATGTTACCCGACATGTATCCCTGTGGCCACACTCCACATTGTCCTACTGCATGTTACCCGACATGTATCCCTGTGGTAACACTCCACATTGTCCTACTGCATGTTACCCGACATGTATCCCTGTGGTAACACTCCACATTGTCCTACTGCATGTTACCCGCAATGTATCCCTGTGGTAACACTCCACATTGTCCTACTGCATGTTACCCGACATGTATCCCTGTGGTAACACTCCCTATTGTCCTACTGCATGTTACCCAACATGTATCCCTGTGGTAACACTCCACATTGTCCTACTGCATGTTACCCGACATGTATCCCTGTGGTAACACTCCACATTGTCCTACTGCATGTTACCCGACATGTATCCCTGTGGTAACACTCCACATTGTCCTACTGCATGTTACCCGACATGTATCCCTGTGGTAACACTCCACATTGTCCTACTGCATGTTACCTGACATGTATCCCTGTGGCCACACTCCACATTGTCCTACTGCATGTTACCCGACATGTATCCCTGTGGTAACACTCCACATTGTCCTACTGCATGTTACCCGACATGTATCCATGTGGTAACACTCCACATTGTCCTACTGCATGTTACCTGACATGTATCCCTGTGGCCACACTCCACATTGTCCTACTGCATGTTACCCGACATGTATCCCTGTGGTAACACTCCACATTGTCCTACTGCATGTTACCCGACATGTATCCCTGTGGCCACACTCCACATTGTCCTACTGCATGTTACCCGACATGTATCCCTGTGGTAATACTCCACATTGTCCTACTGCATGTTACCCGACATGTATCCCTGTGGTAACACTCCCTATTGTCCTACTGCATGTTACCCGACATGTATCCCTGTGGTAAGACTCCCTATTGTCCTACTGTATGTTACCCGACATATATCCCTGTGGCAACACTCTACATTGTCCTCCTGCATGTTACCCGACATGTATCCCTGTGGTAACACTCCCTATTGTCCTACTGCATGTTACCCGCAATGTATCCCTGTGGTAACACTCCCTATTGTCCTACTGCATGTTACCCGCAATGTATCCCTGTGGTAACACTCCACATTGTCCTACTGCATGTTACCCGACATGTACCCCTGTGGTAACACTCCACATTGTCCTACTGCATGTTACCCGACATGTATCCCTGTGGTAACACTCCACATTGTCCTACTGCATGTTACCCGACATGTATCCCTGTGGTAACACTCCACATTGTCCTACTGCATGTTACCCGCCATGTACCCCTGTGGTAACAATCCACATTGTCCTACTGCATGTTACCCGACATGTATCCCTGTGGTAACACTCCACATTGTCCTACTGCATGGTACCCGACATGTATCCCTGTGGTAACACTCCACATTGTCCTACTGCATGTTACCCGCCATGTACCCCTGTGGTAACACTCCACATTGTCCTACTGCATGTTACCCGACATGTATCCATGTTGCAACACTCCCTATTATCCTACTGCATGTTACCCGACATGTATCCCTGTGGTAACACTCCACATTGTCCTACTGCATGTTACCCGACATGTATCCCATTGGTAACACTCCCTATTGTCCTACTGCATGTTACCCGACATGTAGCCCTGTGGTAACACTTCACATTGTCCTACTGCATGTTACCCGACATGTATCCCTGTGGCCACACTCCACATTGTCCTACTGCATGTTACCCGCAATGTATCCCTGTGGTAACACTCCACATTGTCCTACTGCATGTTACCCGACATGTATCCCTGTGGTAACACTTCACATTGTCCTACTGCATGTTACCTGACATGTATCCCTGTGGCCACACTCCACATTGTCCTACTGCATGTTACCCGACATGTATCCCTGTGGTAATACTCCACATTGTCCTACTGCATGTTACCCGACATGTATCCCTGTGGTAACACTCCCTATTGTCCTACTGCATGTTACCCGACATGTATCCCTGTGGTAAGACTCCCTATTGTCCTACTGCATGTTACCCGACATGTATCCCTGTGGTAACACTCCACATTGTCCTACTGCATGTTACCCGCCATGTACACCTGTGGTAACACTCCACATTGTCCTACTGCATGTTACCCGACATGTATCCCTGTGGTAACACTCCACATTGTCCTACTGCATGGTACCCGACATGTATCCCTGTGGTAACACTCCACATTGTCCTACTGCATGTTACCCGCCATGTATCCCTGTGGTAACACTCCACATTGTCCTACTGCATGTTACCCGACATGTATCCATGTTGCAACACTCCCTATTATCCTACTGCATGTTACCCGACATGTATCCCTGTGGTAACACTCCACATTGTCCTACTGCATGTTACCCGACATGTATCCCATTGGTAACACTCCCTATTGTCCTACTGCATGTTACCCGACATGTAGCCCTGTGGTAACACTTCACATTGTCCTACTGCATGTTACCCGACATGTATCCCTGTGGCCACACTCCACATTGTCCTACTGCATGTTACCCGCAATGTATCCCTGTGGTAACACTCCACATTGTCCTACTGCATGTTACCCGACATGTATCCCTGTGGTAACACTTCACATTGTCCTACTGCATGTTACCCGACATGTATCCCTGTGGAAACACTTCACATTGTCCTACTGGATGTTACCCACAGACCAGCAAGATGTTGACGATGTTGTTGATGACCCTGGTGATGTTTGGGACGGCTGGGATGACATGGATGCCGCCTGCCACATCGAACCCCTCTGTGATGCTGATACGGAGGAGTCACCTCAGAAAAGAAATAGAAGTTCACCGACAACCCCGGGGAAGAAGCACTATACCCATAAAAGACGCATCTCCATGGATATGATAGAGAAGAAGAAAAAGGTATCCCTGGCAACCCCAGGAACATCAGCTGAGCATGGCCACACAACAAGTGGACAGACATCAGACGTAAGTTTCTTGCAGTGATAACTTTTGTTCAGTTCTGAATCACCTGCAGAGTAGCGTCCCTTAGGCATTCCAGGTACCTATGAACGTAGGTTGGAATCCAGGAATTTCAAAAATTTCATCAAAGTGCGAGACATCCTATGACCTGCATCCTGTTTCCTCTCAGAACAAACTGACACACTGTGATACAACTGAAATAATCCTCAAAGTGACAAAGCCCAGCTCCCTCGCTCCCTTGCTCACTACATAACCACATCACCTGTAAATGTCCTGAGGGTTTTCACCACTTAATTTATGCTCATTTTTATATTTTAATATTTATGTCCAGGATGAAGATTCTTTACCTTCACCAGGGAGAGTTGAGGCAGGGGAAGCAACTCTGGACTTTGAGTTGCCAGATGCTGACAGCTTCCTGTGGAATGATGATAATGTTCCAGACATGGCGCCAAGTCTCCAGGTGGAGGATAACAAGGGGAGACAACTCCAGCAGGTACCGTCAAGGGATATGTTACTGTGTTTCTCTCTAACAGTGAGAATATCTTACCAGGGATCACTGAGACTTTTCCATAAGATTATAACAGTAAAATTGTTGATCTTGCGTTGATTCTCAATCCACAAGTATCTCATATACAAATATGGGAGTTATGATCGTCTTGGTGCTTAGATTGCAGTGTGGAATGGGCTCAGGTAAATATGGATTGGTGCCAAATTCACTGTTAGTATACTGTGATCAAGCAGGAAAGTTTGTTAACAAGCAACAGTTAGGGCTGTCACCGTCCATTTAAGACCACTCTGAACCTGCTTCTACTTCCGCCAGGCTGCCAACTTCAAGACCCCCGTGTCGGCTAGACCAACAAAGTCGGCCAAGAAGCTGGTACCACCATCGCCGTTCACGCCGATGCCAGACTACGACACCATGAACACCCCACAACTAAAGGTACCTGACATTACAACCAGGCTATACATGCATGGAGCCAGTACTTCAAGGATCCACTTGTTTCCTGGAAAAAAGGATTTAGTTAAATTCTGAAATCAAGCCACTATTTCATGTGCATTGCTGTTAACTCTTATTACAACCGGGTATGGTGGGGTGGCCGGGTGGTTAGCATTGTCGCTTTGCACGCCGAAATCCCAGGGGTAAACTGTACACCGAAGTCCCAGGGGTAAACTGTACACCGATGTCCCAGGGGTAAACTGCACACCCAAGTCCCTGTGATAAACTGTACACTCAAGTCCCAGGGGTAAACTGCACACCCAAGTCCCAGGGGGTAAACTGCACACCCAAGTCCCAGGTGTAAACTGCACACCGAAGTCCCAGGGATAAACTGCACGCCGAAGTCCCACAGGGAAACTGCACACCCAAGTCCCAGGTGTAAACTGCATACCCAAGTCCCAGGGGTAAACTGCACACCCAAGTCCAAGGGGTAAACTGTACACCGAAGTCCCAGGGGTAAACTGTACACTCAAGTCCCAGGGGTAAACTGCACGCCGAAGTCCCTGTGATAAACTGTACACCGAAGTCCCAGGGGTAAACTGTACACTCAAGTCCCAGGGGTAAACTGCACGCCCAAGTCCCGGGGTAAACTGCATGCCGAAGTCCCAGGGGTAAACTGTACACCCAAGTCCAAGGGGTAAACTGCATGCCGAAGTCCCTGTGATAAACTGTACACCGAAGTCCCAGGGGTAAACTGTACACTCAAGTCCCAGGGGTAAACTGCATGCCGAAGTCCCTGTGTTAAACAGTACACCAAAGTCCCAGGGATAAACTGTACACCAAAGTCCAAGGGGTAAACTGAATGCCCAAGTCCCGGGGTAAACTGCATGCCGAAAGTCCCAGGGGTAAACTGCACACCCAAGTCCCGGGGTAAACTGCATGCCGAAGTCCCAGGGGTAAACTGTACACTCAAGTCCCAGGGGTTAACTGCATGCAGAAGTCCCTGTGATAAACTGTACACTCAAGTCTCGGGGTAAACTGCATGCCGAAGTCCCAGGGGTAAACTGTACACTGAAGTCCCGGGGTAAACTGTACACTCAAGTCCCAGGGGTAAACTGCATGCCGAAGTCCCTGTGATAAACTGTACACCCAAGTCCCAGGGATAAACTGTACAACGAAGTCCCAGGGGTAAACTGCACACCCAAGTCCCAGGGTAAACTGCATGCCGAAGTCCCAGGGGTAAACTGTACACTCAAGTCCCAGGGGTAAACTGCACGCCGAAGTCCCTGTGATGAACTGTAAACCCAAGTCCCAGGGATAAACTGTACACCGAAGTCCCAGGGGTAAACTGCACGCCCAAGTCCCGGGGTAAACTGCATGCCGAAGTCCCAGGGGTAAACTGTACACCCAAGTCCCAGGGGTAAACTGCACGCCCAAGTCCCGGGGGTAAACTGCACACCCAAGTCCCGGGGGTAAACTGCACGCCCAAGTCCCGGGGGTAAACTGCACGCCCAAGTCCTATGGGGAAACTGCACACCAAAGTCCCAGGGGTAAACTGCACACCCAAGTCCCTGGCATATACTGCACAATGTCTGTTGACTGACATAATAAGCAGCATAAAACCCTCACACGGTTTTGAGATAATTTGTTTGTTTGATCTTCCCATGTATCCAGCAACAAGTGGGGAAGTTTGGAGTGCGGCCGGTGGGGAAGAAACGGATGGTTGGCCTGTTGAAGGACATCTACCACAAGACTCATCAGTGTAAGTTGGGTGTTGTTGAAGGACGCCTGTGGACGTTGGGTTTTGTTGAAGGACATTAGTGTCAGTTGGGTGTTGAAGGACATTAGTGTAAGTTGGGTGTTGAAGGACATCAGTGTATGTTGGGTGTTGTTGAAGGACATCAGTGTATGTTGGGTGTTGAAGGACATCAGTTTAAGTTGGGTGTTGTTGAAGGACATCAGTGTAAGTTGGGTGTTGTTGAAGGACACCAGTGTCAGTTTGGTGTTGTTGAAGGACACCAGTGTCAGTTGGGTGTTGTTGAAGGACATCAGTCTAAGTTGGGTGTTGTTGAAGGACACCAGTGTCAGTTGGGTGTTGTTGAAGGACACCAGTGTCAGTTGGGTGTTGTTGAAGGACACCAGTGTCAGATAGGTGTTGTTGAAGGACACTGATGTCAGTTGGGTGTTGTTGAAGGACACCAGTGTCAGTTGGGTGTTGTTGAAGGACACCAGTGTCAGTTGGGTGTTGTTGAAGGACATCAGTGTCAGTTGGGTGTTGTTGAAGGACATTAGTGTAAGTTGGGTGTTGAAGGACATTAGTGTAAGTTGGGTGTTGAAGGACATTAGTGTACGTTGGGTGTTGAAGGACATTAGTGTCAGTTGGGTGTTGTTGAAGGACACCAGTGTCAGTTGGGTGTTGTTGAAGGACACCAGTGTCAGTTGGGTGTTGTTGAAGGACACCAGTGTCAGTTGGGTGTTGTTGAAGGACACCAGTGTCAGTTGGGTGTTGTTGAAGGACATTAGTGTAAGTTGGGTGTTGAAGGACATTAGTGTAAGTTGGGTGTTGAAGGACATTAGTGTCAGTTGGGTGTTGAAGGACATTAGTGTAAGTTTGGTGTTGAAGGACATAAGTGTACGTTGGGTGTTGAAGGACACCAGTGTAAGTTGGGTGTTGAAGGACATCAGTGTAAGATTGGTGTTGTTGAAGGACATCAGTGTCAGTTGGGTGTTGTTGAAGGACATTAGTGTAAGTTGGGTGTTGAAGGACATTAGTGTAAGTTGGGTGTTGAAGGACATTAGTGTAAGTTGGGTGTTGAAGGACATTAGTGTCAGTTGGGTGTTGAAGGACATTAGTGTAAGTTTGGTGTTGAAGGACATTAGTGTACGTTGGGTGTTGAAGGACACCAGTGTAAGTTGGGTGTTGAAGGACATCAGTGTAAGATTGGTGTTGTTGAAGGACATCAGTGTCAGTTGGGTGTTGTTGAAGGACACCAGTGTCAGTTGGGTGTTGTTGAAGGACACCAGTGTCAGTTGGGTGTTGTTGAAGGACACCAGTGTCAGTTGGGTGTTGTTGAAGGACACTGATGTCAGTTGGGTGTTGTTGAAGGACACTGATGTCAGATGGGTGTTGTTGAAGGACACTGATGTCAGTTGGGTGTTGAAGGACATTAGTGTAAGTTGGGTGTTGAAGGACATTAGTGTAAGTTGGGTGTTCAAGGACATTAGTGTCAGTTGGGTGTTGAAGGACATTAGTGTAAGTTGGGTGTTGAAGGACATTAGTGTACGGTGGGTGTTGTTGAAGGACACCAGTGTCAGTTGGGTGTTGTTGAAGGACACCAGTGTCAGTTGGGTGTTGTTGAAGGACACCAGTGTCAGTTGGGTGCTGTTGAAGGACATTAGTGTAAGTTGGGTGTTGAAGGACATTAGTGTCAGTTGGGTGTTGAAGGACATTAGTGTAAGTTGGGTGTTGAAGGACATCAGTGTATGTTGGGTGTTGTTGAAGGACATCAGTGTATGTTGGGTGTTGAAGGACATCAGTTTAAGTTGGGTGTTGTTGAAGGACATCAGTGTAAGTTGGGTGTTGTTGAAGGACACCAGTGTCAGTTGGGTGTTGTTGAAGGACACCAGTGTCAGTTGGGTGTTGTTGAAGGACATCAGTCTAAGTTGGGTGTTGTTGAAGGACACCAGTGTCAGTTGGGTGTTGTTGAAGGACACCAGTGTCAGTTGGGTGTTGTTGAAGGACACCAGTGTCAGATAGGTGTTGTTGAAGGACACTGATGTCAGTTGGGTGTTGTTGAAGGACACCAGTGTCAGTTGGGTGTTGTTGAAGGACACCAGTGTCAGTTGGGTGTTGTTGAAGGACATCAGTGTCAGTTGGGTGTTCTTGAAGGACATCAGTGTCAGTTGGGTGTTGTTGAAGGACATTAGTGTAAGTTGGGTGTTGAAGGACATTAGTGTACGTTGGGTGTTGAAGGACATTAGTGTCAGTTGGGTGTTGTTGAAGGACACCAGTGTCAGTTGGGTGTTGTTGAAGGACACCAGTGTATGTTGGGTGTTGTTGAAGGACACCAGTGTCAGTTGGGTGTTGTTGAAGGACACCAGTGTCAGTTGGGTGTTGTTGAAGGATATTAGTGTAAGTTGGATGTTGAAGGACATTAGTGTAAGTTGGGTGTTGAAGGACATTAGTGTCAGTTGGGTGTTGAAGGACATTAGTGTAAGTTTGGTGTTGAAGGACATAAGTGTACGTTGGGTGTTGAAGGACACCAGTGTAAGTTGGGTGTTGAAGGACATCAGTGTAAGATTGGTGTTGTTGAAGGACATCAGTGTCAGTTGGGTGTTGTTGAAGGACATTAGTGTAAGTTGGGTGTTGAAGGACATTAGTGTAAGTTGGGTGTTGAAGGACATTAGTGTAAGTTGGGTGTTGAAGGACATTAGTGTCAGTTGGGTGTTGAAGGACATTAGTATAAGTTTGGTGTTGAAGGACATTAGTGTACGTTGGGTGTTGAAGGACACCAGTGTAAGTTGGGTGTTGAAGGACATCAGTGTAAGATTGGTGTTGTTGAAGGACATCAGTGTCAGTTGGGTGTTGTTGAAGGACACCAGTGTCAGTTGGGTGTTGTTGAAGGACACCAGTGTCAGTTGGGTGTTGTTGAAGGACACTGATGTCAGTTGGGTGTTGTTGAAGGACACCAGTGTCAGTTGGGTGTTGTTGAAGGACACTGATGTCAGTTGGGTGTTGTTGAAGGACACTGATGTCAGATGGGTGTTGTTGAAGGACACTGATGTCAGTTGGGTGTTGAAGGACATTAGTGTAAGTTGGGTGTTGAAGGACATTAGTGTAAGTTGGGTGTTCAAGGACATTAGTGTCAGTTGGGTGTTGAAGGACATTAGTGTAAGTTGGGTGTTGAAGGACATTAGTGTACGTTGGGTGTTGTTGAAGGACACCAGTGTCAGTTGGGTGTTGTTGAAGGACACCAGTGTCAGTTGGGTGTTGTTGAAGGACACCAGTGTCAGTTGGGTGCTGTTGAAGGACATTAGTGTAAGTTGGGTGTTGAAGGACATTAGTGTCAGTTGGGTGTTGAAGGACATTAGTGTAAGTTGGGTGTTGAAGGACATTAGTGTACGTTGGGTGTTGAAGGACATCAGTGTCAGTTGGGTGTTGTTGAAGGACACCAGTGTAAGTTGGGTGTTGAAGGACATTAGTGTAACTTGGGTGTTGAAGGACATTAGTGTAAGTTGGGTGTTGAAGGACATTAGTGTAAGTTGGGTGTTGAAGGACATTAGTGTACGTTGGGTGTTGAAGGACATTAGTGTAAGTTGGGTGTTGTTGAAGGACACCAGTGTCAGTTGGGTGTTGTTGAAGGACACCAGTGTCAGTTGGGTGTTGTTGAAGGACACCAGTGTCAGTTGGGTGTTGTTGAAGGACATTAGTGTAAGTTGGGTGTTGAAGGACATTAGTGTAAATTGGGTGTTGAAGGACATTAGTGTACGTTGGGTGTTGAAGGACATTAGTGTAACTTGGGTGTTGAAGGACATTAGTGTAACTTGGGTGTTGAAGGATATTAGTGTAAGTTGGGTGTTGAAGGACATTAGTGTACGTTGGGTGTTGAAGGACATTAGTGTAAGTTGGGTGTTGTTGAAGGACACCAGTGTCAGTTGGGTGTTGTTGAAGGACACCAGTGTCAGTTGGGTGTTGTTGAAGGACATTAGTGTAAGTTGGGTGTTGAAGGACATTAGTGTAAGTTGGGTGTTGAAGGACATTAGTGTCAGTTGGGTGTTGAAGGACATTAGTGTAAGTTTGGTGTTGAAGGACATTAGTGTACGTTGGGTGTTTTGAAGGACATCAGTGTCAGTTGGGTGTTGTTGAAGGACACCAGTGTCAGTTGGGTGTTGTTGAAGGACACCAGTGTCAGTTGGGTGTTGTTGAAGGACACCAGTGTCAGTTGGGTGTTGTTGAAGGACATCAGTGTCAGTTGGGTGTTGTTGAAGGACACCAGTGTCAGATAGGTGTTGTTGAAGGACACTGATGTCAGTTGGGTGTTGTTGAAGGACACTGATGTCAGTTGGGTGTTGTTGAAGGACACCAGTGTCAGTTGGGTGTTGAAGGACATTAGTGTAATTTGGGTGTTGAAGGACATTAGTGTACGTTGGGTGTTGAAGGACATTAGTGTAACTTGGGTGTTGAAGGACATTAGTGTAACTTGGGTGTTGAAGGATATTAGTGTAAGTTGGGTGTTGAAGGACATTAGTGTACGTTGGGTGTTGAAGGACATCAGTGTAAGTTGGGTGTTGTTGAAGGACATCAGTGTAAGTTGGGTGTTGTTGAAGGACACCAGTGTATGTTGGGTGTTGTTGAAGGACACCAGTGTCAGTTGGTTGTTGAAGGACATTAGTGTAAGTTGGGGATGTTAAATGAGTTTAGAGTTGATTGATGTTAAAATTGATGCACATGTTGTGGAACTTTACGACACTCCATTCCTTCTTTCCTTCATACTGATAGATGAGACCGACAGTGATTTTGACCCAGAGAAGTCCTCACCACAGAAGTCCACAGACAGACCCAGTAAGTCCTCTATGACCAAGGTTGATGCCGGAGACAGACCCAGTAAGCATTCTGTAGCCAAGGTTGGCGCCGGAGACAGACCCAGTAAGCATTCTGTAGCCAAGGTTGGTGCCGGAGACAGACCCAGTAAGCCTTCTGTGGCCAAAGTTGGTGCCGGAGACAGATACAACAACGTTAGTGTTTCCGAGTCCTCTACATCTGAAGAAGGAAGCACTCAGCGAAGTGTGACATCATCGCAAGAATCAGGGTTTAGGTAGGTAGGTAGGTAGGTGCGTGCGTGCGTGCGTGCGTGCGTGCGTGCGTGCGCGTGTGTGTGTGCGGGCGCTCGTGCGTGTGTTTGTGTGTGTGTATGTGTGTGTCTTTGTGTCTGGGGTGGTCGGGTAGCCTAGTGGTTAAGGCATTCGCTCGTCACACTGAAGACCCCGGTTCAAGTCTGGACATGGGTACAATGTGTGAAGCTCATTTGTGGTGTCCCTCGCAATGATATTGCTGGAATATTGCTACAAGCGGCATAACACCATACTCACTCACTCACTTTGTCTGTGTGAGTGTCTGTTCATGTGTGTGTGTGTGTCTCTGTGTCTGGGTATCTCTGTGTGAGTGTCTGTTCATGTGTGTGTCTCTGTGTCTGGGTATCTCTGTGTCTGTGTGAGTGTCTGTTCGTGTGTGTGTGTGTCTCTGTGTCTGGGTATCTCTGTGTCAGTGTGAGTGTCTGTGTGAGTGTCTGTTCATGTGTGTGTGTGTCTCTGTGTCTGGGTATCTCTGTGTCAGTGTGAGTGTCTGTGTGAGTGTCTGTTCATGTGTGTGTGTCTCTGTGTCTGGGTATCTCTGTGTCAGTGTGAGTGTCTGTTCGTGTGTGTGTGTCTCTGTGTCTGGGTATCTCTGTGTCAGTGTGAGTGTCTGTTCGTGTGTGTGTGTGTGTCTCTGTGTCTGGGTATCTCTGTGTCAGTGTGAGTGTCTGTTCATGTGTGTGGGTGTCTGTGTCTGGGTATCTCTGTGTCAGTGTGAGTGTCTGTTCATGTGTGTGTGTCTCTGTGTCTGGGTATCTCTGTTAGTGTGTTCAGGGAAACATCAGTTATTTAGGGATCTGTGCTAGCTCCTGTAACGCTTCCTGGCCTTCAGGTGGTAGACATTAGACTTTGAATAAAGCAAGGATGTCTGCAATGAAAGAAGGCAGACTTACACAACTGACTCTAATATATTATGGTTAAATGCTTTCAATGGTTGCCTCTATAGACTGAAGTTGATGGAACTGTCTTCTTTCAGTGACGTCCCGGAGGAGAGCTTCATGGTGGCTGATGAGGAGATATCAGCATCACAGCAGGTATATTGTTACAGTATAATCCAACTTATCCTGCATTACTCCTTGATGCATTTACTAGGGCTGTTATGTTTCACTCGCGTAGTCGGTGAATGGAACAGTATCCAATCATGAATTGAATTCGTTATTCTCGGCCACTAGAATAGAATACTTATGAATATGCAAGCAAGTGCATTAACATAAAAATATCTATAAGAACATGGTATATTCTTAGATTTCTTCAAAAGGTGACTACACTTGTCATAAAAGGCGACTAACGGGATCATTTGGTCAGACTCGCTGACTTGGTTGATGCATGTCATCGTATCCCAATTGCGTGGATCAATGCTCATGATGTCAATCACTTGATTGCCTGGTCCAGACTCTATTATTTACAGACTGCCGTCATATAGCTGGAATATTGTTGAGTGCGGCATTAACAACAAACAATCCAAATCAAAAGATAACACTCTTATATTATTTAATTTGACAGTATTGTGGTCACTAGTCATTGTCGCATTTGACCTGATACAAGTACCTAAATAGGTGCAGTCTATAAATGTATAATATATTAATTATTAACAAACCATGTCAAAAAATTTATGTTGTTATTGCTTCACTGAATGTAACAAATAATACATCATCTGCCGACCTGTTATTATATTCGTGAATTAATATTCGTATTCGTTATCCTATATTCGTGATACGAATCGTGTTCGCCTCATAGTGTATTCGTTGCAGCCCTAGCATTTACTGCTTTCTTTTGACCAACAGGTTACACATAGTTTGCTGAACACTTTCATTAAGACAACATGTCTTGTCTGGTGGATTGCATTGTTTTTAAGTATTGTAGTATTTCACTGACAGGGTTGTGTGTTTGAGACATGGAATATTTAAGGAGTTGAGGTGGGATTTTTTAAAAAAACAAATAAAAACAAAACGTGCAGTGGACATGAGAACCAAGATTAGGTATACAAATATACAAATTTCTGATTTTGTCCAATCAGATGTGAGCATTTTCCCAAAACATTGAACTACTAAGTGTTAGTTAAGTGTATTTTGGAGAAATGAGTTTTGTACGTTAGTTGTGATCTATGAGGAATATTGTGTCAAGCCCTGATCAACTAAAACGTCAACAGATTTATGTAAACTTTGTAGAAATCTTTGTTTGTCTTACAGGGGAACCAGCCGGACTTACAGCAGAAGCTGGCCTCGTTCATCAGGCAGAGGTCCGACATTCACACAAAGCTCATGATGTACGAGGTGAGACTTCCCTCACAACTATCTACTGGAGTGTTCACAGTATTCAGTATTCCCGTGTTGACAGTATTCAGTATTCCTGTGTTGACAGTAATTAGTATTCCTGTGTTGACAGTATTCAGTATTCCTGTGTTGACAGTATTCCGATGTTGACAGTATTCAGTATTCCTGTGTTGACAGTATTCAGTATTCCTGTGTTGACAGTATTCAGTATTCCTGTGTTGACAGTATTCCTGTGTTGACTATTCAGTATTCCTGTGTTGACAGTATTCCGATGTTGACAGTATTCAGTATTCCTGTGTTGACAGTATTCAGTATTCCTGTTGACAGTATTCAGTATTCCTGTGTTGACAGTATTTCGATGTTGACAGTATTCCGTTGTTGACAGTATTCCGATGTTGACAGTATTCAGTATTCCCGTGTTGACAGTATTCCTGTGTTGACTATTCAGTATTCCTGTGTTGACAGTATTCAACATTCCTGTGTTGACAGTAGTCCTGTGTTGACAGTATTCAGTATTCCTGTGTTGACAGTATTCAGTATTCCTGTGTTGACATTATTCCTGTGTTGACAGTATTCAGTATTCCTGTGTTGACAGTATTTCGATGTTGACAGTATTCCTGTGTTGACAGTATTCCGATGATGACAGTATTTCGTATTCCTGTGTTGACAGTATTTCGATGTTGACAGTATTAAGTATTCCTGTGTTGACAGTATTCATTCTTCCTGTGTTGACAGTATTCAGTATTCCTCTGTTGACAGTATGCCGATGTTGACAGTATTCCTGTGTTGACAGTATTCTGATGTTGACATTATTCAGTATTCCCGTGTTGACAGTATTCCTGTGTTGACAGTATTCAATATTCCTGTGTTGACAGTATTCCTGTGTTGACAGTATTAAACATTCCTGTGTTAACAGTATGCCGATGTTGACAGTATTCAGTATTCCTGTGTTGACAGTATTCAACATTCCTGTGTTAACAGTATGCCGATATTGACAGTATTCAGTATTCCTGTGTTGACAGTATTCTTTTGTTGACAGTATTCAGTATTCCTGTGTTGATAATATTCAGTATTCCTGTGTGGACAGTATTCCGATGTTGACAGTATTCAGTATTCCTGTGTTGACAGTATTCAGTATTCCTATGTTGACAGTATTCAGTATTCATGTGTTGACAGTATTCCTGTGTTAACAGTATTCAGTATTCATGTGTTGACAGTATCCATTATTCATGTGTTGACAGTATTCAGTATTCATGTATTGACATAATTTATTCAGTATTCCTGTGTTGACAGTATTCAGTATTCCTATGTTGACAGTATTCAGTATTCCTGTGTTGACAGTATGCAGTCTTCCCATGTTAACAGTTTCCAGTATTCATGTGTTGACAGTATTCCTGTGTTAACAGTATTCAGTATTCCTGTGTTGACAGTATTCATTCAGTATTCCTGTGTTGACAGTATCCAGTATTCATGTGTTGACAGTATTCAGTATTCCTGTGTTGACAGCCACTAGAGCTGGACTGGCTGAAGCGGGAGATCCAGGATGCCGGCATCAAGTGCCCCATGCAGAAACTGATGGACTTTCTGGACGAGAAGGTAACAAGTCAATACATGTTGACCTGGGTTTAAAGAATAGTTGCTGAAATCTCATCAGGTTATCACAGCCAAGGACTTGGATGATTGCATGTCTTCATACCAAGACAGTATGGGATATTGCTCATGATATCAACCACTAGCTTGATGTGATGTTGACAGGCTGCCATGATATGGCTGGGATATTGCTCACTGCAGCGTGCAACAACAAACGCAAACAAGCTGTAGTTCTTGATGGATTCCACGGAAGCGTGTCTCCAGCATCATGTGTTTGTCTTAAAGATGGATTTTACCTTGACTACAAAAGTGGGGTCAAAGATTTTTTCCTTGACTTACAAACGTGGGCTCCAAGGTGTTTCTTTGACTTACAGAAGTGGGGTCCTTAGTTTTACCTTGACTTACAAAAGTGGGGTGCTTAGTTTTACCTTGACTTACAAAAGTGGGGTGCTTAGTTTTACCTTGACTTACAAAAGTGGGGTCCTGGGTTTTACCTAGACTTACAAAAGTGGGATCCTGGGTTTTACCTTGACTTACAAAAGTGGGGTCCTGGGTTTTACCTTAACTTACAAAAGTGGGTTCCTGGGTTTTACCTTGACTTACAAAAGTGGGGTCCTGGGTTTTCCCTTGACTTACAAAAGTGGGGTCCTGGGATTTACCTTGACTTACAAAAGTGGTGTCCTTAGTTTTACCTTGACTTACAAAAGTGGGGTCCTGGGTTTTCCCTTGACTTACAAAAGTGGGGTCAAAGATTTTTCCTTGACTTACAAAAGTGGGGTCCTGGGTTTTACCTAGACTTACAAAAGTGGGATCCTGGGTTTTACCTTGACTTACAAAAGTGGGGTCCTGGGTTTTACCTTGACTTACAAAAGTTGGGTCCTGGGTTTTCCCTTGACTTACAAAAGTGGGGTCCAAGATATTTCCTTGACTTACAAAAGTGGGGTCCTGGGTTTTACCTAGACTTACAAAAGTGGGGTCCTGGGTTTTACCTTGACTTACAAAAGTGGGGTCCTGGGTTTTACCTAGACTTACAGATGTGGGTGTCCTGGGATTTACCCTGACTTTCAAAAGTGGGTTCCTGGGTTTTACCTTGACTTACAAAAGTGGGTTCCTGGGTTTTACCTTGACTTACAAAAGTGGGGTCCTGGGTTTTACCTTGACTTACAAAAGTGGGGTCCTGGGTTTTCCCTTGACTTACAAAAGTGGGGTCCTGGGTTTTACCTTGACTTACAAAAGTGGGGTCCTGGGTTTTACCTTGACTTACAAAAGTGGGGTCCTGGGATTTACCTTGACTTACAAAAGTGGGGTCCTGGGTTTTACCTTGACTTACAAAAGTGGGGGTTAATTTTGAGGGTCCTTGCAGGCAATATGAGGGTCCTGTAAAGTAATGAAATTATGTTGTGTACCAAATGTGTCAGGAATTGTTAGAGTGAGGGGTCTTTGTTGCAGTGTCTCACATTCACCATGAAGAAGATGAGCAAGAGGAATACGAACAGACGACAACCCAAGCGCAAAAAGAAGGTCAAGCTCCCTGCAGCAGCTGTGTGATGTTCTCCAGGGAATGTGGGACATTCTCGTGGGAATATGTGATGCTCTCTGGGGAATATGTGATGTTCTCTAGGGAATATGTGATGCTCTCTGGGGAATATGTGATGCTCTCTAGGGAATATGTGATGCTCTCTGGGGAATATGTGATGTTCTCTAGGGAATATGTGATGCTCTCTGGGGAATATGTGATGTTCTCTAGGGAATATGTGATGCTCTCTAGGGAATATGTGATGCTCTCTAGGGAATATGTGATGTTCTCTAGGGAATATGTGATGCTCTCTAGGGAATATGTGATGCTCTCTAGGGAATATGTGATGCTCTCTGGGGAATATGTGATGTTCTCTAGGGAATATGTGATGCTCTCTGGGGAATATGTGATATTCTCTAGGGAATATGTGATGCTCTCTAGGGAATATGTGATGCTCTCTGGGAAATATGTGATGCTCTCTAGGAATTTGTGATGTTCTCTAGGGAATATGTGATGTTCTCAGGGGAATATGTGATGCTCTCAGGGGAATATGTGATGTTCTCTAGAAAATATGGGACATTCTCAATGCAATATGTGATGCTCTCTAGGGAATATGTGATGTTCCCTGGGGAATATGTGATGCTCTCTGGGGAATATGGGACATTCTCTAGAAGATATGTTACATTCTCAAGGGAATATGTGATGCTCTCTGGGGAATATGTGATGCTCTCTGGGGAATATGGGACATTCTCTAGAAAATATGGGACATTCTCAAGGGAATATGTGATGCTCTCTGGGGAACATGTGATATTCTCTAGGGAATATGTGATGCACTCTGGGGAATATGTGGTGTTCTCTAGGGAATATGTGATGCACTCTGGGGAATATGTGATGCTCTCTAGGGAATATGTGATGATCTCTAGGGAATATGTGATGCTCTCTGGGGAATATGTGATGCACTCTGGGGAATATGTGATGCACTCTGGAGAATATGTGATGCTCTCTAGGGAATATTTGATGCTCTCTAGGGAATATGTGATGCACTCTGGGGAATATGTGGTGTTCTCTAGGGAATATGTGATGCTCTCTGGAGACATTCTCTAGAAAAAATGCGACATTCTTAAGGGAATATGTAATGTTCTCAAGGAAATATGTGACACTGACTACAGAATATGTGACATCTCCAGGAATCATGTTTCCCTCATATGATGACACGAGAGACCTCTCCGATGATGACACGAGAGACCTCTCCGATGATGACATGAGAGACCTCTACGATGATGACATGAGAGACCTCTCCGATGATGACATGAGAGACCTCTCCGACGATGACACAAGAGACCTCTCTGATGACATGAGATACCTCTCCGATGATGACACGAGAGACCTCTCTGATGACATGAGAGGCCCCCTCTGCTATGATGTTTCCACCTCACCAGCATGTGGACGGTCTGTCTTGTGTTCAGTCTGTGTCTGCAAGGGAGCCAGCATTACAGAACACTTCAGTTGTAGTTGTTTCTGGAGTAAGAACTATTGGTGGAGTTTGTTTTACTTAGTCAGTTCTTCACTTTTAAGGTTCAAGTAGCACATGTTTTAAGAAGAATTCCATCCTTACGGAGTATGGAGTTATGTCTCTTTAAAGTCATTAAAATAATATGTTAGTGCTCGTTACCGCTAAATCAAAGATCTGAGGACATCCCATTACAGGTCACGTCAGAATGACCTTTCATGAAATGACTAACAAGAAGTCGACATTAGCCAATCAGAAAGCACATACTCAAGCTTAGTGGCACAAGTTTCAAAGTGGCCACTTCCATTGCAGACTACACTTGGAAGCAAATTTTGTGAAATTTCTTTCTTTTTTAAACCAAAGAAAATTCTGGAATGTTTAATAGGTGGCCGAGATTGTATAGCAATACTTCTTATGGGAGATGGAAGTGTCTTCTTCTTAAAATGTTCATCCCTTTGAAGCAAGACGATGATTTTGACAGAATCAGTCATACATCCCACAACTGTCGTTTGGAATAAACTGTGGTAACATTTCCGATGTTGCATGATTAGAAATATTAATAATTATTGATTAATAATGATAATAATGATATACGCATTTGTATAGCGCAGCATTAACTGTGCATACATGCTCTATGTGCTGACATTCTGACTGTCACTTTCCTGATCTTTGAAAGCGATGCTCTGATTGGTCGGTTGAAAGTTCATTCTAAGGTGACCTTTAATCAAATGTCCTCAGATCTTTGTTTAGTGGTAGCAAGAACTAAGATCTGATTTTACTGAGATTGATGATACTTCTGTTCAGTTGATGTAGGAAATAATAATTAATTACTAGTTTTTTTATTTATTCCCAATGACTGATCAGTCTTTCACTTTCAAGATTTGTCTAATATGCATCAAGGAAAGCAGACAATTGATATTATTTTCAATTTATTTTTGTTGAAATTATTTTGTAATTTTAATCAATAATTAATTGTTTACAACAAAATCCCTGTCATCAGCCATTGTGGACCAAGACTTTTGTACCACCCAACCCTGGCCTCGGGTACAGGTGCTGAAGTTTGTATTTATTACTGAGAGCTGTTTTGATAAATAGGTTTCAAGATGTGTTGTACTTCAGCCTCTCTTTCTGCTCCATCTCAGACAACATTTGAACCTCATCTGAAACACAGCTTCAAGTGGCGTCAGATAACAAGTCATACAGATGCTGCTGTTTTGTAACCAAAGTAGTTTTATAATCCTCTAGAATTGTAGAGACAAGTTCCTGTTCCATGTGTACAAGCTGACTCACGAAGACTGGGTGCACATGGTTACACGGTGTCACCAGCTGTCAGTGTGTCAGGGTTGTTGTTCATGCTGGGAACCACTGATGTGCCAGACTGTCGTGCAACAACTTTCACTCACTAAGATACCTGTCATGTGTAAAACAATCCTCTTCAGGTCACCAGCATTCACTCACTCACTCAGTGACCTGTCATGTATAAAACAGTCCCCTTGAGGTCACCAGCATTCATTCACTCACTCAGTGACCTGTCATGTATAAAACAGTCCCCTTGAGGTCACCAGCATTCACTCACTCACTCAGTGGCCTGTCATGTATAAAACAGTCCCCTTCAGGTCACCAGCATTCACTCACTCACTCAGTGACCTGTCATGTATAAAACAGTCCCCTTCAGGTCACCAGCATTCACTCACTCAGTGACCTGTCATGTATAAAACACTCCCCTTCAGGTCACCAGCATTCACTCACTCATTCAGTGACCTGTCATGTATAAAACAATCCCCTTCAGGTCACCAGCATTCACTCACTCACTCAGTGACCTGTCATGTATAAAACAATCCCCTTCAGGTCACCAGCATTCACTCACTCATTCAGTGACCTGTCATGTATAAAACAATCCCCTTCAGGTCACCAGCATTCATTCACTCACTCAATGACCTGTAGTAGTATAGGTAATAGGGGTTCTGGCTCACTTCCACTGGAGCTGGATTTATATACCTATACTGCTACTACAGATGGAATTTTTTATGCGTAAATGATTATGTGATTTAATGATAGTCATGAGATTGGCTCTAGCTCACCAATACCTGGGGCCAATCATTGCTTTAGATGAGTCTAAATGGTAATAAAAATATTCTTTATTATTTTTATCGATAAAGCGATATTCAACATTTTTATTAAGTTCTTCGTTCATTTTACTAGGAGACCAGACTATATAACTACACTCTTTTTGTAAATTGCTAAGAAACAATTGATAACCGTATTTGGTTGGTTTGGCATCACTGATATAATAAAAACCTTGTGGTAATTCTTTCCATTGAATAGCTTTCTCCATTATTATATATTTATGTTAGCATTTGTCTAAATGTAATCACACGATAGTAAGCAATCTATTTTTAATCTCCAACCAGTTCTTTGGTTTTGGCACGGAATAATTGACGCGCTTGTTGCCTCCCCTGTTCTATGAGGTTTTTTTTTCTCGTCTTCGCTAATACCACTGGTCTTACGAGATTTTGATCGAATCTCCTGCTTCATTTTGTTGTATTTGGTGAGTTCCGACAGCACTAAACGAAACTCATCCTTGGATATCTTACAATCGGCCATTGCTGTCGAAATATGATCCTCAATGCTGTTCAACTTTGCTTCGGCCAGTATCCGAATACTATCGTGTTTTAATGCTTTCTTTTGTAACCTACGAGAAATGAATTTTATCGCTATTCCTGCCAGTCCCGAGACTCCAGCGGTTATTTCCATGCCAAGCACGATAGGCGCGGCGATTATAGTTGATAGTAAACCGATACCCGCTACACCGAGTCCCATGCCAGATACTAAAAGCACGGTGTCAACTCCGTCCAGAGCATTCACGGCTCTGTGATACTTTTTATACAATCCAAGTCTCAACTCCCTATCCTTCCCTATTCGATGTTTTATGTCGCTTATTTGATGTAATCGAAATCCATCAACAGTTTCCATCTTTTCAAATGCTTCACCGAGCGTCGGATATAAACTCATAGTGTATATTACGATCATATAATAGTCTTTAATTGGTCTTGCTTAAATGTTTTGAGACTATACATCAATCTTATCAAATGTATATTATACGGCAAGAATATCTTAGAAAGAGAAATGCTGTCACTTTTAATAATTTGGACCCCCTCGAGGGTTGCAACGGGCGATGCTCCGATATGAATAATACTGCAACGTTGACGCTCGTGTTTCTTGAGCCATTTAATCGATAGACCTGGTAATATATCGAAGGCATCTTCCGGTGCATCTCCGAACAAGACTTCAATAATAAGCGTAGAAAGATTAGGTATTGCACTCAGGTTAACTTTAATATCTTCGAATTCAGTAACCAAATTGAAAGTAACATTTTTTAAGGCCGGACGACTATATAACATATGACCTGGGTTTTCTGGCAGGGGAGTGACCAACACACTTTTTCGTTTTGACGGGATATAAGCCGCGAGTACGATGCCACTATTTATTATCTTAGTTAAATTATGTCCCTTACCCATCATCACATAAGGTGGGGTAATGACGATATTCAGTAGCCACTCGATGTTTGCTTCGATCATAGTCCATTTATTATCGTCGTTGCGAGTAATATTGTACGAAGTGTTTTTAAGGAGTCTACTAACATCAACATCGCTTAAATCTCCTAGATTACCCGTGAATGTAACTTCTTTCCGATTGTATACATTATCGTGTAAGTGTAAAGCGTATAACTTACCATCGGTACCGGGTTTACCAAATCCTTCTGTGTCTCCGAGATCGGAAAGCGCAATTGTATTACATTGTCTTACTGTTCCAGGGCCTGATGCATCAACCATTATTTTTTAATATGGATTGTTACACTTAAGTATCCTATATGTACAGGTTGGTGTTTTACATCTAATACAGAAATTTTGAGGTCTGAAATAATACCCCGCTTTAATTTTTTATATTGTAATGACGAGAAAGATTCCGTTCTACCGCTATTATATTTTTCATTTTTCACTGGAATAGATCTGAGTAGAGTTGAAGGACTTTCTAGTTGAATATTATCCGTCGTGCTTATTTGATCAAGATGGATGAACAACTCTTTATAGGGAACTAAATCGGGTAATTTAATATAAGGATGTGCGTCATCTAAGCGACTAAATTCCTCTCTACCTGGTTGGCCAAATACAATTATATTTGGACCATGGTTGTATTTCACTGTCCCAGTCGCCTCATTTTGTGAGAGACTAACTCCATTAGGCTTTAAAATTTCATCATTGAGTGAGCTTATGCTGTAATACCCATCAGGTATAGTAATGGATTTGCTAGTACCATATGAAGTTAATATATTTATCCTATTATTATTTTTTATAGCATTTATATTGGTCCACAGTGGGTAATACGTTACATCGCATAGAGCGACTTCGAGTTGTCCATCCGAGTTATCGATAGTACGAAGCAGTTGAATAGACTGACCATTTGTTCTTCCCAGGAGTGTAACATACATATCAAATATACAATGATACTATATCATAACTTAAATATGGAATCAACCATTATTTATAATATGGAGTGTTACACTTAAGTATCCTATATGTACAGGTTGATGTTTTACATCTAATACAGAAATTTTGAGGTCTGAAATAATACCACGCTTTAATTTTTTATATTGTAATGTTGAGAAAGATTCCGTTCTACCACTATTGTATTTTTCATCTTTAACTGGAACACATCTGAGTAGAGTTGAAGGACTTTCTTGTTGAATATTATCCGTCGTACTGATCTGATCAAGATGGATGAACAACTCTTTATAGGGAACTAAATCGGGTAATGCATCTCCATCAGATGTTGTCCTGAATATTGATAATATAAAGTCTCTTGATCTTTCTACCTGTGTAAATCCAAGTGTAATTGCTAAGTTCTCATGAATCCACATACCTTTTTCTCCAGTGCCGATTTTCACTATCCCATTCGACTCATTTTGTGTGATACTAATTCCATTAGGCTTAAAAATGTTATCATTGAGTGAGCATATATTGTAATACCCATCAGGTATATTAATGTTTTTTTCAATAATATTTTGTTTATCTGTTATAGACAACTCATTATTATCTCTCGCAGCACTTATATTGGTCCACAGCGGGTAATACGTTACATCGCATAGAGCTACTTCGAGTTGTCCATCCCAGTTATCGATAGTATGAAGCAGTTCAATAGACTGACCATTTGTTATTCCCGGGAGTGTAACATACATATTAAATATACAATGATACTATATCATAACTTAAATATGAAATCGAGATACATTACTAATCAATCGATTATAGTAACTGCCTCTGGTGCTGAATTTTTCGTTAAATTCCCCGATATCTTTGAAAAGTACAGGGTCACGGCAACTAGCGATAAAATGGTGCACGATTGGTTTCACAATCCGATGCAATTTTGGCAGAATCAGTTAAACTTTGCCATATGGTGTGCCACAACGGGATGTGGCGTATCCTCTTAATGCCCCAGGATTTATGCTAAATAAGTCTGTTTTATTATTTCACGTGTATTATCAGATTAGACGTATACTTAAAGAAATTAGTGCTCCATTACCGCAGGATCGAACGAGGAATTCCACAAATAATCCGTACAATAGGTCCGCATATGAGCGTATTTGTCAGGAATTTAATATTTCTATGAGTAAAGATTGGCGTATTACAGGAGCAAACCATGGTCTAGGTGTTCCTTACACAGGGGAAATAACCGTCAAAGAAGAAAGCGATGATTTATTTAAAGAAGTTAACAAAGGTCCATTTAATGCGTTTAAGTTGTTGCATACCAGCAAACTTTACATAAGAATGTATGATTATTTTCTAAAAACTCATCATTGGTATAAAGACTGGGAACTTTCGAGTAACGATTGGAGAGGGGATATTATGAGTTTTAAGAGTGGTTTAATTTATATTGTTACAAAATTTATACAAATGAACGATACCGCAAACGCTTGGAATGAATTTCTTAATGATAAAACGGAAAATAATTTTACTAACCCAGGATTTGTAAGATTTAATGAATCGATAAGAACTTATGTATGGGCAATTCTCGGTGCACAATCGCAAACACGAACGTCCATTATCGG